TAAGCGAGAGTCAAAGGTGGAAATGTCGGACTGACGTTATGGGCCAAGAGCCTGTGTCCGGCCATTTCCAATCACGAAGCCCTGACTTCGAAAGCATTCAAGGGCAGCTCCTATACTTTTATTCCAGACTTGTTAAAAATACGCATGAGCCCTGCACATTGAAGGACCTCAGGGACAAGGATCAGATTGGACCAATCGGCACTGCCGGGTTCCTCAACAACGGTTGGCCAGACGATATTCAACCCCTCCTAAGATTCTACAGTCGTTTGCTCTGATATACTTGCTGCAGGATGAGTTGGAGCAGTATCTTAGGCTGTACTTCAAACCCTGCTTCATCATCGGCGAGTCAATCTATGGTGCATCTAGTCCGCAATGGGTCCACCTTCTCTGTGTACTAGTTCAAGTGTTAGCAGCAATGGTGCACCGACGTAAAGCCAAACCCCCCTCCGGAACTCTCTTCAAGACAATATTTTCCTTACCTGAAAGCCATGGGGCGTGTTTGAGCCAATTCGTCGAGACTGTGAGAGGGATAGCTGACTCGGCCTTTGCAAGCGCAGCGGGTCAGCTTTTCTCGGCTGAGTTGGGAACGAACGAGAGGAGGAAGCCGATGAGCAACAATTTCTTTGTTGTGCAATTACGGAAAGAGTATTCAGCACTGTTTCAATGGGTAGCTGTGGGGTAGGATCGATACTGTTAAAAGCTGATGAATCGAGGCAGGTATGACTGCAAGTGCAAAATGGTGAGACTAAGGAGGGAAAGAGAGGCTCTTAAGGCTTGAGCTATATTACTTCTATTGTTAAAGTCTGGGGTGCTCAGGCCCTAAGACTGTCTTCCGGAAGTCGAGGAGCTCCTGATGCATCTGCTCAGCTTCCCCTGGTAGTTGCCTTGATCGCTCAGGCTTGAGCTATATTGAGCATACTTGTCAATATGTGTGGATGCTCGGGCCTTGACACTGCTTCATTCTCTTGTCGCCCAAAGTATCAGTCCGGGCAACTCATCTCGAGTTTGACGTAATCTTTGCGAGACGTATTCAAAGAGATTGTTCTCATCCTAGTCTACAAATGGCCCTTCCAATACTTGCAGGGCTCAAGGAAGCTGCTGCTTAATCGCCATAAATACACCAGGGAGGGATATGAGATCGTCCTTCAAGCCGTAAATCTGATCAAACTGGCGGCGTGCAAAACCTGAACAATGTCCCCTTGGCAACCTTTTTTGTGATGCAAGATAGACCGTACCCGGAGGTGCGAAGCGGGACCCGTAGGCTTCTAGAAACATTACCAGTACGAGAAACATATAGAAACCTGTGTCTTGCATTTGCCGCTTTAAGGTTTCAGGCGTCTCGAGACCTAGTATGACAAGGATCTTCAAAAGTACTCATAAACTGATTGAGAGACTCTCAATGATCTTGTCTCTTTCTCTATTTTCCTACACTCTTGGCCATTCGAGCAAGATAGTAGGGCGGCTTGACGATATCATGGACAACGGCAGCAGGAAGTGATTTAAGCCTAACTTTCGAAGACATTCATTGTCGGGCCAGTCATGCTCGCGGGAGCGAAGCAGCTGTAAAGCCACTCTTGTTATAGCCAGTGGCGCGAGCTTTAATATGCGCGTTTGCCGTGTTCGCAAGATGAGAGATCTTTGTACAATAATAAAGGTAAGGCATAGGGGCTGTGCTTTTGATCCATTCATCTACTTCAGGTGAGATTCTGTATATGGATCCACATCTGCAGGAGAGAGGTGTGATCAAGCTCATGGCGGGCGACGCATATTGAGGAGACGGGATTAAGCCGACGGTGGACGATGTATACGGAGGAGGGGTTGGGCTCGTGATGGGCGACGCATACCAAGGAGGACGGACCAAGCTTATGATGGACAATGTATATTGAGGTGGTGGTAAATCCATGATGGAGACAACAGGGTATAACGCAATAATAAATTGTGAAGTATAAAGGGGAAGATGGGAGGTCCAAGAGGACTAGAAAGGTGTGCTTCTTATACCTCCCCCCCTTGTCTAAGGCTGATAAAGCTAAACCTCAGATAAGATAGGTCGTACATGAGCTACCATAGGGCGCTCTATTAAGCCCTAGCAGCTCCACCGAGTGCTCAAGCATCTGAGAGTGCAGCCTTCTCTAAATGCACTCTATGCAGCAGCGCCAGCTTTCTTGTCCTGTCCTGCATGCAAGCACCTTACTACCCGTCAAGTCAAGTCATAGCATGATTTAGCTAGTCTTCATCTACCAGGATAAGAATAGTCCCTGGTCATGTTATTTGAAGACAAAGCGCAGATTACATGCATGTGACCTGGCTCACGGCGATGAATCGCGATGGGATAGATCCTTTGGCATTGATACGTCTAGAGATCTAACTACTGGTGTGGGTGGGGTTTAAGGTGAGGCTCGCTTACGCGATGTGGGTCACCTGACAATGCATCAAACATTACATAGGCGCTCTTTAAATCATATCCACTAATAGTTCTAGAGGCAACCCACTGCCACAACAAGGCATCCTCGGCTTGGAGGTAGGACTTCTAGGGCTGAGATTGACATCTTCTACCCAGCTTCAAGAACTATGGGAATTCGATATGGTAAGTGCGGCAAGCAATAACAGTATGTCCATAGCCCCTCTGGCAGAGCATCATAGCTTACCCACTGGTGATATAGGAATCTCCAAGACATGATGCTGTTGTGTGGATATTATATTCGATACCTTCTATGCAGAGGATCAACCATCCTAGACTAAGATAGGCCTGTACAAACCAACACAGCTGAAAGTACATCCGCTACAGGGGGGCAGATCCATGTTGTCGTTACAGCCATTAATTAAACTGGAACTGACTTGCTTTGGCAGGTAGCAGGACAGAAAACCCACATCTTCTTCCCAACCTGACTGAAGTTAGGGTTTAGATTGAAAGGGAGTGGATAATATGCTATGATTAGGGTAAGCCTCTATCAAAACTAGCAAGCCAGAATTAATATTTATGAGTAGGGGGTGCTTTAAATATAGCATATGCATTTGTATCACTGCTACAACAGACTAGCATTCTTATCCTAACCACGCCAGACCAAGAATCAATCGAATTCGAGACAGGTATAAGAAGCCCAATCGGTCATTCTACTAAGGGTGCAATGACCTGAGGCATATTTAAAATTTCTGGAGGTTTTCCACCCTATACCTATACAATTCTTACTGAACCCTGAATTTCAAGCCTGCAAACCCTTAAATCCTGCAGTTTAATGGGGTAGATGGCCCAAGAGGTATTTTGTCGTCACCAGTTACTTGTTCTAGCTGGGCAAGAGAACATAGCCCCATAACTATAGCACGGCTAAACCATAGAGTAGCCACGGCACTTTGAATCTGCATCTAGTTAGATCGTACTCCTTAAGCTACAAGGAAGGCTGCCTACCCAGAGTGCTAGATCCCAGTTTATCGAATACACCCTAGCAACGATGAACGGAATGATGGCGGTTAAGCATCTAGGTACACTTATGATAAGGGCAAGTAAAAGGCTGTACCGCTTGTACCAAGCCTTTCCTAGCAGCCAGAGTAGCCACGCATACAGGAGGAAGAGCCCTGCCAACTGCCAACTCCAACACAAATGAAGCTAGACCTATTTTTATCATAACGACCGCCTCCTGGCTCCGAGCAATCCCCTAGACAAGAAAGATAGTTAACCCAAGAAAGCAACTGCAGACACATAACAAAATCTAATGTATATGTTTTATGCAGCACAAGAGAACAGCTTTCCCAGATAGACCCGACCTATAACACTCAATACCAAGCTTTCCAAAGTCTTTTCCACAACCCGGTTGTCTTATAATCCAGATCCTCCCAAAACAAAGGAGGAGTATCACACAGGTCTTCTCATCCCTCGAGGCCGACAAGATAGACAACAAGATTCTAGATCCAATCGAAGTAGCAGCTATTATTGCATGGCGCAAGACTGTCCATAGCCAGGAGAGGGTCGGCCTGCGTCTTTCTTATGTTGACGCCAATGCACCCAGATGATCAACGATGTAATGAAAGCGGTAATGAGAATAATAGAGGAGACACCAAGAAAGACAGCGTGTATTTCCATTTTTCGTTTATTTCCCTTTGATATTCGAAGAATCAACTGAAGTTACACAGGAGCATGAAATCTAGAGATATGCCCTTTGAGCTGGCCTTATGACTAAAGATCTATACACAAACTTTTAGCTAAGGAAGGAGTAAGGTATGGATTAGCAGCTGTCTACAAGGAGCCGTGAAACGTTATCGTCGCCATACCTAGCTGCTTATAAAGCATTGTCACTCCTCTATTATCCTTTGCTTTGATGTTGGCTCCCTCATCTAGCAGTAGCTGGACTACAGCACCGTGATCGCTATTAGCCGCTTAGTGTAATGCAGTGGCTCCTGATTCATTTTTCGCCTCAATATCGGCCCATACTCGAAGAGTAGTTCTATTACCGCGTTTTGTCCGCTACGAGCAGCAGAGTGTAAGAACAGGTAAGCTAAAGTAATTCTGCAACGCAAAATCTGCCTCTCGTCATTGATAGAGCACGCATTACTGCTTTGCGCTCACCTTTAACTACCAGGCACAATACTGTGTCGTTACCTAGAGTCATCATTTTAATGTCTGCCCTGTTGTCTAACAGCACCCCTTATACCTGTTGTAAGCCGCTACATGTAGCGCTCTTTCCCCTTATATCCTTTCTTACTTAATAGAAAGACTTTAGCTGTTAGTCTTTTATAAGAGACGTTCTAGCTTTCTTTTAATCGTAATATCCAAGTTACGCCCCTCCTTAAGGCAGGTACCTACCTACCTAGGTAGACAAGACTAGTAGAGATATAGGCTAGACTATAATTTATATAGAGCGGCCCTTAATCTAGAAGTACTATTACACATTAAAGTATTCCCTAGCCACACTGTTTACTACAACATCTGTAACGCCTAATACGTTATATTAAAACAGCCAAAACCTTGTTATTTATCCTCTAGAAACCCCGCTACCATACTCTAAAACCTAACTCGTAGCTGGGAGGGCCAACTTACTGCTCGTCTTCCTGGTCAAGACCTTCGTAATTGCATGCCGTATTGTTACCCCTGCCTTCTCAATCTCCTTTTTTGAAAGGCCAGTAGTAATACAAACCTTGAGAGCGGGTTGGAGCTTCCATTCATCGTCTTTACCATTGCTGCTTGGGGCTACTGGCATACTCTTGAGACGAGTAATAAGCACACCATTTGCGAGTGCCTGTGGGAATATTAGGTATGTTTCCGAGTAGATGAGACATGCTTACCTCATCAACGCATTCCTGCAAAATGCGTTCTTGCTCCTCAATACTTAATCGTCGTGAATTGATAACATCAGGCTTGAGGACAAGTAGCATGACTGGATTTTCGGGAGAGCTTGTGCAGTGAACCCAATCACTCCGGGGGTCCAGTTGTGCTCGCATAGCCCTGATATTCTCGCGGCATTGAACAAGAATGTCTGGGTTCGTCTGGAGCATATTGAGGGTCTCGCTGGCGGTGGTGGCAAGCATAGCTGGCAAAGCTGCAGAGAAGGTGTATGAAGCAGCCGAAATGCGCTGATGCTCAACCACGTCAGTGGAGCCGGCACAGAAGCCACCGCCAGCACAGAGAGGGCCGGCAAGAGATCCGACGAGCATGTCAACCTGCGAAGCATCCACATTCTGAGCTTCCGTCAGACCCCGGCCCGTTCTACCGAGAACCCCAAATGACCAGGTCTCATCCAGCATGAGCCGGAACTTGTATCGAAGCTTGAGCTCAACCTAGTCATATGTTAAAAGGATCCCAGGGTTGGAGACAGCATACCGACAAGTTTTGGTAGATCGACACAATCCCCAACTGTTTCGGATAATCCCTCGGTCACAATAAACCTTCTTGTCAATGGTTTCTTGGACTGCTCCTTCACAATCTTCTGCAGAACGCGCTCTAGATCCTCCATATCATTGTGCTCATAATATCTTATCGTGCTCCTACAGATCTGGAGACCCTTTCGAATGGCGTAATTGACAGCGCGGTCTGCAACAATAATGTCACCTCTCTTACAAAAGGCAGGGATGACACTAGAGATAGTAGAGAACGCCTGGGCATATATAATGCATCCCTCGGTCCCAAGGCAAGATGCAATATCCGCTTCGGTCTTCATGTGTACGTCTTGAGTTCCGTAGAACTGGGGAGGCCCACAAGGCCCAACACCATATGTACGTAGGGTCTGAATCGCCTTTTCTTTTACCTGCTCGTTCCCGACAAAGTTAAAGAAGTTATAAGATGCCAGATTCGTCACTGTTCGGCCGTTGGAAAGTTTGGACTTAGGACCTGTAGGTCTTGGTCGGTCAGTTTGCAGACGTGCAAAGGAGGTCCTCGTTGGAAATATACCCAATTATGACTGGTAGCTTCTCGTTTTCAGCTTCCTCGAAGGAAGTCTGTGGAGCAACAAGGGGTTCAGGGATCCATTCGTCAACGAGGTCGTCAATCTCCTGTTCACATCAAGTCAGTAACTGTGATCATCTTGGGGCCACATCCCGCGCGCACCTCTTCAGAAAGGGTCACAAAGTTCCCATTATGGGTCGAATACGAGGGTGCGAGGAGGTACCGCACGAAGAATATAACCAAGATGAGCTCAATGGCCGAACGGACGGGGTCGTCTTGGTAGCTGGACTGGATGTAGCGGATGAGCATGGCAGAGCCTGGGAGTTTCTGGAAGGTATGGCTGATCTCGTCGATAGCACGTAGCACGAATCTCTGAGCATCTTGGAACTCCATCTTGTCATGCGAGGTGTGGAGGAACGACATGAGGAATGGAATCTATAGGAGGTTCAGACGTCAAATTAAGGTGAGCTCCGCATAGGGGTATCATTTTCAGAGATGCGGGCTAATTACCTTATAGGTTAGACTGCCGTCGCGCGCGGAGGATATAGACACGTGACTACGGTTAGCGATACATCAGCGGCCCCTGGTGTGTACTTAATGAGTAATACTACCCAAGGTACCAAAGTATTTTCGTAGGCAGTGAGCCCGGTGTCTAACTACCTTAATCGACCTCTCGCCCCTTTACTGTTACATCCGCGAACCGGGGATTTGCCAGTCCGTTTTCGCTTAGTCAGCCGTGCCAACGATGCCAATCGCATGCCAACAGCGCCAACATTCTATAAGAATTTAGTACAATTGGCTGCCAGTTGGCGCTCGCGGGTCTATTAGTAGGGTAGGTGCTATTACCACCTAATGCTTGCACCTCGGAATAAGGAACAATGTAGAAATGAGAACTTGAAATGATCATTAGCTCTAGGTTCTACAATCTCTACTCGAGACTGTACGGACGTTGTTAGTGATTCTGATCAGATGCTCCCCTGCTATCAAGCTTAGCCCGGTGGATATAAAAGATACTAAAAATCTGATGACGTTGTGGGTTAAGGTCCACATCCCTTCTGGCAATTTTAATCCTGCTTTTAGGCCAACTTCACTAGATGTATTATGTATGTCCTTGTATGTAGACACAGCGGTATAACGTACTAATATTACTAGGCAGATGAGTACAAAATCCTTAGTCTAGGCACGCACCCAACAATTATAGACGATCTTCTGCCTCGGCCGGATGCTCACGGTGACCGTATTATTAGATTTGAAAACCACGCTGAAATCAAGCTTCCTAACCCTGCACTTCTCTAAACACATGCAGCACTAGCAAGTATATATCATGCTTTAGGGATGGCTGACTACATTAACAGGATAATAGAGGAACAGAAGAGATACGATACCTTGCTAATGATGGTTGCATCAACATTAAGGAGCTTCTTCTTGTGTTGTGGGTAGCGCTCGGCTGGCCGCATGTATGGCCCTAATTTAGAAGCCATATCTGTGCGACTTTATAGTCCTGGAATAGGTTAGCAGTGTATAGGAACACAGAAAGGTGTTAACAAACCTGCTGCTAGCTGGCCTACTGAGCGATCGGAAGGGAAGTATATAAGCCAGCTCTGTAGTGACTAGAGGGCCTAGTACAGAACCCCCAGTTATTGGTGCATCCGTAACGATGATACCCGTGACTATACAGCGAGAATTATTGTGTCGAAGGCAAAGTTTCCTCGGTTGACTTTGACGGCTTCTGTTAGGTGATTGATCCATTGATGCCGCGATTTGGTCCACTACATCCTGATTGCTGGCCGGGGGGCTCTGGCTTTCACTAAGCTATAGAAGTTAGGATTCAGATGTGATTCAGGAGTTAAAAGCATCAAAGATAGCTTGACCTTGGTACAGGAATAGATGTTATCAGGTGGTTGGCTGTAGAGGCTCATGTCGTCATTAGTACTAGCAATGAGCAGAGTACTACCTATTTGCCCTTAGCTGGCATGAACCGGAAAAAATTGACCGAACTTCTTTGGTGTGAGCCCTTTGTCTCGGTAGTGTCCGACTCTGTCTTCTGCTATGCTTTCACCTAGCTGAGATAGGTTAGGGATTAGCTCACCTTCACTACCAAAGAAGACCAATTCGTCCGAGTCAAGTCTGTCTCTGGGTGAAGTTGCCATGCTGAAGATGTCAAGGCAAGGGTGGTGAGTCCAGACTCCAAAGACGGAAAGAAGTAAGATTGCATGGATAGGTACATAGGTAGGTAGAGGTAGGTTGAGAATCTGATGCTGAGTTAAAGCGGCGAGAAAACACACAACCTGATTAGAGAAAGGGATGGTTGCGCTGAACCCCCAACTGAGGCTGAAGAATATCCCACTTCCCCTGACTTACGGACGATCGAGGTGCTTCTAGAGTTTAAGGAGTGTCTAGTGGTACCCCGTGGGACCAAGTGGGTTCTTACAATCAGAGATATCGTGTCAAGGTAGGCAAGGAGATGAGTAAAGCACAGACAAAGCCCTATTTTCAAGCAACAGAACATAGCCCAGGGTATTATCAAGCCCGCCCATGTGGATAGATATGTATAGAATTGGTATTATGGTCGTACCGCATCGCATACGACAGCCGTTTATCCAGCAGCAACCGCTTTAGAGCCTCGCAGACTGGAGCATATATATATGTGGCTCGAGGCGAGTTACAAGGAGTGTGACAGGAGATGAGAGAGAAGGAAAGCAGTTGTCTAAGCCGGGTACCATGAAAACACCGAAAACAATTATCTGTCAACACGCCATGCAAGACTATCATGGTCATCTATCGAACCAAGAAAGCTATCGTAATACACCTCATCGAACCCATCTATTTTACAGCTTGGCCGCCTTTCATACCGCGTCCAATCTAAAACAATCGGACCCTCGCGAGACTAGCAGTGGACGAGGCTGTGGCCGAGGCCGTAGCCCCAGTACCAGTCTCATTCCTGTTTCTAGTATCATTGTTGTTCTGTCCGATGGGTTGGAAGAGTTTCTGGGGGATACTGGATTCTAAACTCGGGCTTAGAATCTTGCTGCCAGCCACACAAGGCCCTACGATGAGAACCAGGGCGATGATAAGCAGGACGAAATAGAGGACAGCATATCGCCAGACACGTCTCTTTCTAAGCTTCGATTGCTTCATGGAGTATATTGGGGGGCGGATTTGACGGCTAGTTAGTTCAGTTAGCAAAAGGATGATTGACAGGACCTGGCGCTGATCCACATACCTGGGACGAAGCCAGAACAGCATCACAGAATGAATCTTGTCGACGTGAGGGATAGCAATTACGGGGAGCATGACGAAGAGGATCATATGCCCAAGCACAAAATCACCAGCGAACATTCCGAGCTCCGTGATCTTACACAGGAACTCTCGGCCAGGCTGGGACATGGAATGCCAACCCATTGAGTACCATTTGCCAGTCCAGAACGCAATATTGGACGTGTCCGACTTGAACTCTCTCGTCAGCGCCAGTGAAATGATGAGCTTGTAGACGAATCTCTGAACAGCGGTAGCAGCAATCATCCCTAGCAATGCCTTGGCAAAGACAAAGCCCTCCAGGAAGAACATGACCTCGAAGAAGACGATGAGGACAATGACAGCGATCCCATGCGCAATGGCGGCGAGAACGGCACCAAACCTCTTGCAGCACATACCGAAGAGGGGGCCCATGCAGCAGGCCATGCCGAAGAAGGCACCCAGGACACCCGCGTTGATTGCGATAGGGGCAAAGGCAACAATAGCAAGACGGATCAACGCGTTCGTGGGCACGATCGGCTTGCTAGGATCAGGCTGGTTCTCCGGGATCACACCGACTTGCGAGTTGATGAATATATACGGGACCAAGGTGGCGGCAACCATGAAAAGAGGACCGAATATTTCACCGAAAAAGAGGTTCGTGAACGAAGCACGCGGTACATCACCAGACATTTTTGAAGATGGATCTCCCAGAGCCTTTCGCTTGTAACCGGTAATCCTCGTTCTGGACAGGCGACAGAAGGCGATCCAGGATGAGGAGTGTGACCGCGAGTTACCACGGGACAGCCAGCGGAGGAAATCACGGTAATCGATGAAAAAGTCATCCCAGGCGAACTGATGGGGATTGTAAATGAACGGAGACACGCACATGGCCAGCAGCGTTATCCAGAAGTAAATGAGGGCGGCCTGCCAGACTGTGAGCGTGGCGAAGAGCAGCATCATGAGCGAGCGAGCACCAAGGTAGATCGAGGGGCCAGCAAAACGCGAGTACAGGACACCGAACGGGATACGGGCTGTTGCAAAACCTCTGCCCGTTCCAATATACCTAGCACCGCCGAATGACAAATCCTGCTGAACAGAGTTCGCATAAATCTGGCAGACGAAGACCTCAAAGAAGGGCGACAGAGAGAGGAACTGCTTCCCAAGACGGGTAGCAGCGCGCCAGAATCCTCGCTCGGTCAACTCTTGCACCACCAGGGGTACAAAGGAGATGAAGAAAACGATGAAGATGGAGATGATGCAACGGTAAACCCAGTCGGTAACAGGCGTGAGATTGGCACAGCCAGTTGGGAAGAGGGGATCCGTGATTGGCTTATTCTTGTTGTAGTCGCAGAGGATGGTCTGGTTACGAAGGGCCCCAAGGTTGATCAGGCAGAGCATGAACATCTGCACCGACAGCATGATGAACATGTTGTTCAGATGGAAGCCAGGATGCGCGTAGTAGAATGACAAGAAGCGATCCAAAGGTAGCTGTGTCCCCAAGTAATAGTATTCTCGGGAGAGCATTTGCTCACCCATACCGGTCCCGATCTTCGTCGTGAAGTTCAGGATGGATCCAAATCCCAGGTCACGACCCTTGCCACACTGGTAGTACTCGCAATGCTTTATGCGGCCGCCGCGACAGAGCGCCGTCATACCAGCATAGATATCCTCGTTAAGATGAAGACCTTTCTGAGCCTTCGAAACGCCCCCTCGCGTGGTCATGAAAATGCCATTGAGGAAATCAGGATGGCCATAGTGGAGCTTGCCACCAATTGAGGCGAGAGTACGAGCGAAGAGCGTTCCGAATGTCTGTTCTTTCCCGGCCGCAACGTCACCAAGGATACCGATGTTCTCCGAGAAAATGTATTCACGGGCCCCCAAGATTGCGACCGGATTGGGGTTTGGATTCTCAAAACCGGGAGTATATGGCGAGACGTTGTCCGTGGTCATTTCTTCGAACTCAGCGAGGACACTCCGGATCTTGAGGCACTCCTCCAGATAGTTGTCCTGGTTGGCATCAATGAGCTGAATATACTCACCACGGTAAAAGATGATAGCGTGGTTCTGGTTGTCGGACTTGCCGTCCCCAAGGATGGGATTGCCAGATAGTTGGACCCGGAACTTGGGTCGGCGCATGCCGTTCTCCATGATTTCGGAATGACCATCGATCAGCGCAGAGTAGAGGCGGGGCTCTTCACCCTCCGCCAGAGGTGCTTCTTCATCCAGATAGGCGATCTGAAGGTCCGGATACGCACGGAGCAAGAACTCGGTATTCTCCATCTCCTCCTTCTTGAATTTGGCGTAGCGCTGCATGGATACGACTAGCTTGAACTTGCGACGCGCCATGCGTTCCAACTCCCGTTCGAGCTTATCAGAATTACCACCAAACATCTGAACCACTTCTGGATTTTCAACACGGTAGAGTAGTTTGATAGCCCGGCTGTAGTTCATGAAACCAGAGATCGTGCGGTAGAGGGTCTGGGATCGCAGAGATGCCCAGATCCGGGTGCGGAGGGTGTACTCGGGTGCAGCAGACTTGAAACCAATACAGTAGAATGGGAGGTCATCGATCTTGCTCTTCGCCGTATCCTTCTCGTTCTTGTCATAATCTCCGTTGAACTGAGAGGTCTCATCGGCAAGAATCTTAGTATCCTTGACAAAGCAATCCCACTCGTGGGGGTGGAGCTGCTTCAAATATTCCAGAAGAGTCACGCGGGAGTAAGGATCGTCCTCCCGGATGATCTCGCGAAGAGAGAGCAGAATCTTCTCACTATAGTGCGGGATCATGACGGTGAAGGTGGGCATATTATCCACAGGCAATGGTTCCGGGATTGGCGTCGAGAGAGATTGAGCGAAGAAGGAGATACGCCTTTCAGCCTCGCTCTGGCTTGGGAAGAACTCGGTCTTGAACGAGTGGTCTTCCTGTGAGACAAAGAACGTCGGGGCTCGAAGAGTACGCTTGCCCTCCTGCTCTGAGGGGACCTGGTGGTAGAGCAACTTCTGCACATGGTCAATGGCCAGGAGATGCTCCCGGTACATAGAGATGACGATTGCATTCCAAATCTGAGAGATGAGGACCTTCGGCTTGTACTTGATCTCCATGTCGGTTGTCGCAAGGATCTTCGAGTAGATACGCTTGGGAAGACGCGAGAAGATATTTCTCCATGGGGTCCAGATGGAAACACCCAGGTAGAAGGACCGCGCGACGGAGTAGATGACGTTCATGATGATGTACCAGAGGAACGTATCCAGGAAGAAGAGACACAGGTCTGTGAAGAACATTAACCCCAGGAGGATCTTAGGCTGCACTCTGCACAGCTGCGGCCCGATTATGTTATCACCAGGACAATGGGCGAGGTGCATTGACGAAAGGTACCGGATAGGGTCCCGGAAAGACAAGGTCAAGAAGAAGTATGACTCGGCAAGCTTGGCAGCAAAGACACAGATCCAGAGCCCATAGGACATCCACATGTCGTTACCCTTGAGGCGCGGGTAACTTGCGGTAAACGTCTGGCTGGCAACATATCGTCTCGAATCCCTGGTCAGATAGCTCCCGAACAGTCCGCCCAGAGGCATGATGGAGAAGAAGAAGAAGGAGGCTAGGGCGATCAAGAATTGTACGACGCCGAGGACCAGAGCAAGCTTTTTCTTCTGCGTACCCTTGACAAGGAAGATGTAGACACTCGGGGCCACGTTGAGGATCAGCATACCGATGAGGAAGAGGAGCCTCTTCGTGAGATGCTGCGCTCCAGCCCACTTGCGGGGAACATAGCTCCATTCCGTAATGGTAGCTGCGACCATGATGATGCATGCAACTGTTCCACCCAAGCCCACGGCGGACCATTGGGCAGAACCAGGAGGCATGTTATTTTCCTCCTGCTTGTAGTTCTTGACCAGAATGGTGGGGGAGTTTTTAGCAGTAAAGAACCAGAAAGCCGTGATGTGGATGATCCAGATCCGGTTGAAATTGACCAGCATGTGAAGCCAGGAGCGAGTTTCCCTGTATGTTTTGAAAAAGACCTTGTTCCAGTTGACATCCTTGAGCTTCAGGAACCGCTCGGCCGGTGGTAGATCCACCAATCGGGACTTATCTTCCATAACAATGCGCTCGATGCCCTCTGGGTACCAGAAGAGCTGATTGCAGTCATCATAACCGATGATTTTGTTGTGGTCCCTCTCACGACGAACATACTTCCCATCTTGGATCTCGTAACCTTGGTCTCGGCAGTACTGGTAGAGGGGGGTTATCACGTTGTTGAGGTAGGTAAACTCCTCCACCGGCTCTACCAGATTCTGGCACGCTGGCGAATTGAGATAGTCATCGGCGCACTTGAAGATGAAGCAGAGACATTCGGGCATGAAGCGCACTTGGTTGGCCTCTCCCCAGCAGAGAAGGTAGAGGGCAATCTGCCGGACGCGGTCGTGTTGGGACATCCTATTCATGCGTGTCTTCCATCTGTATTCGGCTGCCTCGAGACTGTTGTCACCTTCCAGTTCCTCCAGCATCTCGTTCTCGTTCTGCGGGTCCGTCTCACCAGCCTTCTTCTTGGCGGCCTTACGGGCCTTCCGAGTCCGACGGCTTGCTTTACCTAGTTTCATGTTGGCAAACCCTACTGCGTCGTCCAAGTCCAGGTGAGCTGCGAAGTACCACTTCCGGTAGTTGGCATTGTCTCCCCCAATGTAGTCGGCGTGCAGAGAGAGCAGGGCCTGGTTGGGCGTCATCCGAGAAGCGCGCGAGTCCAAGAGCGTCATGAAATGATCGTACATGTTGCGCATGCTGTCACGCTGGAACCCAAACTTGGCGGTGAGATCCAAGAAGATATCCTCGACCTCCTCCTTCGACAGAGGGATCTGCGCATCGGAGGTCCAAGCCGGGTACGGCTCCCGAGAACGTTGCCCAGCGGGGAGCACGTTATTGTAGTCCATGCCGTAGTTCGGGGTTGAAGCTCCGGAGGATCTGTTGCCGCCGTAGGAGATCTGGGATGACGGAGGACGGTAACCCTGCCCGCCCATCTGGCTCTCGTTGTAGCTGTTGTAGCGTTCGTCCCCACGGCCGTAATAATCCATGTCGGTGGCTCGAGCCATGTCCGATCGCATTGTGAAGTCGCTGAAGGTTTCCGAGTCTTCTTCCGACTCACCTCGACGCTTCCCTTGTGGCGGGTAGCCCTGGCCTTGGTGGCCCGCAGCAGGCGCTCCTTGGTCGTAATATTGATCATTATAGTACTCATCCTGGTACTGGCCATGCTCCCCGCCATCGTAATAGCCTCCTTCATGTTGGTAAGGGTTGCTGGCATCGGCGTTGTAATAACCACTATCGCACCTGTCAGCTTTCTCGTCCCTTGTCGATGCCAGGAAAACAAACATACGATTCGTCATAGTATCCATCTCCACCTTGGTGACCATGGCCTGGGTCTGCATACCCACCATTGTGGTCATAGTAGGGCTGGGCTTGCTCGTCCTGATAATACGAGTCTGTGTTGCCCTGTTGATGATGGCCGTAGCCATCATCGTAATGGGCCTGTTGTGGCTGCCCCGACATGATTAAGTTCCGACAGCACCGCCTGCAAAGACGAGGTCAGTAATGGATTGGAGGCGAGGTAAGAAAGGGCCGCAAGTGACTAGGGAACCAGGGCGAGAAAGCAGCCCTTCCCGACGTCTGAATTGAATTGTATTGTTCTTGGACGTAGCGAGGGAGGCAGAGGCAGACTGTTCCTCGTCACGCGGGGAGCGAGTAAAGAAGCTGAGACTCACGATTATAGGCACATTGGAAGAGGGACGGGCCGCGGTGTGATTTGACTGTTGGAGGATGTAAGAGACGGGATCCGTGAAGCTGTAAATTGATATTCGTAACGATCGTGGTAGGTAAACAAAATCTGTAGAAGAAGAATCTGGGGACGAAGCAAGGGGAGAAAACAGGCGGTTGGTTCCCGATGAGCCTGCGATTGAACGAGTCGTGATGCCACCCGTCACGAAGAGGGCGACGTGGATAAGGGGTGGTGGGATGTAGATGGAAAAGAAGGAGGAGATTTTGGCTCTGGTCCTGATTCTGGTTCTGGTTCTGGTTTGGGTCTGGGCGGGAGGGGAGGCTGGGTGTTGAAGTGTGTTGGGGTGGCCAGGGCCCCTTCTCTCCGGTGAATGCAAGAACAGCGAGCGGCCGTCAAAACTCGCAACTTCGAAACTCAAACACAAAACTCCACGTCAAACGAGTGTGGGAATGATCAACGACCGTACAACAGCGCGAGACTGAAGGAAAAAGGGGGAGATTATGATGGCTCTGGCTGGCCAAGGTCGAAGGAATGCTGGATGAGCGGAGGGGGGGGGGGAGGATGAGGGAGAGAGAGGGAGCGAAGGAGTGAGCGAGCGAGCGAGAGATTAGGGATGAAGGGAGAAAGGATATGCATCCAGAATATCCAAAATCCTGCTGCGTTCCCCCCCCCCCGGCCCCTTTTTATCTGCCACCGGCCTCCGTGCTCAGCCTCTCCCCCCTGCTCTCCCTGCTCCCCCCTGCTCCCTTCTCCTCCCTTCTCTTCCCTGGTTATTATTATTACACGCTGGACCCGACCAAGCTGGGCCTCGGATGGCCTCGATTGGCCACGCATTATTGCTCCATGGCCAATGTTCCCTGTTTCTTCCCTGCCATGCCGGCCTATCTGCTCCCGACGCACATCTGGCTGTTTCGGACAGGACGCTCCACTACGGAGGCCCATGGCGATTGACCGCGACAGCCACAGGCGCAGTTCCAGGTACAGCACGGGGAGAATTGCCTCTCCCCTGGACGGAGTGCGAGACTCCGACTCGAGACACGGCGGATCAAGGCTCTAACGGTCCCAACCAGCCCCTTACCAAAACTGACCAAAACCTACCAAGACACACCAAGACACACCAAGACACACCAAGACACACCAAGACACACCAAGACACACCAAGACATACCACGATAGGTCCTACAACTCTGTGGGCTTCGTCCAGCCCCCGGGCTCCCGCTTAGGAATCAATCCGATCATGGAGCCAGTCCGGCCCCAACCGGGTCTGGCGCCGGCAGGGGGAGAGGGGCGGCGGGTGGACTTGGACTATATACGGAGTACCTTAGCCTTTAGGTCCTCAGGTTGGTTGTGCAACTTGTGCTCTTGGAGACTTGGACTTACCTGAGTGGAGGCACTGGAGGCTGGAGCACTATGGAGCGCTGGGTGACGCCGTGACGGGATCGATAATTACCTAGGTATTGTTAATTACGAAGTGGATGGAGGCAAAGCATAGGTAGGTACTGTCCATTGTCTACTGTACATCTACCGACTGTATAAGTGTAACATACAAGTACTCCGTAAGGTAGATGATACCTTAGGAGAGGAGCTTCAAAGCCGCCCGCGGATGCATACAGTGCACCCTTCACGGTGCTAAACCTATCGGATGGCTGAGGTTCGACTCTCTGACGACTGTTTAACACGGCCGGTCAGGAGAAGGACTACGGAGTAGGGCGCGGGGACCGGGGATTACGCAGGAAGCAGAGTTGGATCAAGTACAGAGCAGTCAGCAGATATTATCACGTACTGTATACAGAAGGAGTCTTGTACTGTGCAGAGTACTACGTCTTCCTTCCCTTCTTTCAAAGACATAGCTGTCCTCACATTCATGAGCAAGCAAAAGCGAAAGGGCGTATAGTAGGGTACACAGGGCAGAGGATGTGGTTGTAATGTGTATCCGGTTCTACCTTATGGAATCCCGTAGTCAAGACCGCCACTTTAGTTACATACCGTAGTAGTTCAGGGGCTCTTATCCTTGTAATCGTACAGCCATCTTGACTCTTGACTCTCTCGACCGTCTTTTTGGCACCGGTAACGTCAACATTAAACGTAGCGTCGTAGCCTTACCTACTCGTGTCTATTATTAGGACATGCTACCGTATCACCCCCTAATCCTTATCGAATCTACATATCGAATACATACAACGTACCTGGCTACTGCTCTAGGCCCTATGGACTACTGCGAATATTGCAGTACAGTGTACGGTAAGTCTCTCGATTCCTCGATTCTCAAGTAACGGGTTTTAGAGACGTAGATCTATCCAACTCTTCTCACTCGGTCAAATCGACGTCTCGCGTCTCGCGAGGGACCGGACCAGTTTGGCGTGAAAAGTATAGTGGATGTATCTAGGTGCCTATCTACATCCCTTGGAACTCCTAGTACTGTCCGTAGATATCGTGCCATCATGAGGATATCCTGCCACCGCCTTTTCTTCCAGTGCTTGACCCTTTCATTGCTGTTTAGCTAAATGAAGAACAAGCGGCAAGATGTTACGAGTAAGGTACGGCCTTACATACGGTGTAGACTGTACTTGCATACCTCCTAAGGCATCCAATTGACTTGCCTTAGGCAAGCATTTCAGCAATAAGTACCTTGGATAGGCCACTCCGTTGGCTCCAGTACACGCTGCCTCTGTGCTTTTGCGGATGCATGATGGATGATCCTCTATCTTGTCCGTTGAACCCTAGGTACCTTGGGTAGGTAAGGAAGGATGATTGTTCTCGAGGCAGGTTTTCTGGCTCCAGGCCTTTGTGGGCTAAAGGGCGACACGATAGCTGGTAGCATACAAGGTTTGATGGAGCTGGTTTATATGATATGCGTTCTACTGTCCTACTGCTACTCTACCTACAGAGTTCAAGGCCTTCTCACCCCTCCCTCCCCTTCCCTCTGCCTATCTCCTGTTACGAACCTTTCTTATCTCCTCTGTTCCCACACTCTCCATCTCCCCTTCTCTCAAGATGTCGCGTCAGAATTTGTTGACCTGCTCGTTAAAAGCCTATTTCTACTGTATTCGTCTTGTCTCGGCAAGTACGACTTGATCATGAACGTGGAATCTGGAGGTTATCCTTACTGTAAAGCTACAGACCAACCGATGTTTTTCCCTTCAGATTCTTCCGTATCGTCATTAGAACCAACGCAATACAGATAACAACACTCTATAGCGACCATCATGAGGACCTCTAGGATTGCTTCATTCGCTGCAGCTACCGCCAGCGCGGCTCTCTTTGGGGCAAAGCTAGCTACTGCGGACCTCCCTCCCATCATCACCAAGGTATGCCGGGAGCGGCTCCAGTGTAGTCCAGTTGGCGTGCTGATGCCTTCCCAGGGATCTCACTTTTTCTACGAGAATGGAACCCAGTTCTTCATTCGGGGGGTGGCATACCAACGAGAGGTAAGCTCGAACGGCGCAACATCCGGAGCTTCAACCTTCACGGATCCTTTGGCTGACGAGGCTGGATGTGCTCGTGATATCCCACTCCTCCAAGAACTGGGTACGAACGTTATCCGTGTTTATGCCATAGATGCATCTTTGGACCACTCTGCTTGCATGAGTATGCTTCAGAATGCTGGAATCTACCTTCTCCAGGACTTATCGAACCCTTCGTCTTCGATCAACCGAAATGATCCAACATGGAACACCGAGCTCTTTGCAGACTATACTGCTGTCATCGACTCCCTTGCGAATTATACCAATGTCCTTGGGTTTTTCGCGGGCAACGAGGTTTCGAACGATGTCAACAACACAGATGCCAGCGCTTTTGTGAAGGCTGCTGTCCGTGATATGAAGGCATATATCAAAGCCAAGAACTACCGAAATATTGGTGTAGGCTATGCAACCAACGACGACGCCAATATCCGCATTAACCTTGCACACTACTTCAACTGTGGCGACGATCCAGCGGATGCTATCGATTTCTGGGGGTACAACATCTATTCTTGGTGTGGTGATTCTTCATACACGCAGTCAGGCTATGATCAGAGAACAGCTGAATTCACAAATTACTCTGTCCCAGCTTTCTTCGCTGAATATGGATGCAACACTGTTCAACCCCGTCAATTTACGGAGGTCCACGCCATTTACGGTCCTGATATGACTGGTGTATGGTCCGGCGGTATCGTCTACATGTATTTCCAAGAAGCAAATGACTATGGTATGCTCTTTAAAGGAACCCCATTTTGTTGCACTCCATGTTCATGACAAAACAGGTCTGGTATCTGTCTCGGGCAATACTGCAAGCAAGCTCCCGGATTTCACTGCTCTGTCCAAACAACTGGCGCTTGCGACCCCGAGTTCAACATCCGAAGCTGCCTACACCGTTTCCAATACCGTTGCACAAGCCTGCCCGGCGACAGGTGCTGCTTGGTCAGCTTCGAGTAACCTTCCACCAATTGCTAATTCCTACTTGTGCAGCTGCATGGTGTCGTCTCTCTCTTGTGTAGCTACCGCTGGCCTGAGCGGGAACGAAACAGCTACGCTATTTAGCATTATCTGCGGCCTGGACAGTAGTGCCTGCGATGGTTTTGGCGCCAATGCGACGACCGGCATTTACGGTCCCTACTCCATGTGTGACGCTTACTCTAAACTTTCATTTGCAATGAATCAATACTACCAGAACCACCAGAAGGCGCCTGCAGCGTGTGATTTTAATGGGAATGCGAAGATACAATCAGAATCAATAAGCTCATCTTGCTCATCTCTCCTCAGCCAGGTGTCCACTCGTACTGGTATCGATTCTTCGAGCGGTTCACCGGCCTCCTCAGCCAACACGAGGAATAGTGCCGCTGGTGTTATTGTCCCCCGGTCGGGTGTGGGTTTATTGCAGTTCAGTGCATACCTTCTGACTGCTGGTTTGGCCGGTGCGGTTATGACGTTGTTGTGAAAGCGCTATGATTTGGCTTCGTATTACCGGTATCAGAGACCTGCTAGATAAGCACGAAAGGGCCATGGCACTTGGAACAAAGCAGTACTTCCTTTTACTTACTCTCGTGTTGGCCTATCCGGTGCCTTTCTAAGTGCGAACGATGATCATGGAGGATTGGGTCCTCATTGTATAGTACCTTTGAATGAATAGGAAAATGCGTAACTGAAAATGGCTGCAAAGGTGCAAATTGAAAGAATTATGACCAATTCCAAGGTTGCTTTGATTGGCAAGAAATTGAAGATCGGGCTTCGTCTGATTTATGCTCTACTGTAGGTTCAAGAGAGATCGATAAGTCAGCATCTCTTAGTAGAGGAGGATCTCTCCATATAGGAGAATATCGGGGATTTATGACTCTACTGTCGTAGGAGACATGCCTTCAACCTTTATCAGAGCATCTCGACTATTACATTAATACCACATAGGTAATCGAACGAGGTTGCTATTGACCGAGCCTAGTTATCTAAGCTCTTCAGGCACAGTTGCGAGCGGTTGCTGGGGCAACCAGAGAATACCAACCTCGGCCAGAACCTCACCGTAAAAAAACCTTCTGATTCCAACTTTATCGCGAGGTAAATCATGGCTAGGATAGTAGAGGATAGCGAGGAGGAGTTCCCCGATCTTGCAGATATCCTTAAGTCTTCGAAATCGACATCGTGCCGAAAGACCACATCGATATCGACGACTCGCGAATCAAGAGCAACGGAAGCTGCGAGGCGGAGCGCGAAACTGGGCGGTGAATCCAAAGCATCCAATAGCATACGAGAAGGACTTGCCAAAGATGTGTGTGAGAGGAAGGGAGCACAGGCTGAGCTTCTGGAGAGGGAGACGAAGAAGTCAAAAAAGCGTGTGTTGAAGCCAATATCTGACAACCCTCTCCTACGGCCGATAGCGAGTACAGACATAAGAACTGCACCATCTAAACCATCTGGAAAAGTGACCGGCTCCAAGGCTGGGGAAAGGAGGAGAGTGGTGGTAGAGAAGAGACCGGACCCTGTTCCCCACGCGGAGTGGGAGGAAGAAGAGAGCGATTTCGGACCCGAATATGATGGTGACAGTGATGGGATGTCAGATTTTGTGGTCAGCGATAGTGAGAGCCTGGAAGATGACGAGTCCGTGGTCGAAAATTTACCGCCGAGGTCTGCCAGAAGACTTGTCCAGGGGAAGAGACTGGCAAAGAGTGTCGAGGAGGAATACGGAGAGCTGGACCTGAAGATGGGGAAGCTGAAGCTGGATGTCAAGGATAGCAACATGAAGCTGCCAGCCAAGGTTCCGGCAGCGAATGAAGTCATGAGCCTCGATGAGAGGGATCCTGGAATTGGGCGTCGGAAGAATATTTCTCAGGATGCACCAAAGGCCGGACAGAAGTCTGAAGAAATAACGGATTCAATTCTTGAATTGGGGTCCGTCCTTGATGACCCGGCTATCTTACGATTGTATGTTTGGATCCACCTCATCTATGCTTCGATACTGATATTCCTAAAGCTCGCCCTCGCAGAACAGGCTCCACAAACTTCCAAAAGAACCCCGTCTCAAAACTCCACCCCCAAGCCCCAGCCACAAGCCAGCAGGCTTGGTATCACCCAAGAAAATCCAGCGCATCCCTCTTACTCCTCACCGACCCAGCATGGACAGTTTCTGGAGTCAAGAAGTCATCAATGACTGGAACGATGAGTTCTCTCCCCGAAAACTCCCAACGGTACCCCCAAAACCCTTATTTCAGGATCACTCTTCATCAGAGGGTGCCGCCCCCTCGCCTAGGAAAAGCCCGACCAAGCAAGATCGCATAGCACGGGATGCCAAAAAGGCCTTCTCACAACGAAAGCATGACCTTGCAGAGTCATTTCTCGTGGAGCTTGATGACGCTATCACTGATGGGCAGATTGCGAAATTGGCCGCGGCCACTGGAGGAGTGAAGATTATCTGGAGCAAGAAACTCAACACTACAGCAGGCCGTGCGAATTGGAAGCGGGAGACCATCCGAAGTCACACTCCTGGGCCGGATGGCAGGCCTGCTCCAACATATCGACATCATGCCGCAATTGAACTCGCGGAGAAAGTGATCGACGACGAACACCGTCTGTTGAATGTCATGGCGCATGAATTCTGCCATCTCGCAAACTTCATGATCAGCAATATCAAAACGAACCCCCACGGCAAGGAATTCAAGGCCTGGGCCTCGAAATGCTCGGCACATTTCGGGCATAGGGGTATAGAAGTCACGACGAAGCATTCGTACGCTATCGAGTACAAATATATCTGGGAATGCACGAACTGCGGGATCCTATTCAAGAGACATTCGAAAAGCATTGACCCTTCGAGGCACCAATGTGGGAGTTGTAAGAGTAAATTGGTGCAGATCAAGCCTGTACCCAGGATAGTTGGCAGCAAGATAAGTGAGTACCAGAACTTTGTAAAGAATAATATGAAGAAGCTCAGGGAGGAGAACCCGGGAAGCCCACAGAAGGAGATTATGAGCTTGGTGGGGAAGAAGTACCAGGAATTTAAAGCGTCTAAGATGACAAATGGAATGGATGATGGACAATCCTTCGAAGGCATCAGCGTCGAGGAAGATGCCAGTTCCAAGGAGGGCTCTCCTGAGGATGACGGCACTAGTTCTATTGCGAGGAAGTTGAACTTCCTTACTTTGACAGATTCCTGAATTTGGAAAAGCTGGCAGGGCCTGAAATATACCAATCTCAACGTCTCATTCATGTGTCTGACATTCATTCTGGCATCCTAGGCACAGTAGCCGATGCTCTCCCGCAAACCGGCAATAGAGTTGCCACCAGATGCGTTCAGCAAAGTCCTAAAGCCTATCCTGATATTTCGTTTGATTTGCATCTCCAATCCACCCGTCTCACAACCCCCTCCCCCCAAAACAGAAAAAAAGAAACAGGGCAACCACTTTATACTTCATTAAAGAGACCCCAATCTTTGATCTTAAACGTCTCCCAAATCCTCGCCGCATAATCCACTGCATCACTAATCAATTTTCCTTGCTTTCCAACCTGTAGATCGACTTCCTCCTCGCTATACTCGCCCTTGATATGCGGCACATTGATGGTGATTAGGATATCTGTACTCTCTTTCTCCAACCGAATCAGGTTCAAGACTATAGCTGTGAAGTCTGGAGTCAGATCCCGAGCCGCTGGATCTGGAGGAGGTGTTTGGGTGGCGATCAACGTATAGGCCGGTGTTCCTTCTCTAGCTTCGGTGTGAGCAAGGGAATAAAGCACGTGATGGCACCCCCTCTTCTTGGAGGCCAGAAGAGGTGAGAGGAATAGAGGACTTACGGAAGCTTCGAATACATCGTATTGCTCGTACTCCATACCTTGACGGTATCAATATCGGAAGCAACAATATCTTCCAGGTGCGTTGTCAAGGCTGCGCCATCGGTGGCTGGTCCGCTCCCAGGCAGGCCAACTCGCTCTGTGATATCGAAAATAATACTTGTGAAGCCATCCTTGTCGAGGTAGACTTCTTGGTTGTCTGGTACTTGGCGAATGGTACTTGTATTGTTAGTCGGGAGGGGGGCAAAGGGTCAAAGGGACAAGGAGCCAGAGTGACTATACCTGACGTCGGCGAAGGAGGAGGGGAGGTCGACGATAAGAGCGCCGCCGAAGAGGGGCGTGCTGCGGAAGGTGGTCATGTTGAGCAGTTGAACAGTTGAATATTTGGAGCTTTGGGATTGCTTTTCGAAAAGTTAACCTGAGATGGACGTTGGAATTATCTATTACTTGATAGTAGGAATATACGAATATGCCTATCTACCTAGGTAGGTAGTCACAAGTACGCCCAAGTCGTTTCAAGACAGCTTTGGTGGTCGCCTCGCTTGCGTGCTGATTTTCCAGGATGCAAAAAACAGGCCAGTTGCAAAAAAAAAAGAATCAGTACCAGACAAGTAAGCAGGTACAGCACTTAAGAGAGTCGAAAAAATCATAAAAAACACAAAATGGAGTTAGAAATAATAAAAAAAAGTAAAATAAATTCTGAATCATCAGATCGAAGGGTTACAAAGATTGGATGAATGGAGTATTATGGGCATGAGCCACGGTCATCTCTGGTAAAAGGCAAGAAATGAATTCTGAGCTAGCTTGTCCCACTCCAACCATTAAACCTATCATTTAAATATATATACATGCTTCCGCATTACTTGATTGCCTCGCCCCCCTCAACACAGCATTCCACACACGTAGAAAAAGGCAATTATTTCCGGAACCTGAGAAGCGTAAGGGCTTTTGTTTTAATTCTGACAGAAAATCGCGATCAAAAGTCGAGATTTCGACTTTGCTGCAAGAGAAAGTGTCCTCGTCATCGTATCCTCGTGCCTCGGAGCTCTTTCCCGGTCTCGCGAGGAGCTCTTCTGGCCCTCGACGACCCCACCCCGCCTTTACTCTATCTATTCTATCTATTAGGTATATACCTCACTACAGCAGCCTTCAACATTTCTCTCGCCGCAAAATACAAAGTCACCAAGATGGCAGCAGCTTGTATCTTCTGCAAAATTGTCAAAGGTAATCATCTACCTCACCTTATTCCCTGCGAACTAATCATACTGAGATCTCACACCTAGGGGATATTCCATCCTTTAAGCTCTTCGAATCCGAGAAGGTCTTCGCATTTCTCGACATAAACCCTCTGAGCAGAGGGCATGCTGTACGCTTGTACCCCGCCCCTTGTCATTCGCCAGAGAAGTATACGAAGAGGGACTAATATTTGGATAATAGCTTGTGATCCCGAAGTTCCACGGCGCGAAGCTAACCGATATACCTGATGATCAATTGAGCGAGATACTGGTACATCCCGATACAATGCTTCTTGCGGCATCATAGAGAGAGAGAGTGTATGCTGAGATCCGGTATAGCCAGTAGTGAAGAAGCTCGTCAAAGCAACCGGCGCAGAGAATTATAACGTCTTGCAAAATAATGGGCGAATTGCGCACCAAGAGGTTGACCACGTACGTTTCTCTCAGCCTGCTGTACTGCCAATTGGTAAATGATTGTTAACGTGGTTCCAGGTACATTTCCATATGGTAAGAACATCGGAGAAGGATTGGAGTGCATAGATGCTGATCAAGGTAGATTCCGAAACCAAACGCCGAAGAGGGGCTGTCGATTGGATGGCCACAACAGAAGACGGATATGGACAAGTTGAAGGAACTTTTTGCGGAGATCAAGTCGAAGATGTAAGATGGAGTTGTCTACGGAGGTATGGGGTCGATGACAAGCAAGAGACGAAATGGTTGCATAGTATTATCACCAAGCTGATGAATGCTCATGTAAACGTATCATAAGACACGAAAGTGGTAAGCCTTACGAGAATAGGTCAACCGATCATAAAACAAGAGGTATGCCGATATGAGATCTGGGCTCTACCGTGCCAAGTCAATGTTTTCAGAGGTTCTGATGCATAGATCTTTTGTTCCCAACGCATACCTAACGCCAGCCAGCCACCACACATCACAAATATTGTGACAAGCACCAGGTCGAAGTAACCCCTACTTCATCTCTTAGTTCCATATAACTGCAGATTTCTAATCTAAATCATTCTCAGAGGTCTCAACGGGCTTAACACCGTTAGGAGTCGCTGAGCTCGGGCCCTGAGATGCGGGTGTCTTCCCAGGGTAGAATTGGATCCGTCCTCCAGGATTGATCATCCCAATACGATCGTAATACGACCTCGCACGAATAAATGGATCGAGTCTCCAATAATCGTCCCTCAATTTATTGGCCAGTTCATTTCTTGTGGCCTTGATTATTTCCGGATTTGTTTCCTTGCCGCGAATCCAATCCAGAGTTACATTTTCATATTCCTTAATGAGATTCTGGCGCTCAGCAAGTAATTTGTCCCTCGTCTCGGTGTCCTTTATAGCGTCATTTTCGCCTGGTACAGGCTCAATGTATTTGTATGCCCAATCTTCGTCACCGTCGAGCTCTTTGATAATGTTGGACGCGGGGACGAATTGCTCCATTTCTTGGTTGCTGTTTGTGAAGTGCACCTTGCTGGCTACTACAGGATCGAGCCAACCTTTGATAATCTTCCAGATACCTAGGTTTCATCAGCGCCCATCTATGCCAGTTATCGAGACAGGACTTACCTTGGAATACCCATGGAGCTTTATGAACTAGAACAACCCCGAGACTTTCTGGGTAGTTTGCTTCGAAGCATTTTATTATGAACTTTAAAGGTGCATAGTCCTGAATCCAGTTAGATTCTCGTCGAGCACGAAGAGTTACCTAGAACGTACCATGTTGGCCATTGAAAAGCCAGTCATATCAAAAACAACACACTGGAAAAGAATTAGCCAAAGCTCATTGCGGGATATGAATGTACGTACAGCTGTGTCAACAGGAGGAGCCAAGAGCAGGCGTGCAGACTCAATCACGAAGACAGTGTATCTCTCCAGGGCCTCCTCGGCTTGTTCCCCTTGCTTGTGGAAACGGACTCGGACGAAACACATAGGTCTTCCTTCTTTATCCAAACCGTGCAAAAAGCTTTTCCCCATGCGCATTTGTGACATGAAGTCATTCCCGGCTTTCTTTTTCTCGGGATCAGTTCCATTTGCATCCAGGACAGCAGCGAGTTCTCCATTCAACATAATATCGTCATCTACATGCATCTCACCCGACCTCCACCTCATGGTAGAGACCATCATAACCAAGGCTTTCTCGACATCCCACTTCCTCGCTCTTAGAAATCGTAGAAGGAGACCATCTGGATGATCATGCTTTACCATGCTCCAGAAAGCCGCCCGGATTGCCTCTGGAGATAGATTTGCCAACGCTTCTTGAAATTCTTTCGTCTGCCCATATTTATCGTCCGAATCGCCTGAACCGGAGGGTACACGTGAACCAGATTCAGTTGATGTTGTGGAGCTCGTGTCCTCGTCCTTATGCCCTCTGCGGAAAAGAGACATCCTCTTCTTCTTTGACTTCTTTGCGTCTGTTTTAGCGGTGCCATTTGCGGGTTCTGCAGCCTCCTGCGCATCCAATATACCGAAGACTTGAAGTGTTGCGATCCACAGTTCTCGCAGCTTCTCCTCCTCTGCTGGGGTCAACGTCCCCGGCCGACCTGGAAGAGATTCTACTGCCATGTTGTGCCGATTCTCGTTACTTTGGCCTTTAAGGAGGTTTCGAGAATCTGCGGAATCCTTCTCTTCCAAACGTTCAACGTTGCTGGGAGAAGTCGTGTAAAAGACTAGGCCGCTTATGAGACCCGCGAGAACGACAACAGCCCAAGAACTTAAACTGCTCTGCTGGAGATAGGTGGATTGACTCGAGCTTTGGATCCTGAATTCCCGTCTCAAAGGCCTTGACACGGGTTGCTTACTCGGACCGCCGAATCGGGAGAATGGTCTTGCGCCGGAAGCAACAGGGATTCTCGAGCAGCGCGCCGGATTGTATGCTATTCGGGGGTGGAATAATCTCAACGGATGCTGAGTATCAAAAAAAACGAAAGGCGGGAATAAACTCGTGGACGACGTGTGATCAGCGGCGTACTGTGACTGTGGGGGTTGATGCTTTCCGGATCGCAGTAGAACGACTGGCGCAAACCGACGGCGTAACTTGTCCCTCAAAATACGAGCGACTCTGGTCATGGAAGAGAGAGAAGGAGGAGGAGAAGAGAGCGAGAGAAAGAGAGAGGGGGGGAGAGAGAGAGAAAGAGAGAGGGGGGGAGGGAGAGAGCGAAGGGGGGAGATGCAGATGCAGAGGCAGAGGTGGAGGTGGAGGTGGAGGAGGGGGCTGAGGGCTGTTGTCTCAAGGAAGACCGAGTATTTCTTGTCAATATTACCCCCCATAACCCTACTAAGCACACCCACCCTCCTGTAGTACCTGTAGTACCTGTACATACTAGCTGGGTACCTTGGGTACGAATGAGGAAACGTTCCTGAGTCCCGTCGCCCAGTGGGCCGTCTGCCGGAGGTTCCGTGGGGAAAGATGTACAGAAAGAAAGATTTGCTTGCAGTGCCTCGTGCCGTCCTTGCTCGTACAACAAATACCTTAGACAAGGTACCTAGCAACGGAGATGGAACATGTACACTGATATGCACTGTAGGTACTGCAGCAATACTATCTGCTATCTGCTATCCGCCATCTGCCATCTCCCACTGTCTGTGTCGAGTGTCACGAAACGTGGGTACTTCCACCCTCCCGTCGCTATCGTTTACCTCCTTACTAAGATGCCATCTACTTGCCTTAGGTACCTTAGGTACGGTACCTTACCCACCTCAGGTACCTTACCTTACCCAAGGTACCTACAGTACAGTACTTCACTTGGGCACTGCGGGCCAAAAGAATCAGCAGGTATTATTATGGGAGTCTAGTAGTACCTCAAATTCACACCGTTATCACAATTTACCTCAGGCGCCGAAGTACATCATCCATACTGTATACTGTACCTTAGGTAGGCACACGTAGGTACTATAGCAAGGATTATTATCTAATCTGCATCGCGTCGCGTGCTCCTGGAATCTGAACATCGAACATCACAGCATCAGAGTCAAAAAGTCGACCGGATCCCTCAGTCAAGCCCCCATCCTATCCATTCACAAAGATCCCCTTCCTCACCAGCCATCATGTCCTCCTCCACAACCCCACAAGCGGGCAGCAGTATTAAGCGCTCTACATCTGGCAGTCGCAGACCCATTTCGCGACCAACAACTCCCCTACGCCCCTCCTCGCGCTCCTCTCTGCGCGAGTCGGGCAAGGCCAGCGTAGGAGGCGCATGCGATGTCCCTCTTGAAGCTTTTGAGCCCTCTTTTGCGGAGTTATCTGACTCAATGGCGGATCTGGAGGCGAACTTCATGCACCTGCAATTGATGCATGAGAGTTTGGCTAGATTCAGCGAGAATTTTGCGAGTTTTCTATACGGGTTGAATATGAATGCTTTTTGCGTGGACTTCCCGGAGGTAAGTAGTCCTGTCTACTCACAGGTCCCACTGACCGAGAATTAGGCGCCAATTCCTGATTCTTTCCGGAGAGCGAGAGAACAAGAGGAGCAATTGGGCAAGTCTAATATTCCCAGGCAGCTGGAATTGTGCTCATACCTACCTACAGGCCGATCAACAAATTCGGATAGGTTTCACGGCGAGATTGATGGAGAGACAACATTCTTGTAAGCTGAATCAGGATCCACATAGTCTTATTTCTTATGGCTAATATTTGTAGGACAACGGATACATCCTTCGTTGACAATCCTCCCGCCTCCTCAAAAGCGACTCCAAAGTTTGCGACACCTGCTCCAGCTTCGCGCATCGCAAGTCGCGGTGGGATTGCGCCAGCAGGAAGAGGAGGAGCGGCTCGTGGTGGGCTCCGAGGTACTCGTGCTAGCGGTCTCGCAAGAGCAAGAGGCCGTGGTGTAAGGTAGTGAAGATACCCCCAGTAACTCATCTGTCTTCCCGCAATGATGGCAAGATTCGGCAGCTATTCAACCATTTGGGCAGGAAAATCCGTGTGGAGGATTGCCGTGAGATTTCAAGTTGCCACTCCATCATTCATCTCCACTTCCACATCCTCTGTAGTGTCCTTGGCCGCCTGTCGAGGCCCATTATCCGTCCTCAACCCAATCGCTGCCTCGGCTTCCTTCTGTGTATAGGGTTCATCCTTCAACGCTTTGACTCTATTGCGATTGTCAGTTGACATGGCCTACCATTTAACCATTCTCATCTGACCTTCTCTTGTGCGTGCTGCCTTTCCGGTGGCCAACCAGACTATACTCGCTCTCGAACCATTTTGCACATTCGATACAGTAAAACTGCCCAAGGCCCGGAAGATCCTCCGCTGCCTTCGTGCTCTTGTGTTGCTCGAGATGCTTGGGGGAGCGAAGATCTGCTGCGATTTGGTCGAGATCTCTGGGTAAAGGTTAGCTAGCCGACAAGGATCCACGGCAGGGAACGCGCCTTGTTCTCCTCCGGGTCTTCGTCCTAGTTGACTTCTGGGGGATACCCATTATGATATTGTGGTTGGGGGGAGTACGGTAGAGTATCGCTGTCTGGAGCTGCTGCGGCTCAGTCGACACCGTGGACAGGCTCCGTAGGAATGGATGGCCGACTAGAGGAGGCTGCTGCGGATTTCGCTGCGTTGCCGAAACGAAAAAAAAGAGGCAAAAAGGTCGGCAATAGGGAAGGGGACTGGCCAATGGGGGGCGCGCATGACTTCTGCACCCTTGCGGCTCGCCGGTTCTCCCCTTCTCCCTGCGCCAGCATCTTCCGGCCTGGCGGGCAGATGTGTCGATTACAAGCAATGCACAGATGAACGGGGCAATTCCCGGAACAATAATTAAAAAAATAAAAATAACCCTCCAGGTAATAAACAAATAAAAAGAATACAAGAGCACATAACCTCGGCACGAGAAAGGCGTGAAGTCTGCGGCCAATACGGAATTCCATCTTTGCCTTGACATCATTGTCGGACAAATCAGTCGTTCGTCATTGGCTGCTTGGAGCTTGGAGCTTTGCTTGCAGTTGCGGCGCCCGTGAACCGCCAACCGAACGTCTCTCTGATAAGCTCGGCTCATCTCGTCTTCCTCTCTTTCTTTCCTCTTTTCTCATCATCAACAATCCTCATCCACCACTCCTCTCCTTCCCACCATGTTGTCGTCTCGACAATTACTCCGTGCAGCTCCACGGCGGGCAGCCGCCCAGATGGGCGTGCGCCGTATGGCTACTGTGGGAGACTCTCCTCTCGACAGGCAAGTGAGGCAGAACAACCACGAGAAAAACAACTTCATCAACTACAAGAAGATGTCTGAGAACCTGGCAATTGTCCGCCAGAGACTCAACCGTCCCTTGACATATGCTGAGAAGATTCTCTACTCGCATCTGGACGACCCTCACGGCCAGGAGATCGAGCGTGGTGTCTCATACCTCAAGCTCCGTCCCGACCGTGTTGCTTGTCAGGATGCCACGGCTCAGATGGCCATTCTTCAGTTCATGTCTGCTGGCATGCCTTCTGTCGCCAACCCAACCACCGTCCACTGTGATCATTTGATTGAGGCACAGACCGGTGGCGCCAAGGATCTTACCAGGGCTATCGACATCAACAAGGAAGTCTACGATTTCCTCTCTACATCTTGCGCCAAGTACAACATTGGATTCTGGAGGCCTGGTTCTGGTATCATCCACCAAATCCTTCTCGAGAACTACGCTTTCCCCGGTGGTCTTCTGATCGGTACCGACTCTCACACCCCCAATGCCGGTGGTCTTGGAATGTGCGCCATTGGTGTTGGTGGCGCTGATGCGGTGGACGTCATGGCCAACCTTCCCTGGGAGTTGAAGGCACCAAAGATGATCGGTGTCAAGCTTACTGGTGAACTGTCTGGCTGGACTTCTCCAAAGGGTAAGAGCCCATTTGTTGTTTTTCGTCATCAGCACTAACTGTCAATGTAGATATTATTCTTAAGGTAGCTGGAATTCTGACCGTCAAGGGTGGAACCGGTGCCATTGTCGAGTACCACGGCCCAGGTACTGAGACCATTTCTGCAACTGGTATGGGCACTATCTGTAACATGGGTGCCGAAATTGGTGCCACTACATCTCTTTTCCCTTTCAACGACCGTATGTACGACTACTTGGCAGCCACCAAGCGCTCTGAGATCGGAGACTTCGCACGATCATATGCCAAGGAGCTTCGACAAGATGAAGGTGCCGAATACGATCAACTAATTGAGATCAACCTCTCTGAACTCGAGCCCCACATCAACGGTCCCTTCACTCCCGATCTCGCCACCCCCATCTCCAAGTTCAGCGAGGCTGTCAAGGCCAACGGCTGGCCCGAGGAGCTGAAGGTCGGTCTTATTGGTTCTTGCACAAACTCTTCGTATGAGGACATGTCCCGCGCTGCTTCCATCGCCCGTGATGCTCTTAACCACGGCATCAAGGCCAAGTCTCTGTTCACTGTCACCCCAGGTTCCGAGCAAATTCGTGCCACCATCGAACGTGACGGTCAATTGAAGACCCTCGAAGAGTTCGGAGGCATGGTTCTTGCTAACGCATGCGGTCCCTGCATTGGTCAATGGGATCGTAAGGATGTCAAGAAGGGTGAGGCCAACTCCATCATCTCGTCCTACAACCGTAACTTCACTGGACGTAACGATGCCAACCCTGCTACCCACTCCTTCGTCACCTCCCCGGATCTCGTCGTCGCTATGACCATCGCTGGTTCCCTCCACTTCAACCCTCTGACTGACAAGCTCAAGGACAAGGATGGAAACGAATTCCTTCTGTCTCCACCAACAGGAGCTGGTCTGCCAGAGAGAGGATATGACCCCGGACAGGACACCTACCAAGCACCCCCGGAGGAGCGTGCTAACGTCTCCGTTGCTGTCTCACCAACCAGTGACCGCCTTCAGCTTTTGGAGCCCTTCAAGCCTTGGGATGGAAAGGATGCATTGGGCATTCCTATTCTTATCAAGGCCAAGGGTAAGACCACCACCGACCACATCTCTATGGCTGGCCCATGGCTCAAGTACCGTGGACACTTGGACAACATCTCTAACAACATGTTGATTGGCGCTATCAACTCCGAGAACGGTGAGGCCAACAAGGTCAAGAACTGCACCACTGGAGAGTACGGCCCTGTCCCAGCCACTGCTAGAGACTACAAGAAGAAGGGTATCCCGTGGGTTGTCATTGGTGACTGGAACTACGGAGAGGGAAGCTCAAGAGAACATGCCGCTCTGGAACCCAGACATCTTGGTGGTCTCGCGATCATCACCCGAAGCTTTGCCCGTATCCACGAGACTAACTTGAAGAAGCAAGGCATGCTTCCTCTGACTTTCATCAACCCAGAAGACTACGACAAGATTCAGCCCGAGGACAAGGTTGACTTGATGTGCACTGAACTGGCAGTTGGCAAGCCAATGACCCTGAGAGTGCACCCCAAGAGCGGCGGAGAGCCTTTTGATATCAAGCTGGCGCACACATACAACGAGCCACAAATTGAGTGGTTCAAGAACGGAAGTGCCCTTAACACCATGGCCAAGGCACATGCTTAAGGGGTGTAATTAGAAGTTGGGGGTGTTGGGTTTCTTTAGCTGTAAATTCAATGTTCTTTCCATGTCTGTGCCCACCGAGCGTTGTGCAATTATATGGGTGTCTCTGTGTCTGTGTCAGGGTTAGATCGCATATACTACTGCTTCCAATGGATGAATGTGTCAAGGTGCTAATTCCAATGGCTAAATCGTGTCAGCCTTGCCATTTCAGCCTCCAATTATTCTCTCGAACTTTTGACTGGATTCATTAAGCGAATACTAGGTAGGTATGGGCCCGTACTCCCTGGGTAGACACTGTACCGTACCTAGCTTCACGAATAACTTTCTCGGACTCGGTACTGTAACTCCTTTGCTTGTCGCGTTCACCCAGCACGATTCTTCCCTTGACAACAATGTTGCGAGACGACTCTGCGACCGAATAAAGTACAGAAAGAGCGCTTGTATCCCGCTTATTTCTACGTTGTGTGGCTTAACCTACCTCTAACGATCCCCTATCCACCGTACCTCCGCAGCTGTCGACGTTCCTCCTTCAGAATGGCTCCAAGTCTACCGCAGTTTTCTGCGGCTCGAATGCGATCGTACATTTTCCGGCTCCCTTTGTTCACTCGCGCCATTATATTCGTCATAGTAGCTTTATGGCTTCTTAGTATACAGTCAGTCTGGGATGTGCAGCAATGGGGGGCTTTAATACCGATGGAAATTGGTCTAAACACCAGTTAGTACTTTACTTCTTGCAGCATTTCTACGCCTCTATGAGAATATATGGCTGACGCCCTTGAGCTTTCCAGTGTATCGAACGAATACTTTCCCCCTGGTTCATGCCGGCTTCTTCCACGCATTCATGAATATTATTGCTTTGACCCCGTTATTGGAAAGATTCGAGGCAGAATACGGAACCTTGACTACTTTGGCCCTGTTCCTCGGTCGTAAGTGTCATCCAATGGCTGAAAAAGACTGGTACCTGGCTGGCAGAGAGACTGACGCGAATTCCAGCTTTATCCACTATCCCGGCCCTGTTATATACATTTGTTGAGAGGGGCATCTTACACATGAACACGACAGTCCTCGGTGCCAGGTACGAACTACATTTATTATTTCTTAAGGGATATCACATGGAAATGATGCAATTCTGACCGGTGGATTAGCATTTGGGTGTTCACCCTGCTTGCGATGGAGGCCGTCAAGACATACAAATCAAACCCGTATTTCATGCTTGGTGATAATAAAATACCCACCTGGACAACGCCTCTTATACTGGTACTATTTGTTTCATTCCTGATCCCGAATACCAGCTTTCTCGGCCATGTCTGTGGACTCCTTTTTGGTTATGGATGTAAGTTGCCTTTCGGAGAGTAGTGGACAAAGGGGCTGACCACACCAGGGGCGCTCGGGTATCTCAAGTTTCTCGCACCACCAGAGAAGATTCTTAGGTGGATTGAAGGCAAGATGAATCTATTAGGAAGGCTGCCGCACTATGTGTCTGTTGACCAAAAAACATATGGGCGGTTTGGGGTACTTCCCAGCAATACCCCAACCCTGTCAGGGGCAGTGGAAAGTCCGATTGCCATGAGCTATGTTGGGAGCTCGCAACGATTAGGACCATGAAAATTGACGATATTCCGGGGATTGAATCATGTCATTTCTCCTGTACAAAATCTTGCATGAATAGGCGTTTGGGACTCTTCGGGTGGAGTGAGGGGCCATTCGATCATGGCCCTAGAATGAGGTGGAATACGAATTTTGTTCCTCGATTGTAAAATGTTAATAGTTATTTATTTTTAATATTATGCTTCTAATGTTGTCCTTCCAATCCGCTTTTTCGACAGACTCAGTCACTCAGGGACGCGACGAAGTCGCCTCGGTTACTTCTCTGATAAACATTGATAACCTCGCGCTTCACAGCAGTACTTGAAAATGCTGAGACCACGAAACCACCTTTAGTTACCTCCGCCATGGCAAGCCTGTTATGTAAGTTTATACCCAGCAAACACTGCTCGGATTCTGATCTATTTCTGCAGCTTCAGGAGTTCTCCTCCGGCGCAATCCGCACATCCTCAAATTACCCCCATACCTGTCCTTTCTTTGCGTATTGATCGGGGTTGCATGGCTTCTAGTCTTGCCCTTGGACAACTACTCACGAAATACATACATCTCCGAAAACGCCCTTCTGCCAGGTCAGGTCCATACGTATTTTGCCGGAAGCGACCAGAATGTGTTCAGAGGTTACAAGCGCGAGATTGATGCATTGGAAGATAAGCCTAATATTGAGTATGTGAGATGGCTGTTTGGGACCGAGAGAGGCTGATGAGTGGCATAGAGTGAATGATAAATTGGAGGAAATTCTCAAAGCTTCCGGTTTAAAGGTTGCACGACAGAGCTACGAGTATAAATCTGCGGGCCAGACATACACGGGGGAGAATATATATGCTATTCTCCATGCACCGAGAGGAGACGCCACGGAAGCCATTGTGCTTGTTGCTGCCTGGAAGAATATGGAGGGGAAACTTAACCGTAGCGGGATACCTCTTATTCTGACTCTGGCACGGTACTTCAAACGTATGGGGCCCTTTCCTCCAGGGATGTGCAGGACTAATATAAGACAGGTTGGTCTTTATGGTCTAAAGACATTATTTTCTTGGTGACAGCGGATAGCACAGCGGGGCCGCAGGCCTGGGTTGATGCATACCATGATACTCACCAATCTCCTGCCATCGATTCGTTGCCCCTTAAGAGCGGAGCCTTACAAGGTGCGATCGTCATTGATTATCCGTTCGATCATCGATTCCATTCTCTCCACATTGCCTACGACGGTATCAATGGCCAGCTTCCGAACTTGGATCTTCTCAATACCGTAGTATCTATTGCGAGCGGTCAGATGGGTATCGGAGTCTCTCTACAACAGATGTGGCAGCATTCAGATAGCTACCAGGACAGACTACAAACGATGCTTCGAGGTATGATGAACCAAGGTTTAGGACATGCCTCAGGGCCACATAGTAGCTTTATCCCATATCACGTTGACGCTATAACTCTGCAGCCATTCGGCGACGGTTGGCAAGACGAGATGGCGATGGGGAGGGTCATTGAAAGCACTTTTCGAAGTCTGAATAACCTGCTTGAGCATCTACACCAGAGCTTCTTCTTCTACTTGCTTATGCAGGCAAACCGCTTTGTTAGCATTGGGACTTATCTTCCCAGCGCTATGCTAGTAGCTGTCAATTTCACCATCATGGCTATCTTTTTGTGGGTGAAGAGTGGCTACCCCCAATCAACTAATTCGAAGACACCTTCCACGGTTGAGGCTGAGGAGAAAACCTCGCAATTAAACTCAAGTCAAAAAGGGAATGCAAAAGTCATTACTGCCGAGGAAAGCTCGGCTGTAAGGGAGAGAGAACTCCTTCTCCCCCTGGCAGTTGTAGCTGGGTCTCAGTTCCTCGGCGTACTGCCTCTCTATATCTTCAACCACACCCCTCAAAATGTAGGTCTCTCTTAAAACCGCTATCCATCTGTGAAAGCTAACATCTCCAGATGCTCACACCAGTGTTCGTATCTTTCGCAGTGGCTAACAATGCACTGCCATACATCCTCTCTCGCACCCTAACACATCTCTTCAACCCCACAACCCAGCAGTATCAACTCATAAAATCCTTCTCGCTCCTCCTCCTGGGGCTCTTTCTCTCCTCCCTCGCAACCCTCAATTTCTCCTTAGCATTCCTAGTCGGCCTTCTTGCCACACCTCTTACCTACATATACCCCACATCCTCAACCTCCGCCCTAAGCTATGTTCTCAAAGCAGTCCTCGCGCTAGTGCTAAGTGTGATCGCACCTACAGCGGTGCTGGTTGCAGCTAGCTGGTCCTGGGGATTGAGTATAGAAAAGGTGCTGACCCAGGCAGCCTACGGGTGGGATGTCTGGGGTATGAATACGCAAGTTGTGGTGTGGTGTGTTTGGTGGCCTGCTTGGATTGTCGGGGGGGTTTTACTGTTTGGGAGGCCACGTGAAGAGACTACGAAATTGAATGAGCGTGGGCAAGAAAGCAAAGCTGTAATTTAGGATGTATAAATAGCGAGTTTAAAGCAAGAGGTCTCCTTGAGTAAACCCATGTAAGAGGAGTAAACCACTTCCAAATTTTTGCAACGTTGGTAGATTAGAGAACAGCCTGATGGGCTCTCAGAGCTACGGCGGAGTCAAAACGCAGAACGAGAACGAGCTCTCGAACGATGCCCATTTCGAGAACTTCACTGGACATAACTCGATTTTTCAATCACTTAACCATCCTGATAGCCCGCAAGTCTGAAGCTGTCAAACTTAGAAGACAGACAAGGAAGGTTCACGATCTTCGCTCTCGGATCCGAACATTTCTCATATTATTGCCCTGAAACCAGCACATGCAGAGTATCTCTGTCGGTTTCTCATGCTCTCAGAGATCTATAATACATCCCATTTCGCATCTTTATCAAGCCAGACGCCATGCCAAGTTAAATTATGCCGCCCAAACATCCTGACCCTTCGACTCAATCCAGTGACCCAGCGAGTTGACACTTGAATCCCATTCCTGCAACCTTAAACGCATGTTGTCGATCTGCTTCATGTCTAAAACCTTGGGCTGTACCCAGTTGATTCTCGCAATCTCATCGACCTGGTCAATGCTTCCCCTCAACAATTCTAAGCTCAACGCCTTCATAATCAAATGCTCAATCTCGTCAGGTCTGACCTTAGTCTCTTCGGCGATGGTGCGGAAAGACATGGCGCGGTCATGGGGAGGTCTTCGGAATACCGCCTCGGTAAGGGCAGCGAGGTAGATCTTTTGTCTCAAGCCTTCTCGATGTTCTGCAAGGAGTGGGTTCGAGGAAATGTGGCCAGCGAGAACGTCGTATGCAGCCAAGTCTCCACGGTTAAAGGCGAAAAGAAGATCACGCAGCCATGCATCCTCATTCACAAGAGAATCCAAGATGGGGTGTAGCAGTAGTTCTCCGAAATTGTATATCGTATCTGAAACCAAAGCTGCGATGCTAAGGTCATAAGCGCGACTCTTCCGTTCAGCAGGAGTCAAATCGTTCAGGTCGATGCACGCTAGGTAGAGAAGTGCATTTTTGTAATAGGAAGCGAATTCAAGTTTGGACTATTGCCGTTAGTAGAGTCCTGGTGCTATTGCATGGGGACGAACCTGATAGTATTCTGCGTTCACCCGGTAGAATGCAGCGTGTACGATAGTCTCAACAGAGTCAAACCTATCCAAAATCTTCTCTGACTTGTCTAATTCAACGCGCGCGCCCTCCAGATCCTTTAACTCCAGCTTTACCGTAGCTACTGCAACAGTGGCGTAGACATAGGCATCTTGTGAATTGGGGTTGTTGACTTTGCTTGCCACAGAGGTGAGGAAAGACAGCCGCTCTTGACTGTCTATTACAGGGTCAGCAATAGTATAACAGCGGTAGGAGATAGTATTACCTCTGCATTGCGTAGCGGCACTCAAGGCAAGAGTGACAAGCTTCAGCTGGTTGATCTTATCTGCGAAGGTAAGAATGAAGGTCTTGTAGAGCGGTAATCGCTGGCCGGCGCTCTCTCTATGGTTGAAGAACTCTATCAAGGTATCTGTCAACTGGTGCCACAGCTTCCGCTCCCAGAGGTCCTCGAATGAGATGAAGAAGTGTTGCAAGTCTGCGGGCGCTGCATCCCGTTGCTCTGCAAGGAAGTCGGGGATCGTGTCGATATTCATGGCGGGTCGTATTGTGCTGAAAGCCCAGAGGATGGTTCTATGGAGCTGGCCGCCCTGGATACCCGGGCAAAGATCAGACGGGGAAGAAGCAGGTTGGGACAAGAACAAAAGCCGCGGAGGTTGGATTTTGTGTTGATGCAGTTGAAGATTCGCGGCTCGCGGTTTACCTGGGGCTGGAGCTGAGTTGCTGCATTCGCTAGCATCGCTTGCACTACCGCCGTGACATGGGTCGGCCAAACGACCTCGATTGCTACTTACTTTAAAAGCACCACTACATTATCGCAGCTTCACCCTGCTCTTCCACCCCCTCAATTGAAGACGAGTCGAGCCGCAGCCATGCAGAAGGCTTGCAGTCCGTCGAGTATGATCAGTCTCCGGGCTGCTATGCGGACGGGCCGCAGCAATCCCCCTCTGAGGAACATCTCGGATATCGCGATCACCCGCACTGGGAAGCCCATCATCCGGACGCAAGGTGGAAGGTCAGTGATGCGGATGATCCAATTGAGCTACTGCTAACTTGTTCTCTGACAGATCTTCTCTTGGAGGTGATTCATGGCCGTTCCGCGAACCGCGACAAGCGACTGATCGAAACTAGGACATACCGTAACGGTCTTCGGAGCAACTGGGTTTCTGGGACGTTATATTGTCAACAGACTTGGTAAGGTCTCTCGGGCTGTATTTGGGTGACAATTGGACTGACTGCATGGGGATGGAATAGCTAGCCAAGGATGTACGGTCATTGTGCCATTCCGGGAGGAAATGGCAAAGCGACATCTGAAGGTCTCTGGAGACTTAGGGAGAGTGATATTCATGGTACGAGGAGACAACGCGACTCGAGGGAATTCTGCTGATTTCCCAATTAGGAATATGACCTTAGGAACACCCAATCCCTCGAAGAGAGCGTGAGACATTCCGACGTTGTATACAACCTCGTCGGGCGCATGTACCCCACCAAGTACGTGTCGATGGGCCAAGCATATCGGGCAAGATGCTGACGGCTCTAGGAACTTTGATCTTGAGGATGTTCATGTGGAAGGAGCCGAACGTATCGCAGAGGCTGTTGCAAAGTACGACGTTGATCGATTCATCCATGTCTCCTCGTACAACGCAGACCTGAACTCTCCGTCGGAGTTCTTCCGAACAAAGGTTGGCACCTTTCCATAAATGCCGGAACAAATTACTGAGCTATGAAACAGGCACAAGGTGAAGCTGTGGTTCGCAGCATTTTCCCGGAGACAACGATTGTGAGACCAGCACCTCTGTTTGGATTCGAGGACCGGCTGCTACATCGTCTGGCTGGCGTAACGAACATTTTTACCTCTAACTGGATGCAAGAGCGTTACTGGCCAGTTCACGTAAGTAACGAATGCATGGTATATCGTATTTCCTTGCTAACCATTGTAGGCGATCGACGTCGGAGAGGCACTGGAAAAGATGCTCCAAGACGACAATACCGCCTCTCAAACCTTCGAGCTCTACGGTCCCAAGAACTACTCCACCGCAGAGATCGCTGAATTGGTGGATAAGGAAATTGTCAAGCACCGCCGTCACATTAACCTCCCCAAAGTGATCCTCAAGCCAGCTGCCTACTTATTGAACAGGGCCCTTTGGTGGCCAGTGCTCTCCGCCGATGAGATCGAACGGGAATTCATTGACCAGAAGATTGACCCCACAGCCAAGACCTTCAAGGATCTTGGAATGGAACCGGCGGAGCTCAGCGACCTGACATTCCACTACTTGGTAAGTCGTTCTTCCCTCTGATTAGCCTCGCTGTGTCTAACACCTGTCTAGCAAGCATACCGAAGTGCAGCATTCTACGATCTACCTCCGGCAACCGAGCGCGAGAAGAGGGAAGAGAAGAAGTACTTGCACGTTATTGACGACCAGTAAACGGCAGTCTAGAGAATGTATCCAGGTAGTTAGTTGGAATTGTACATATGTCAAAACTTTTTTTTTTGTCCACGGAGGTCAATCCAATCTTCTTGTATTGTGTTTTGGAATCAGATATTGAAATCGTGTATCGGCACGTGACATTCTCAATCTTTAACAACTCGACCTTAAGTAATTGGAAGTCTTGAGGTAGAATAACACATTCTGACACCGGATTCTTACTTCGATGCCTTTTCCATTCCTTTCGTAGCATCCCTTCTCCTTGGATCCCCAGGGCATACATATTCCACGTCCTTCCCAAACCTACCTTTACCTAACCCCACCACACACCAACCAAAAATCCCTTCATCCACCCCACCACCCCTCCCCCTGCAATCACCCTCACGATGGCCGCCGCTGGCGCTGACGATGACGATGACAAGCCGTAAAGAGCTCCCCCTCCCCATCTGCTCCCCAGACCTAGACTAACAACAGCACGCAAAAGCGTCCTCTCCGGGGCGGCGCTCGCAGCGCTCCAAGAGTTCTACGCGGATCGCGAGGCGAGAGCGCAGCAGTTTGAAGAGCTGAGGGAAGCGGCTGAGAAGAGGGAGGAGAAGAAGGTGTGGAGTATGGAACTGTTTGCGGAGGATTGGAATGAGAGTCAGTTTTGGGTATGTTTTTTTCTTTTCTTCTTTTTTGGTTGGTTGGTTGGTTGGTTGGTTCTTGAAGAAGGCTGATGAGAAGATCGAATAGTATTCAGATGAGACGGCTACTGCACTGGCACGGGAACTTCTGAGGGATGCGGGCCCAGGATCAACGATCGTGGTGGTGTCAGCGCCGAGTGTGTTTATCCAGTTGAAGAATCTCTTGGTATGTTCATTTCATTTCATCTCATCTCATCTCTCTATTCTCCCCCCCCCTCCCCCTAAAAGAATCCAGAAAAGACAAGCACCACATACCTATCCACCTACCCAGCTCCCCAACCTCAAACTCAAACATCTAACTAACACCTACCTACCTACATAGGCATCAAGCACCAACAGCCCCAAGATCATTCTTCTCGAATACGACAAGCGGTTCGCCATCTTTCCCGAGTTCATCTTTTACGATTTCAAAGCCCCTTTGAACCTTCCCCGTTCGTGTTCACCCCCCCCCCCCCCCTTCCTCTATTCCTCCCCTGGTGACTTATCCCCCTCTCTATATCTACCTAGCTGCTAACGTATATTTATTGTGCGGGGAAATAGAGAGTTTAAAGGGTTGTGCTGATCGGATAATTTGTGATCCGCCGTTTTTGAGTGAGGATTGTCAGACGAAAGGTATCTTATCTCCCCTCCCCCCCCTCCCCGGGGCACTTCCCCCCCCTTCCCTTTTCTCTTTATTTCAATATCATATGGTTCGGTGATCCGTGGCACAAGTTTCTTCATGTATTGATGCATTTTCATCCTATTTTTATCTTTCCATCTATACACCCAGCCTCTCCTCCCAAAGCCTGCCTGACTGACTAACCCCCTCCTCCTAGCCGCATTAACAGTACGCTGGCTCTCCAAGACCTGGGAGCGCTCTTCCGCACAGCGCCTGATCGTATGTACAGGCGAGCGCATGGAGACGCTAGTACACACGCTATACCGCGGGCCAGGTATCGAGACGACTACGTTTGAGCCGCGCCATGCTAAGGGGCTCAGTAATGAGTTTTTCTGCTATGCGAATTTTGAGAGTGAGTTGTGGGGATGGAGAAGGAAGGATGGGGCGGAGTGAGCTTGTGGATAGGGTGGTGTCATGGGATGGGATGGGATGGCAAGGGGTGAGTGAGAGAGAGAGAGAGAGAGAGAGAGCTTGAATGAAGGAAGCTTGGGTATAGGTTGTATGGACGTAAGCAGTTACAGGTTACATACATACAGTACAGACATGTATGTACGTATGGTGCAGAGGAAAAATCAAACAAAAACGCCTAGAATCCGAATCCGAATCCGAAAACCCCACCCCAGAATGCTATGCTTTTGTACAACACCGCCGCTATGCCAAAGACTGGATGACGTAGAAGAGGAGAAAGGCTTGCTCGTTGAGCACCTGCGATTTGGAGGCGAGCGTGACGTTGTGATCGTTGAATTTGAACCACTGGTACTATGTAAGCCTGATATGCCAAATCGTTCAGGGGGAGCGGGAGGAGCATACCTGATTCCCGACGCGTGAATAGGAGACGTAGTGGCCTACGGGGAAAGTCAGTATAATTCTACTACTCGACCAATTCTTCGTATCTCACCCGTTTCGAGATTGCCCACGTGTACGACGACGCTCTGGAGATCGTACGTGCAGGAGCGGGCCAGTTCGAAGTTCTGCCGCGTGTCGTGACTCCTGGCGCGATTGGTGTAGGGCAGCATCTCGAGTTTCAGGGGAAAGGAGACCTTGGTATCGATCTTGGAGGCGAGGCCGTTGTTCTGTTGCTTGAAACGCTGCGTGGGATTGTTAGCGGCCATCGTCCCTGATGCGGGATGCGGTAACTAACCTTGAGCTGGATGCATAGCACGTTCGGCAAGCTCTTGATGCTCAACTGCTTCTTGGCTTCGTGGGCGCTGCATCTCTCGCAGATATGCTCGCAACGCTCAGGTCTGATGTATTCCTCGTCAAGACATCGCTGCAAGCTCAGATTCGAAGCCTTGAGATTTTTCTTCTTCGAAAGGACGTCAAGTCCCAAGCTCAGATCCAGAAACGACTCAACGGATATGTTGATGTCTCCGCAGTTCTGACATGTAATGGTACTCATCAACTTGCCGTAGAACGTTTGGTGCACGATACATTTGCAGCCTGTGTCATTGGCAGTCTTCGTACGCTTCGAGGGCTGGTTCTCCTCACTATCATCAGGTCTCCCCCCACCATTGATCTCATGGAGTTCTTCCGTAAGGAACTGAAAGAACTCATGGGCGTCCTGCTCCTTGTTACTCGCCAACTCCTCGTAAGCCTTCCGCTTGGAGAGCCAGAAACTGGCAAGGATGTTGGAGGCTGAGTATCCCGTCGTCGTCTCCTGGGCGTAGAAGTCCTGGAACATGTCGTCCATGGCGCAACTCATGCAGTTTTTGTAGGCGCATTCTCCGCTCTGATGCCCATCCCCCAGGTAGAAATTCCGGAGCAGCGGGTTGTGCACCAGGCATTGGAGGATGACGTTCATGTAGCAGGTCGCCCCCATGTTATATATACCCCGGATCCCACTGGCACGGCAGGGTGCTTCTGTTGTGTTTGTCGAGATGAATCTAGGGTCCTCCTTCGAGGCATCGGTGAACAGTTCGTCGTGCTTCCGTTTACGGGCTGCGAGAGAGAGGGTTTCAGCATGTTACTCGATAGGAGGCGGGCGAGGAGAAGGGAGTAGGACTGCCTGGCATCCCACACACTCCAACTTACCAGAAAATGAACCCGTCCCAAACTTCCGCATCCTCAATTCCTCCAATGTAGGATCCCAGACAAAGTCATCACACATTTGGCAGAACAGCCCACCGGTTCGCGATTCGACGTCTGAATTGGTCAGCTAGGATCCCCACCAGTCCCGGGAGAACTCATACAGAAGCGGTGCAGGGTTTCAGACCCATGGGCGAGCCGATCCTGTGCCGTCGTCGTTGTCGTACATTGCAGACACAGGTAATTCGGTGTGAGGGTCGTGAATGGCTGATTCTTGGGTGTCTTGGACGTCTGTGGCACGATGGGGGTATTGTCAAAGATCACACGCAGGCAGTTCTTGTAGTGACTGATCGTATTTCTCATCCGGTCCACGGGCCCCGAGCTCAGGAGGAGTTGGAGATGTTCTATATGGAGGCCGTTAGGGGGAGAGAGCACAAGGCTGAGGGGCTCTTGTCGAACTTACCACAGCCAAACACGGGGACCCCGGGTTGAGGGTCCTTGACTTTGAGGAGCTTTGGTGACGCCGGCGTCACTGGTGCTGATGAAGTCATATTGATCCTCGTTTTGGAGCTCTTCCTGGAGCTCCTTTGAGCTGTCTTGCCTTCGGGGTTTGGACTGGTACGATGTACCGGATACAAGTGCTGTTTCCGGTACCTGTGTACCTCAACGAAGTTTGACGACCTCCCTTCAGATCTTAGAATGTAAAACCCATATTTCGTATGCCTTTTGTACTTTATACCTTACCGGTAGGTCGTTGAATTTTATCAGTAGACAATTGTCGGTATTTTGCTATCGTTGTCCAGGTTGGTACAGGTTATTCAGCCTGCCGAGGTTATCCCATGGACAAGGTATATCGTATATTTATAGTACTGTACAATAGGTTGCTCTCCCCCATCAATGCCTCCAACAACAAGGCTGATCGCAACAATGGCGACCCAGCTCGTCCCACTGCTTGAAATCGAGCGACTTAGCTCAAGAGTTATTCGCATTTTGGGAGGCAATCCAGGAAAGGTACTCTCCCAGATATGCCCGCCTATCTCCGCTATACTTTGCTAACAACTACCCCTCATTAGTTCACATTGCAAGGTAATCGATCAGCCTTGGGTCTCGTCACACGCGTGCCTGACATGATGGTCGCTCAGGAACGAATACATATATTGTTGGGACGGGACCACGCCGCTTACTGATTGATACGGGAGAGGGGAAGCCGTCGTGGATCTCGGCCGTACAGAAGACCCTCAAGGAGGAGAATGCTACCATTAGTGAGGCAATCTTAACGCACTGGCACCACGACCATACTGGAGGGCAGAAAGATCTGCTTGGCATCTCCCCAGAGACAAAGATACACAAGAATAGTCCAAGTGAGGGGCAGCTGAACATAACGGATGGGCAGACGTTCCAAGTGGATGGAGCTTCATTACGCGCTGTATTTTCCCCGGGACATGCTCAGGATCATATGGCATTCATTCTCGAGGAAGAAGACGCGATGTTCACTGGAGACAATGTGCTCGGGCACGGGACCGCCGTCTTCGAGGACCTTGCGACTTATCTGAACAGTTTGGAAAAGATGCGAGGAGCCTTCCGGGGTCGGGCATATCCCGGACATGGAGCAGTGATTGCAGATGGCCCAAGCAAGATTGCAGAATACATTCGGCATCGGAAGCAGCGTGAGGATCAGGTGATCCAAGTGCTGAAATCATGTAAGTCTTCGCCAGGCCGCGAGGCGGGTGAGGGCGAGGTTGATGAGTGGACGTCCATGGAAATCGTCAAGATAATCTACAAAGATGTCCCGGAAAACCTTCACCTGCCCGCTAACGGTGGCGTCATGCAAATCCTACGAAAGTTAGAGGAAGAGGATAAGGTTGTTGAAAATCCGAGGACAGAGACTTGGAGAGTAAAGAATCGTGCAGCGTTGTGATGTTGCCTATGGGATCAGTCTCCACAGATCCTGATATAGATACCCTGTGGGAGTGTTTGGAGACTTTGATAGCCGTATGAACCAGACTTACAATCCGAGGCTACCGGTCTCGCGGGTCTACGTAATGTGTAGAAACTATATGAACCACCACTTCCAGCCTGCGGCCGGGAATTTTCTTCGAGTGATTAGCAGTCTTACGCAGTGGAACTGCGGGAAAAGATTGATGTGTGCCAGTCTGCCAGATCTGTAAAAGGCGCCTTTGATCCTACAAATCAGTTCTAGATATCGAGCCCCGCAGTGTCTCGGTTCCATTGAGCCTCTTTTTGCAGCCGCTTACCAGTGGGTCCCGCATATGGGTACGACTGTTAAGTTGCAACCCTAAACAGTCTGCAGCTAAGGTACTGTATAAGCATGGCTGGGCTTGCCCCATTGACAACTGGGGACTTCGGAGAAGGCACGAGGCTGATGCTGCAGTTCCCCACGTTAAGGCTTCAAGAGCATCGTGTCTCGAGGATGTAGTAACTTAGTAATCACGGTAAGCAGAACCGCGTACGACAAGCTGGTAAGGATGTGGTTGGCTGGGTGCAGTGAAATCAACACGGATTAGAAAGCAATGCCCTACCGGTCCACGGTCTTCGTTCTGTCCCTTCCAAACTCCCTGAAAGCCAGAGGTCAACCGTGGTCTTGACTGGGTTCTCCCATCAAAAGAGCAGAAAGAGTCCTTTGCCGTGGCTTATCAAGAAAGTAAACCCTCAGACACTTACCATCACGTGTACGTAAGCATAGCTGTGGCCATAGCAAGCGTAAGGTAGGTTTGGTGTGTATACAGGCATAAAGGCTCAATGATATAGAAAGCAGGCGAGCTGCCCACACCAGTCTGACTTACAACATTGTTCATAATCATACACGCCATCGGACCGTGACGGCGAATTTCCAGAGACAGTGCCTCCTTTCCAAGCCAAACCAGCCCAGTAAGACTTTACATGGATCTCTAAGCGCTGGTTCGTACTGTGAACTATGCCAGTCCAGAGGTTTTGGCGCGTCTGATGAAGAATGGGCAAGCCCTGGAACGGCGCGTGGACGACTGGCTTTACTTGATTGCCCTTGAAAATGTAGACTCTAGGATCAAATTTCCGAGGAGGCTCTGATAATTTATAGTCACAAACACAGAAAGTCTTGATGGCCGGGTCGAGAAACCGGATAAAATGGAGGCTTGAGTGATATGCTAGGGAGATGGAATCTGCATATGACCTATATCTATAATCAAGGAGCTGCCTACTACGGTGCTCAAGCTTTCTTCGGAAACGGGAATCTGGGGCAAGGTGCGTCGATGGGATTTCCACTGGAACAGAGCAAACTGCTGGTGATGGGGAGGTAGGGAAGGCTACAAACGCATACAATACCGGCGTTACTCCAGGACAGCCTCATGAGAAGCCCGCCGTTGGACAAAGAGCCCCCACCAGTGGGTCCTGTCTGCAAGATAGAGTGTCTTCCTTTGCATCTGATGATCTGAAGCACGTTCGGGGGATATGACCTGTTTGGGACGGGAATCGAAAATGGAAAGAAATGCGCCGATGAGAGGGGAGGGTGGGAAGAGTGAGAAAAGGGGAGGAGTGGACGAGAAGGCCAACTACCATTCTCTATCTATACACATACAGACTGTATGTACAGGCTGAGGCTACTTGGCTTCCTGTTGCTGGAGTGTGTAGTAGCAAGGCATGGCTTCCAGCTCGACGTCTGTACATTGTACATGAATAGACAACGCATATGGTATGCCATGTACCGCAGTAGTTGTGTTACATGAACCACGCGCCACGCAGCGCGAGAGTGGGAGCGCGGGGAGGAGAGCGGCGGTGAAGCGAGGCGGCCTGGCAATTGCCGGATTTGGGAGGCTCTGCTGCGGCCTCGTGAGCGTGACCGGCACTGCGGCAGTGGGTGCGACACTGCGGAGTCAGGCTGCCAAGTGTACTACTGACTGCACTCGGGATGCATCGGGCTGGTCGCTGTGGTGATGGACGTGCGAGAATCAAGTGTCCACAGAATCCACGAATGCCAAGATGTAGTAGTGGATGGGGGGAGAGGTGCCGGGCTTCTGCAGTCTGGAGTCTGCAGCGGTGAGGCGACACGGCGACAGCTGATCGATGATCCCGCGGTGGTACAGAGTCCGCGGTGTGGACGTACTCCAGAGTCCAGTCGCCTGCCGGGAACTGCGCAGGCTACAGAGTATTCCGGCCTGAGGCTGAAATCCCAGATGCAAAGATAGTGCGAACGAGCGATGGGTGTGGCGCATCAAGGGCGTGATCCCACGGCAAGGCAACGAAGGGTGGCACGGGCCAACGACCGCACGGCACGCCCATAGCCGGGGAGCAGCACAAAACTCTGTCTCGACGGTGATACGCCATACGGGCATACCTCCGCTCAGGCTGCCGAGAGCACACAGCATGGGCACAGCATGGGCACAGCATGGGGTTCGTGTGCATCTATCTGCCATCCCGGCAGTGGCTTCAGCATTTATCATCGTCATGGTGCCGCCGTGCCCGCGGTGTACGTACAGACGACAACGCTTAAGACATATAGAGGTGCATATATGGAGAAAGGGAAAGAGAGGAAAGAGAGGAAAGAGGCCAAGAGAGCATAGACCATGATACTGCGAGGACTATGGAAAAGTGCAGTGGTATGCCTAGGCCCGACTATCACTCCCGTTACTACAGACAGACAGACTATAGTACAGAGGCCAAGGCCACGAAAATCCCCGACCACCAAGCCGGAGAAACGAGAGCGAGAGAGAAAGAAAAAAAGAGAAAAGCAAGCGAGGAAAGAGGAGATGATTTGCAGCAGCGGGCGGATCCATGATCCATCATGCGATCCATCATTCGATGCGCCGTGCGGAGGCCCTCATTCGTTCCCACATCCCGATCGATGATGGATGATGGATGATGGGCCCGCGCCGCACCGGGTGACGGGGAAGATACCTTTCCTCTGTACGGGTGCATATGCCATATGGGCAAAGTTGGGGTGAGGGGAAGGAGTAGTGGAAGGCTGGAGACGGCGGTGGAAGCACTGGAAGAATGAATGAGGGCATTCGGAAGGAAGGGTCCAGTCGACAGAGCTGCCCTGTACGTACAAGTCCGACCTCGAGTCCTCGACTGACCACCGACGTCGTCTGCCCGTGAATCCGTGATATCCGAGAATGCCGGGAAGGGCAAGGGGCGTGACCCATCCAGCCAATCAGGGGGAAGCATTGCGTGTGACGCCAAGACGCCACATCCCTGCGAGCCGCCCCTCTTTGCAGCAGCAGCCTGGCGCCACAGCGAGGGTTCAGCCTCGCGGGGAGCCAGGTGATCCAGGTGACCCAGGCGATCATGGTGAGAGGGAAGGATTGATCGACTGCAACTCAATCCCTCCTGTCATTATTAATCAGCACCATGATTCATTATGCGAGAGATACCTTATGTAGTCGACATGGGCCCAAGGATCAGTCGATAACTCGATAGGCCGTGCCCAGTTGACGGCGGATTCTTGCAGTCAGCAATCTATTGCAGTCTGAGCCTTGTCTCTCTCGCTCGGCCCCAAGACTTTTCGCGCGCCCCCCCCGTGCACGGCTGCAATTATTTACACGAGCGGGTAACCCTTCGGAGTATAGAGCCCAGTAGTCGTGGGTAAGTCGTGGGTAGTAGTCGTGAGTAGTCCTGCGTAGTCCCTTCAATAACCTGGAATAAAATGCTCGCCGTGCATTTAATCCGCGGACCATGGAATCGGCGAGGGCAATGAGAAGGATTTGGTTTTCCATTAGATTATGATAGGGTAATAATAGGCTGATATATGGTGGTGGGAGAAGGTTATCCTCATATATGTGCTCATAACCCGGCCGGCCACAAGAGAGCTGCGAGGCTTCCGTCATCCCGCGCGGTGGTCTCGGTCCCTTGGAAAAAAGTTGGCGCCTGCGACGGAGGAAAACCCCTACAACACCGTCCCAATGTCAACAACGGAAAGTCTCGCGGCCATCTCCCCCAAGCATCGAATCGCCGCGGGCTGGTTTCTTGCTCTCTTTTTCAAAGCCCGTCGGTCGACTCTCATCATGCCACTCATGGCGAGAGATCGGGTCACTGGGCACAACTGACTGGCTACGGGGCCAGGGGAGCTAAGGAAGGTAAAGCTGTTAGAGTTGTGGCATCGACCCGTTATTATTCTTTCTACTATTACCGTAATTGCCCCTGCAACCAGTCATATCAATTGTAATTCTGCCTTGTTGCTCCTGGCTTTTGCACCGTACAGTAGTAGCAGGACCATAATAATAATAATAATGCTGAACAACGACGGGATATGGATCTTCCTGCTATGTACACACGGCCCTGCTCGGCCACATCGGCCCAGCCAGGGCCCATGGGCCATGACGGGAGAAGCGTAGCGGGCACCCGCGGTCACTGAACTGCTGGGCCTTTTACTTCCCATGCTATAAACGTCATTTCCGCCCTCCGCTCGTCGATTTTTGCTTTTCCTCTCTCGCCCTCCCCTCCTCCTCTCCTCGTGGTTCTGCACTGGTCATGCTTTAAGAACTCCGATGACCTACGCCTCCCACCAGCTCCCCCCCCCGCCGACGACTAACCCATAGCATATTCTTGTACCTTTGCCCTACCGTACCTATACCATCACCTCCATCACCTCTCCCTCCTCGTCACCTTGCTCAGCAGCTCACCTCCCCATCCGTCATCTCTCGCTCGAGCTCTAGCTACTACTCGGCCTTGCTTGCTCTCGCTCGCTCGCACATCCTCACACTACCTATCTCCCTCTCTCTCTCTGCCTGCGAACTAGATTGCCTTCCCGTGATTACCGCCCTCCTCGATCTCTCGTTGCAAAAGTTGGAACTTGGACAACAGGCATAGACAAAGACACAAAGAACTTAAAAAGCAAGCTTCGCTATCTTCCACCTTCGCTACACTACCCTCCGTTCCCCCCAAGAGAGCTCCTTCCAGCGACGATCTATGCCCCGGATCTCCCGCCAGATCTTGACCCTCGCAGGTCTTGTCCTGCTTGGGCTTCTGCCACTTGCGAGCGCACACGGTGACGATGAGGGCGCTTCGGCCATGAACATGGATATGGGGGATTCGTCTGTCGAGAGGCCGACCATCCCATCCATATCCAACTCCACGAGCTCGGAGCCGGTGAGCTACTTCCAGTATGGCGGTCCTACCGGCTTGATGGTTGCCCACATTGCGCTCATGACCCTGGGATGGGTCTTCGTTCTTCCCGTTGGTGAGTGCGGCCCGGAGCGCTGAATCTGTCAACCGCTGCAGTGCTGATCCTTTGCTAGGCGTAATGCTCTCCATTGCGCGGTCTCGGTATACTCTCCTCGTCCAGTTTGTGTTTTTGGCGCTCAATGCAGTCGGCATCGTGCTGGCCACCATCTACAATGCCAGCACCCCGGACATGTACCCCAACAATTCCCACCACAAGCTCGGCTGGGTGTTGACGTGGGTGGTGGGCGCGCAAGTCTTCATCGGGCTTATCAGTGCATACACGGGACGTCAGGACAAGGAGCACGCCGGCTTTATCCCCGTCTCTAGCGAGGCCATGGCAGAACACCAGCGCATGCAGGATCTCGGTTTCGCAGAGACCTACCGCTTCTCCAACGACAGCGGCCAGGGCACCGAGCCGAACACAGAATCTTTGAGGAGTCACTCGATCTCCTCCACGGGCGACGAAGAGCGCCAATTGCCCGTTGCGCGCGATCGGTCTCAAGACGAGTACCTGGGCTCGGAGAAGCGAGGTCTGCTGAAGGGGAGCCGGGTGGACCAGTTCCTCAGCAACAAGATCCCGGGCTTGCTCTCCGCACGGGTCCTGCGCGTCTTCCAATTCTTTTATGATGTCGTCGATCGCTTGATCTTGATCCTTGCATTTGTGGCGGTCACGACAGGGTTCGTGACGTACGGTGGCCTATTTGTGAGTTCTCGCCCGCGCTGTTTTCTGTAATATTCGTCTAACCGGGTGCTAGATGGGCCATGAGATCTTTAGTGGTCTCGCGCATTTCATCAAGGGAGGTGTCTTCTTCTGGTACGGTATCCTGACCCTCGGACGCTGGGCGGGCTGCTTTGCTGAAATTGGCTGGGTGAGGAGATTTCCTCCGTCTTCCCCGGGTTGTGTTAACGTTCTTCCAGGCCTGGAACATCACGCCTGTTGGCGCACGAAAGGCAAACCGTTATTCAGCAGAGTTCGTCGAGAGCTTCCTCATCTTCGCTTACGGCTCGACCAATGTATTCCTGGAACATCTGGCGGCTTGGGGCTCGGCATGGAGTGCTCAGGATCTTGAGCACCTCTCCATTACTATCATGTTCATCGGGGGTGGATTGGTTAGTGAAGAATGCCTCCGACAATGAATTAATAGCTAACATTAAGCCAGTGCGGGATGTTCATCGAGTCCAACAAGATTCGGGATCTCCTCAACGCGCCACTCCAGTCGGCTGTCGAGCAATCCAATACCCCGTATCAGTCAGAAGAGCAGGATACCCTGGAACCACCTAAGAGTTACCGGTTTTCTATGAACCCCATCCCTGCCCTGGTCGTCCTCCTGTTGGGGATGATGATGAGCTCCCATCACCAGGCATCCATGGTTTCCACTATGGTGCACAAGCAATGGGGTACGCTGCTGGTTGGAGCGGCCTTTGCGCGCGCGGCCACCTATGTCATCTTCTACCTCTCTCCACCAACCTCGATCCTGCCGGGCAGGCCGCCATCAGAGGTGATCACCTCCTTCTGTTTGATGGCAGGTGGTATGATCTTCATGGCTAGTGTAAGTTGTCTCATCCTGGCCGGAGGCTCTTCATACTAACAATCGTGACAGGCTAGAGATTGTATTACGACAATGGAGCTCTACGACCTTGATGCAATGTTTGTCTTCACGGTGTCCATGGGTCTCATTACGTTCCTGATGGCCTGGGTCCTTTTGGTCATCGCCATCAAAGGGCTAGCAGTGAGGAAGGAGAACCGGCTAGGGATGGCCTACCGCCCCATCGCATGATTGAAATGCATATGACATGACCCGACCCTGCTTGTATGTGGGTACGATGGAAATGAGGTATGCGGAAAGAAAAAAAAAAGACGGCTTTATCATTCAGTTTTACGGCGGCGGCAGCATGACACAGGCGTACTTGGGGTTCAAGATGATGATGCCCTCTCTCCGTGATGAGAGAGATTTGAAGGACTTAGTGCGGGATATAGATCTAATTTTTAATGAACAGCCGACTTGAACGTGGTTGATGTTTTGATGCGTGTGATTGATCTCTAGGTGACAAGCCTCTCATTATACAACGAGCACGGTGATTGATACTGTGTGCGTTTGATGTTGATTACTGAAACGAGTCCATATACTTCTACCCCGCCAAAGTCCCCCACCATATCCTCTCTCCACCACACCCCAAACCTCCTTCTCCCCTCCTATTCGCTCCTCAAGCCAGCGCAATCGGATCTGCACTCTTATCTATCTAGCACGAATAAGCTTGCTTTTCTTCCTTTCTTTCATCTCGTGACATAGATACATAAATACATACCGTACCTTCCATATATACATACATACATCCAAACACCGCCTCGCCAATACATAACACATTACATTACACACACATCAAGCGTGTATATTTCCTTCCTATCGTGGCGGGCTACTACTTACTCTAGCTTAACTGGTGATTGATAAAATTGGGATTATGATGGAAGAAGTGTCATATGAGGTTTATATATCGAAAGCAAGCAAGAACTTCAATACAGGACGAATAGCAGTCCCTAGATCCCGAGTACCTAGTCATGAAACAAAACCCTCCTATATCATCTCAAACAGAGCTTGTTGCCTTACAGTCTCGAGGCTCTCTCTCTTGAGAGCGGTTCATTTAAAGGATGGGTTTAGGGGAAGAAGTAGAGAAGATTTAGATAGATGAATTTATAGACAGTATGATTTGATTGTAGTGATGGTGTTGGAATTTGGTGATTGTGAGTGTCTTACTTACTTGATGTTCATATTTTATATAAATGAGAGTTTGAAGAACCTGAACTAACGTACTAGACTTGTTTAGTTGTCGGAGGATGGGATATAAAAGGTCGTGTTGAAGTTGTGAGTTGTAGGAAAATTGTTGATTCGAGTAGGTAGGTATTTTAGAAACCATTACCTGATTGATGCATCACAGCCAGACTCTGTTAATGATTAATTGCCCTGGCGATGAAGTTAAGAAACCGAGATATGTAAATTAATCAACACTCATCAATCAATTCATCCTGACATACGATCAATCACTATACCATTTGACCAGCAGCGTACCTAGTCATGCCGCCCCCCCCTCTTACAAAGTTTCACTCGCCCCCAAATTCCCATTTAACACCCATCCCCTGCCCAACCACCCCCCCATGATTGGTTCGCACTTCCAAAAAGCGGACCCTCATTTCCATCCTCTCATATACCAAAATACAGCTAAATCACCCCAACTACAAGTCATGTTGCCAGAGTGGTTAATGGGTGAGACTTGAATTTCTGAAAAATTTCGATATCTCATGGCTTCGGTCGCGCAGGTTCAAATCCTGTACATGACGGTTCTCTCTTTTTGGGATTTTTCTTTTTTTCTTTTTGAATGAAAGGAAAAATTTTTGCTTTTTTTTTTTTTGAGGGTAAGGGGGAGGAGGAGGAGCTATCTAGACAGTGGGGTTTAGGAAACTTCTCTTTCACGCAAAAACAATGTCATGTTGCCAGAGTGGTTAATGGGTGAGACTTGAATTTCGAAGATTTCGACATCTCATGGCTTCGGTCGCGCAGGTTCAAATCCTGTACATGACGGATGCTTACTTTTTTATTTTTGGCTTGTTGCCTGAAATCTCTTACTTCATCTTTCGATTTTCCCCCTCCTTCCCTTTTATTTTCATTTTTTTTTATTTACTGCCTCTGTCGTGGTTGCAGTGTTGTGTCGGCTCGCTTGGAGGCGGCTATTGCTGGCACACTTCATTCGCTCAATTAAATTCACTTTAACCGACGCCCCTTGATTCCTATGACCAACTAACAGTACACTTCCCTGGGGCAGAGCTTTTGAACAAGTGAGTCTCGACAAGTAACCTATTATTTTCGAAACCTAATATCTGATCTATAGGATAAGTAAATCTAAGCTCGGCGCCTAAACACGGAAACATCTCTATGTTTACGCTCGATACATCTCCTTAAACAAACTCTCCCTCGCAAGTAAGTTCTCCGGAGTATCAAACTCCACCAACTTCCCCCCATCCATCACGGCAATCTTATCATAGTCTATGATTGTATTAAGCTATGACACAAACGTTAGCCATATTACCCCTCCAAACCTCCTGAAAAGAAAGAACGGCGAGAAACTCACTCTATGCGCTATGCTAATAACAGTACACTCCTTAAACCTTTCCCTAATCACCTGCTGGATCATTCGATCCGTCTCACCATCTACACTGCTCGTCGCTTCATCAATAATCAGTACACTACTCTTACGTAACATAGCTCTCGCGAGACCGAGTAACTGATGCTGTCCTTGAGAGAGCGGGTTCTCGAGCAATACTGTGTCGAGACCGCTACGACTCTCGAGGGCGTCCCAGATCCCGATTCTGGTCAGCGCTGAGATGATTTCGGCGTCTGAAGCGAGGCCGAGGGGATCAGCGTTGGCGCTCACGGTGCCGGGAAGGATGAACGATTCTTGTGGGATGGCGGTGAGTCGTTGGCGGAGGACTTGGTGGGAGATAGTGCTGATGTCGAGGCCGTCGATGGTGATGGATCCTGAGGAGACTGGGAGGAGGCGCAGAAGGGTGAGGAGTAGGGAGCTTTTGCCACTGCATGAGAGTTAGCCACTGCTCGGAGGAAAACATTTGAAAAAATTCTAACCTTCCAGTGCGCCCACAGATTCCTATTTTCTGTCCGGGTGCTATACTCATACTGATTCCATTCAAAGCCGAAACGGAGGTACCATATGTGGCTGAAACACAGTTGATTTCAATAGAACCACGTGCCGGCCATTCAGAAGGTGGCTCACAAACATCGCCGGGCTTGTCCTCAGAAGGTGTCGTCTCAGCAAAGGTTTTGACTCGCGCGATGGCCCCAAGAGAAGTCTCAAGTGATGTCCAAGACGTCACCAACGTCGAGATTGAATCATTGAATCCGAGAATGTTGTTCAACGCTAGGCCCAGCAGGCCAGCAGTCGTTGTACTCTTCAGATTAACAGCCAGTGCCATCACAATCACAGCAAGTGCAGTGACCATGAGATTGAGAACTAGGTTCAGCCACCGCTGAACGCATAGGAGCATATAATATGGCCTTTGCGAATGATCCAATTTCCTATTCTGTGTCTCTTTAGCTTTGTGCTCCCAGCCGAAAGCACGAATTGTAGCGAGGCCGTCGAGAGTCTCTATGAAATGTGAGTACAGCGGGCTTTTATTCTCCAGGTCCAGGTACCGAAGTTGGCGACTCGTTTTGAGGTACACGTCTTGAATGAGATAGATCGCTATAAGAGTGAAGGGAATCGTCAATGCCATGTAGGACGATCCAGTGGATATCAGTGCAACTTTGGCTATGCAGCTGAAGAGCGACCCGAAGACAGTAAGTAGTGCTATCGGTAATGGGAGATCAACCAGGCTCATGTCTTGCGCGAACCGATTCAGAGTTACTCCAGTATCCGTGGATGCGAAGAACGATAGCGGAGCGTGAATGACTGAATTCAGCAAGATCTGATGGAGCCGGATGGCGGCTTGTGGCATGAGGTTCAGGAACACCACCCAGATAGAGAGAATTGAGAGGATGGAAGCCATAAGAGCTAGTACCGCATACACTGGCAGGTAGAGAGATAGTTTCTGGCCTCCAGCTTGCGTCCACCAGTTGAGCCAAACGAACGGAAAGTTCTCCGCGAATGCCACTAAAGCCGTCACAACAACAAAGCCGACCCAAAGTAGTGGCATTACATTTCGAATGTAGTAGTAATAGACTTTGAGGTCACCGGTACGCCTGGTCAGTTCCATGATCGTGTCTGTTTTAGCCCCTTGGGATGCTTCATCTGATTTTTGGTTACTATTTGGAATTGGAACAACTACCTTGTCCGTGGATTCGTTTGATTCGGTAGTAGTGTAATTCAAAAATCCTTCTCGTTGGCTTAACTCATCGTAGGTGCCCTGCATAATTGATCTTCCCGAGGAATCAAGTACAACGATCTTGTCCGCAAGACGTAGACACCTAGCTGTACAGGATATTGACTCAGCACCTCAGAACTCCCAAAGGTCTGACAAGAGGCTCACCATTGTGTGTGACCAAGACCACAGTCGTTTGGAGACGACGGAAAAGCCCTTCCTTTGTCAGAAGTCGGGTACTAATCATCTCTTGTGTCTTGGCATCCAGAGTACTGAAAATGTCGTCAAGTAAAACAGTATGTTGTCGAGCATAAACCGCTCGAGCCAATGCCTGGAGTTGTCAAAGAATATCCAGAGGATAAAACCCTCAGGAATGACTTACCACGCGCTGTTTCTGCCCTCCTGAGAGCGTGAGCCCTTTGCTCCCAATCAAGCTTTGATCTCCGTCAGGCCACTGTAGGACGTCTTGGTCTAAAGCGCAAGCGTGCAGGACTGTTTCGTACCACTCTTGGTCGATTTCTGAACCTATCGGTCCACATATACTCTCTTTGACAGAGGTATTGAGCAACCATGGTGACTGGCTACAAAATGCGATGCCTTCAGAAGCTACGGATATACTACCAGATTTACAGGTCAGTTCTCCTAATACAGCTTTGATCAAGCTTGTCTTGCCCGAACCAACAGGCCCAAGCAGAACAGTCAATGACCCATCTTCAACTGTGAAGCTTGCATCAGTGATAGCAGCTGCTGTCGCGTTAGGGGCTGGGAAGATCGTTGCTTTCTCCACTATGATAGCAAGTGGTTGTTGCAAAATCTTTGGTGGAATGGAAGAGGGTACAAGATCACCATGGCCTTTCTCGTGAGGGATTGACGGCAATGAAGACTTCCTAGAGAAGAGTTGAAGTCGAGAATCCTGTCTTGAAGGGGAGGTCAAGTATGCTTGTAAACGGTTGAAACAACCCAAAGCAGCAGCAATCTGAGGTACAACAGCGAGTAATTCCTCAGCCGGAGATGTGACAAGAGTGATAATGCTCAACGAGGCAAATGCTTGCACTGTTGTCAATGAGCCTGTTCCTTTGACCTTGGCTTGAATAGCAAACACAATGAAGGATATCACAGGTGCCCATATTCTCGGAAGGCTCGCTATTTGCGTCAGCTAGTAGGTTTTGGGAGGTACGAAGGCAGTTGCCTACCAAGTCCGTTGAGCCACATGATACCCCAGAAGAACGGCCGAGAAGTCTTCAACTCTTGTTCTCTTTCACTTTGAATATTAGACGAGGTATTCTCCACGAGTCCGGAAAGCTTAATCGCCTTCATCGAGCCGAGCATCGAGGAAGTATTCTTGACGCGCTGTTGAATGGCTTCGTTCCATCGCTGTTGATCTTTACCAATGGCCTTGGCAACCCATCCTTGTCCGATCACACAGACTGCAGACGAATATGAGAATTATCATCAAAATAGTAAAGAGCGACTTACTAAGTGTAACAATCAATGGTACAACACATGTCGCACCCAGTTGCCGTTCAAGAAGCCACGTCCCGATTGCAATTTCCACTGAGCCGGCCCATATATTATTGATCTTTTCCAGAAATTCGATTATATTGTCAATATCTTGCACACTAAGTCAGAAAGCACATCACAGAAGTCGAGAACGTGGTCACATATGACGTAAAGATCAGGAAATTACCAGTGGTCATAAGCGTAAGAACTGCGCTCTCTGTACTGGCCCCCTCTTGAAGGCACAAAGTCTTGTTATAAAGCAACGAGATCATTCCTCCTCTGAACATGGTAGTAACTCGCGAGAATTGCTGCTTGAAATGCACAGTCGACATCTTCAATCGTCAGTCTCAAAAAACGATCACAGACACGGTCGTCATACCGTGATCCCAAAGTAGATAAGAAATGCAGCTCCAATCAACCCGTAACCATCATTTTTGTTTTGTGTGACGCTGGGGCCCTCCAAGTAGTTGATGGCCGAGGCGATTAGGAACGGTTGAGCGAAATTGAAGCCGATCATACATAGACGAGGAAAAGCTGCTGCTAAGAGATTCCAACGAAAGTACCAAGCCACAACTTTTGGCAGCGCATACGATCCCTCGGGGGTTTCTCAAATTTGTTAGCGTCTCGAGAGTAAGGTACAAAGTGTCAAACTGTCCTTACCACGTTTGTCCCAGGCATTTTGCAGCGTGTCCCCGAGTACTTCAGAAGTAAGGTCACGGTCAATATCAAACAGGTCTTGGGTGGTCATAAGCTTCCGAAAGCCTGTGGCAAAGAGCCTGTTCAACCACCAAACAAAACTCAGGTTCCAAATCCCGCTTGTAGCTTCAGGAGGATAGTCCTTGTAAGGCCCCATAAGATGAGGCACTTTGGACCGCGCCTCCAGGAGCAGCATGACAATCTTGATGCCGATGGCGGCACTCTGAACAGCAGCAACATGGTCATAATCAATCAGCCACAGAGTTCGGACTTGGCTTGCATCGAGCAAGATCGATAACAAGAGATAGATATTGAGCACGGTAGACGGCCTCGTTGCCTTCTTGTCTTCAAGGTACGAGAGGATCAAGATGATACCGGAATTGACAAACGATAGCACGGCAGAAGGAATGCTTGTCCCAGGCCGAATGAGAGGAGAGGAGGACCATAATATTACCAGGGTCAATTGAAGAGCAAGGTTAATTGCCGCGGCCGTCTGTCGGGCGTCAGTTGTCGTCCACAGTTCACGGATCATGAGCAAGAGCACGTGTACAAGCAGAAGCATACCGTTTTGAACGCATGACCGACGTGGGGTAAGGTGCGAGAAGTCCTTCGAGATAGCTGTATCAGCCGTAGAGGTGCAATGAGAAAGAGCAGCGCGGAGGGCAAGATGGACAAGATGCTCTGCTCAAAGGTCAGGGTGAAGTCAAAGTCCCTCGTGGAGCTTGCCGGGCCGAAAGCACAGTCACTGGCGAGAGCGTCTGCTATTGTTCCATTAAGCGTGAGATTGGAAGCCATTGATCAATGATCATTGATTGAACATTGAACACGGCGCGAAGAGTGCAAGTAACAGACAGTATCAATGTTTCCTTCGAGGCGTCCAGGCGTATGTCGGTACGAAGCGCAATCGGACGGAGATCCATATTACAGTATATTGCCATGCTAGGCAACAGGTACAGCGCGTTCCTGGGATGGCAGAATCTCGGCGTGGTTCCCAGGTGTACGGTACTTGCATCCGAATAAGGAAGTCGATTATGCACGTGGTGACAACTGCCGGATACGGTTAAGTTGAGGTCAATGCCATTCGCTTGACCGTCTGTCTACCTTACCCGTCTATCTAGGTACCAGGTACGCGCGTAATGCAAGTGTCAAGTACCTCAAGGTAAGAAAGCGACGAAGCCATCAACTGGATATAGAGCAAAGTTTGAGGTGAGCTTGCTTGTAGAATCTCAGATGCGCTTAGCACTAACTCTACCCAGAAGTTTTCGTGATTTTGGCATGTAGCTGAAGGGCTTGTCACAGAAGGTAGGTTCTGTTCCGGAAAGGGATGTTGGAGGCAAGAAGGGAGGCGGACTGACTCTGGAAGAACTGTTGGGTATGGTAATCGAGTTTTGTCGGGAACTGTTTGTCACATTTCTTCAACGAGAGAACGATTATATCTATTCGAGGTTCCTTAAGAACTTGTTAAGGCCCCTTTTGATATGTAATTAGCGAGAAGTCAAAGCACGTGATGATGTAGTCAATCTTGCTCAGGGTGCTCAGACGAGGAGTTCAATCAAGGAATCGCAAGAATCAAGAAATCACTTCTAAAGAGTGTATTGTATGGATCCTTGGTTATTTCCATATAGGTAGAAGCAGAATCTACCCGCGCAGCATCATGTCGATGGCTCTTCGAGCCTTACTGCCCGTCGCTCTTGACCCCGGATAACCTCTGGGGAAATCCTCGTCCCAAGTCCGGAGGGAGACTTCCCTGCTCTTCTCATACCTATACCTCAGCTGTCAAGGAAACTGCTGATACTAAGTCGATCAGAAGGACGTGGTCATCCCCTTCATTCCCCCGCCTTGGGGGCTTTCTCCAGCCCCGCCAGCACGACTCTCCGCTGCTCCTCGATGGAGAAGATCGACGTCCCTTGCTGGAGAGCACTCACCAGCAGCGGCAACGCGTCGCCTTTGAAGTCATCAGCGACCCGGACACGATCCAGGTCGTCCGAGAACTCCTCCGTCGCGCGCTGCATGTAGTACTTGGTAAAAGCGCTCGTGACCTCCGCATCAGTCATTGCTGCTGGCTTGGCTCCCGCAGATGATGATGCGGATGCGCTCTGGACCTACTCCTTTGAATCAGACACGAGGAAGCGCTTTGGGGATGTGAGGGCCTCACTTACCTTTCCATTCAGCTCAAGCTTGGGTTCCGACTGCCTCTCCGCATCGCTCTCGCTATCGGAGGAGACTGCGGGCGGTCAGCAGAATTCTCTCGCGCTGGGCGGGGTGGGGGGACGTTGTACCTTGCGTCCTGGACTGCCTCTTTTTATGGCGCTTGGGCTTAACTGAGGTCCTGGCATCCATGACTGTAAGTGGATTCTGTGGATCGGCCTCGGTGCTTTGTGTTCCTGCTTTTTTGCGTCTGGAAATTTTTCCCTGGCCTCTCGAAGTCCCTTGTGGCTGGCTTCCCGAGGAGTGGGATTAGGTAAGCGGGGGGATAGCCGTTGTACCTCCGGACGGTGTTCCTTCACCAAGGTACAATCATAAGTAGTACATCCCTCCTCCCTTGTACTCTGTAAAATGCAGCAGCAGTAAGCAGTCACACAGTGGTAGCCCCTAGGGCTTGAAAGACTTGAAAAAGAACAAGGATGAATAAACGGCTAAAAATCGAGGTGGAGAGCTGTCAAGGTTGTCGACTCCATCATCAACCACCAAGTGGGAAGAGGGAGGTCGGGAGTGGGAAAGGTGGGATACATTAATGCATGTTATGCACATAATGGAGCATTCAGCGTAGGTATTGTGCATAGCTATATACGTATAGCCTATAGGATTGCCTTGGGGTTGTGGTAGTTGAGGGCCTGGACTCGAGGTTAAGGCTGGAATCAGGCACCGCCACCGAGCCACACCGCCACAGATGCAGGGACGCCCCGGACCTCCAAGGCGTTTGACTGTCCCAGAGACCAGAAGCGCGGTACCGGCGTGCGTCACTAGTGCGAGAGGGCGGAGGGGGGAGAATGTACCTACATTGTACACAATAATGTTTATTGTTATGTTTATTCCTGTAGTATTGTTCTAGTTATGATTGTGTTACGAGAGCATCTGAGATATTGACAATTTGACAGGAGGCCGGTTTCAGATCTGGATCCAATAAAGAGTCGCACTTGCCCACAACAAGGCAGAAAATAAACATGTGCGAGTCAGGGCCATGGAGATGCAGAGTCAGGGCGATCGACGGTATCGAGTTTCATCTTTCGCCTCTCTGCAGCACAGACTCTGCGGCAAGGATGCCCGTGCTTCTCTATGCGTGGAATCTTCTGCACGAAATCTGTAACTACTGCAAGCCCGTTTCTTGGCTTTTAGGGCAAAGGGGGAATAACGATGAAGAGTCGAGGGAAAAGGCTCAAGGGAAAAGGCTCGATCCGTGTAATCTTCTCTGATGAGGCTGGATGGCGGGGCAGACAGCAAAGAAAGTCTGCACAGTTAGAAACTCAGAAGTGTAGAGAGAACCAATACTCAGGAAAACTGTTTCTATTTGTCACGTCCCATCTGTAGTCTCTACGCAGTCGCAAGGAGTAGGCAGTCGGCGGTCATGTTGGTTCCTGGCCCACTATGCCCCTGGTCGGGCCGCCGTCGCGTTACGAGTCGAGATAGCTCGTCCCAACTTGCCCGCCTTCCCCTCACCTTCGCCCACTCATCCACCCATCCATCCATTCTATTCCTTCTACCACCCTCATTTTCACGACGTCCACGCCTTCACGCTCTTTCGGCCTCCCTGGTGGACATCATCAGTCCCCTTCCCCTTCACCCACTCTCTTTCAATCTTTGAAGACCGGATCTTTCTCTCCTTCTTGCCTTGGACCGCGTCCTCACTCCTTTATCCCCAGTTCCCCCCCGCCCTGCCAGTCAGATCTCAACGCACCCTCATCCGCGTCCGCGACTGCGATTCTGCACATTCTTTCTATCTCTTCATTCATCCTATCGTGAACTTCCTGCCTCCCCTTTTCTCTTCTCTGGCCGGCCGCACTTTCGGCACTGCCTCAATCAACGCGTAAAGAGAATAAAGGTACGTACATTCTAAGGGAATATCAGACGAGTGTCAACAACATAACATATAAACACAACCCTACCGTCAAACCCACCTCTACGCTCTTTTCCAGAGACGCTAGAAATCAACACAGAGGTACCTGTTCACTGACATCTGGCCGCTGGCCGGACACAGACTGTAACGACTCACGAGTTTACGAAGTATCCGAACCTCTCCAATCTTCAAAATGAAGACCATTGCCCTGACCCTTGGGGCTATCTCACTGCTCCAGCTCGTCACTGCTCAGCCGCATCGTAAGTCGTACCGCGTCTTCTCCCTTGATATCCATGCTGACAGTAAGACCGCTAGGAGCCCTCCGCCATGCCCACCAGGAGAAGCACGTCAAGAAGGACAATGCCGTCGTCACGGTCGTTGACACTGTCTATGCCCATGAGACTCACGCTCCTGAGGTCATCGTCTATGTCAACCAGGCTGGAGCTCCAGTGTCTACTGTCACCAAAAACATGGACATTGCCCCTACGCCTTCTTCAAACCCGGTCGCTGCTCCAGCTCCAGTTAAAGAGGCCCAGTCTGATGCCAGCCCTTCAACCCCCGATGCTGCACCTGCCCCTCCTGCAGCCTCGTCCACCCCAGCTGGAGTTCTAAGCAACATTCACTCGTTGGTTGCTTCGCCCTCACCCTCGCCCTCGCCCGCATCCTCTCCAGAAAGCAGTGGATATGGAGTCTCATACTCCCCTTACACCGCTAGTGGAGCCTGCAAGAGTCAAGACCAAGTGAACGCCGACTTTGATTCCATCGGGGGTGGATACTCAATGGTCCGAATCTATGGGACTGATTGCAACCAAGTCTCCACGGTTCTCTCGGCCGCCAAGGCTCACGGCATGAAGCTCTTCGCTGGTGTCTTCGACCTGGGTTCGCTCAACTCTGAAATTGAAACCATCATCTCGGCTGCGAATGGGGATTGGAGCTCCTTTGACACTATCAGCATTGGCAATGAACTCGTCAACTCCGGTACTGCCTCTGCTGCAACTGTGGTCTCCGCTATTGGTACTGCTCGGGGTCTCTTGCAAGCCGCTGGATACACCGGGAAGGTTGTTACTGTGGATACCCTCGTGGCTGCCCGTGCCAACCCATCGCTCTGCGACGCATCTGATTACTGTGCTGTCAACTGTCATCCCTTCTTTGACGGGACTGTCCCTGCAAGTGGCTCTGGCGATTTCCTCGTGAATCAAATATCTACCCTCCGAGCTGTGTTGTCCGACCAGAGCAAGGAGATTGTCATCACGGAAACCGGCTGGCCATGGCAAGGATCGAGCAACGGTGCTGCTGTTCCCTCCCCCGCCAATCAGGCCGCTGCCATTAGCTCAATTAAGGGTGCTTTCAGCTCTAATCCATCTGCTGTTATTCTGTTCACGACCTTCAACGATTTGTGGAAGACCAACAGCGCGGCTCAGTTCTTCGCCGAGCAATACTGGGGTTTCCTCGGTTATGCTCCTTCCGGCTAAATGTCAAGAAGCCATCTGCGACCTCTGTCCTACTACCACTCTTGAACCACCGTTAGATGCATTCAGCGTCTTGTTCAAGGAATTATACAGAGCGTGACCTTGTTCCTTCTCACCTTGCTACTTTTTCCTTGCACATTCTTTTCTTCTACTAGTGTGCTACGTGGTGGACTTGACATGATTGCACTGTGGTTGCGGGACAACTAAGCGCTCTCTAACGGCGTTTGGTATGATGTAGAAACTCCTAAGTTAAGGTTCTCTACGGTGGGTTGGGTACATGCGATAACGGTTTGTTTCCATGGGACGAGATCAGGTGTATCGACTCTGAATCTTTCAGAGATCGACCTGTTGTTTACTTCTTTGTATATCCTTTTATCACGGTCCATAAGACTCTCTTGTCAATGCATGACCACATCAAAAAGCATCCAAGAACATCTACAGACATGATATGTGATAGCTGATTCTGCACTATCCCTAGCTGACCATAGTATAGTTCACGCTAATCATTGACATTGCCTGTATCGTCATGTAGGTATTATCGTACTAGAATCCTCACCTCACTGCTATTATTGCTTTAAGGAAGAGCGTTCACATTAGTGACACAAGTCAATGTCCTAGCGGAAATGCCTCATGTCTACGCTCTCAGACTTTGAAACCCCAGGTGAGATTTGACCATCAAAAGGGAAGAATGACCCTGGTATCAAGCTCTACGCCGTAACCTCAGCCATATCATAATGCCCTGATTCGCGAGCATGTGCACTAGCCTCCGTCTCGCCGTGTACAATCGTGCCACAGATCTGGCATCTGATGGCCATGCCTCCCGTATCAGTATAGTAATGCTTCTCCTGCAGCTTCTTGCACAGCTCCAGAGCCTTTATAAGTATATCGTCGTCGTCTGAGTCCCACACGCGCTTGTCGAACTCGGGCGGGCTGTCGGCTCTAGTATGTGGGGGTTCTGAGGGGCTCTGCACGATCGTATCGTAGTGGATGCCGGAGTAAACTAGGATACAGCGGCTACGTGCGCCTTCATTAAAGCGGTCGACGCGGAGGGACTGTTAGGGGTTGAGTTAGGTAGGTCTTAGGGCAGAGGGCGAGGAGGGTATATATATATACCTGTACGTCAATACTGCATATCTCGATGTCAAAATATTGAGCTAGGATACCCATCTCAATAGCACCGCCCCAGGAATTAGGGGATTGGATCCAGCGACAATAGTCATCCGGCCTCTTCTCCAAAACCACTGTTGTATAGATTTCAGGCTGCGATTGTATAGTGCTAGCAACCAAGGCACGTAGCTCGGGCATGCTAAGGTCATCGCCAGGAAGAACAGCCGCGGCTAAGGCTCTAAAGAGGCAGCTGTTATCGTCAGGCATTACTCGCAGTACTAAAAAGAGGATATCAGCACCTATAGTCCGTGAATGGATTTGAAAAGGCTGTTACCAAGAGTTGCGCCCCTTTCTGGTAAGGGCAATTCAGGCACATCGCTCTCCATGCTTTTCCTCTGCAGAGATACTGGGCCAGGCGATCTCCTGTCTTCTATTACCCGTGATGAGTCTGCTCTCGGTGTCGCTTCTTTTAATGAACCACTGGGGCCTGACTGCTGATTGTTGGACGTAGGAACAGCTGGCCCCTCCTTCTGACTAATGGTAAGCTGTTCCCCATCCAACTTCACATCCAGCTCTTTTAACGGTCGCGACGGCTCACTCTGCTCCAGGCGCAAGGGTTTTGGTGGATAGCCATATTTAATATCAAAGCTAGGAATGGATGTCTTCTCGACGATTTCTGTGAGCAGATCCCCTACTGTAGCATCGTCCGCAAGCGTTATGGTAGAAGCGCCTCCAGGGCCTCGTAATCGTGCACGCATTGTGCCTCGGGTTCGTTAATTCGTCGTTGCGTCGTTGCGTCGTTACTGCCACTGCTGCTGTCTGCGACAGGATCGTAAAGGACTCTGGAAAGCCCGGATGTGTATTGTTCATCAAAACTAGAGCTGCATACTCTGTCTTTCAAATGCCTGGAAAACTTCTGGCCACCTATATAGCCTGCGCTATCATGGTTTCCTACAACAGATCGGCAGCAGCACAACACTCTACCTTGCTGATGACTGAAGTGGCAAGGCGGTTGCTCCCCAGCCTTGCCTCGCTTAAGCGGCAACAAGGGTCGAACCTTAAATTCACGTGATACGGACCCGCCTAGAATTCCAAACGCGCTCGCGATCAACTTCGAACCTTTCTTGACCACACCCACCCCCACCTCTCTAATGAGGCATTGTTGATCGCCACGACCTTAGGCATCGCGCAAAGCTTCTAAGATGTCGTCGCAAACCCCAGATGCGTCTGTAGACGCGAAGGCAGAAGGATCTGCTGTCCCTGAGAGCAATGCGACAGCTACTGAGCCTGAGCCTGCTTCCGCGCCTGAGACTGCGCCTGAGACTGCGACTGCGACTGAGAATACGACCGAGACTACGACAGCGCCTGAGCCCGAGCCCAAGTCTGAGTCTGAGCCTACGACAGCGACAGCCCCAGCAGCTGGCATTAGCAAAGAGACCGCAGAGATCATGAATGGGATTGTGCGTTACTTGACCGAGTATCGCAATGAAGAGTATGTATCTAGCTCCAGTATCCGCCACAACTGCTAACTTGGACCAGCGGACACGAGATCTCAGCTGTCTTTCAGCGCATGGTCAACAAGAGAATCCTACCTGATTACTTTGAAATTATCAAGGAGCCGGTAGCATTCAGTACAGTTAGGGTATGTCAATATATTGACAGATCTAAGGTACATCGTACTTATGTTTACAACAGAACAAAATTCTCAAAAAGCTTTATAAGAACTTCTCGGAGTTCGTCCGCGATTTCGCTCTGATTTCGCATAACGCGCAAGTCTACAACCGCCCATCCGCCCCTGTTTATAGTGACGCCCTTGCTCTTCGAGAATTATTCAAAGCCGAGTTGAAGAAGTTGGTTGACAAAGGGGTTATAACGGAAGAAGAGGCAACGCTACCAGACCTCGGAGCAATCCCCGAAGTCGAAGACTCCCCCCCACCAGCGCTCGAAGAAGAGGAAGTGGAGGATGATGAAGATGATGACGAGGAAGAGGAAGACGACGACGAAACCGATGACGACCGGCATCGACGAGGTAAAAGGAAGCGCCGTCGATCTTCAGCTGCACAGGCCAGAAAGTTAGATGAGGCCGGCAAAGACGATCTTGATGCCCAGAAGAAACGCGGCCGGCCACCCAAGGTCCACACGCCCATGGAGGCCCGCATCAACAGTATCCTGAAAGGCTTGAGGAAATTCAAGAATCCTGGTGGCGATCTTAAGATACTACCTTTTGAGAAGTTGCCAGACAAGTCCGTAATGCCAGAGTACTACCAAGAGGTCAAGAATCCGATCGCAATGGACTTAATCAAGAGAAAAGCCAAGAGGAAGAAGTATCTCTCGGTAGATCAAGCCCTGAAGGATTTGGATCTTATGTTTGAGAATGCCAAAGAGTATAATCTCGAGTCCAGTCAGGTCTACAAGGATGCTGTGGACTTGCAACGAGAAGCCCACATCCTTGCCGAGCAAGAGAAGAAGAAGCCAGATAGTGATTTCGTGGATGAAGATGGCAAGCTTCCCTTGCCAGAAATATTCTATAATGGCGAGTTCTGGAAAGTTGGCGACTGGGTTCATTTGACAAACGGCAACGACGTTACGAAACCAATCGTTGCCCAGATATATCGTACCTGGCAGGATTCGGAAGGCCAGAAATGGATCAATGCTTGCTGGTATTACCGCCCGGAGCAGACAGTCCACCGCTACGAGAGGCACTTCTATGAGAATGAGGTTGTCAAGACTGGACAATACCGAGACCACAAGATTGAGGAGGTTGTGGATCGCTGCTTTGTCATGTTCTTCACTCGGTATAATAAAGGTCGTCCACGTGGATTTCCGCCTGACAAGGAGGTTTATGTTTGCGAGGCTCGCTATAACGAAGACAAGCACAAATTGAACAAGATCAAGACTTGGGCTAGCTGCGTTCCTGACGAGGTCCGAGAGAAAGACTACGAGATGGATCTCTTTGATGTTCCTCGAAAGATGAAGAAGGTCCCAAGTCCAATCAAGCACCTGCTTCGAGAAGACGCGAAAGAGGATGATCCCTTACCAAAGCCAACTTGGGGTGTACCCAACGCACCACCTATTGTTGGAGCTGTCCACAGACGCCCACGCGAACCCAACGTAAGCTTTCTCAGTTCCTTCGCTCTCTTCAGATAAAAATAGTCACTGACAATAGATAGGAATCTCCACCGCCAGAACCAACCCCTTCACCCCCTCCACCTTCACCCGAACCTGTTCGCCGACCTCCCACAGGTGACAGACAACGATATGACTCTCAAGGAGATACAGCAATGTCTGGAACCCACATAACTGCTCCTCTTCCATCGCCTCACGCAAACCCCAGTCAAATTTCCTCTCAAGCCTCATATGGCCAGCAGTTCACTCCATCTCGACCATCGGCCTCTCCAGCGCCGGTGCCGCTTCTGCAGCAACACAATTCCTACAGTCCACATGCATCTATTTCCCATTCAATACCACAGACCCCGCTTTACCAGCCTCAGCAGACGTATACCCCATACCCCGCGGCTAGTACAACTCCGGTTGCCCAGCATGCCAATCATATTGCCACCTACAATCACTACCAGAATGTTAGCCCCGCTCCACGTGCTACCCCACAACCTTCAACTTCGCATAGCGCTCATGCAAATGCAAATGCCTACAATCCGCCTCGCCAGTCCGAAATTTACACTCTTGCCGATCCCGCTAACGCGGCCCTTCCGGCTGACATTCGTGAACAATTTCACACTGATGATTACGGAAAGGTTCTGTTCTTCACAACTCCTCCACTCGACGTCAATCCTATTCCAGAGGAGAAGCGGGCTCTTGGTCATAGTCTGCGCTATTTAGCCGACAAAGCCCGCAACAGAGAAGAGGATGAGAGGAAGCGCAAGGAGCGTGCTGCCCAGTTAGAGGCCGAGGCCACCGCACGATTGAAGCGGTTCAAGGCCGACGAGGAGGGCAAGAAGCAATGGATCTTTGATCAGAAAGTCCAGGCTTTGCATAAGTGGGCCGAGAACATGGATCGGGGAACGGACGAGTTGTACAAAAAGATGCACGGCGAGGATTGGAAGGAGATGCGGGAGTTGGACTTGTGCAAGCTCGCAGTTAAGCAAGAAGAGGCGTTCAAGAAGCAGAAAGAACACGAAGCATGGGAGAAGGAGATGAAGGAGAGGAGACAAGTCAAGGTTACTGGGTTCAAGTGGATCTGATTTGGGCGTGCGCAGAAAGTATGGGGAATGGTTCATGAACTCTTATGTTCTTTGTACAATAGTCAAAATGCTGGCTTGTGGGAGTTCAAAGGCGTGTACGGACTATGATAAATGCGGATATCGAATGGGATTGCCATAGATAATACCACGAGTTATTTCAAGGGCGTAATTGGTGTTAGTGTCCATTGACAACCTCGAGTTCTTCGACTACTCTGTATACAAATCCAGATTTCGTCTGCGATCTCGACTTGTCCCAATATCTCTCGTTGACTGTTTTCGTAACTTGGATCTCAACTAGAATTCATCCTTCGCTTCTGAAGTTCACATCTGCATACCTAGACAGGTAGGTAGGTAAGAAGCTAGCTCTCCGGATGAACATGAACTGTATTGCAGCTAGCTGTAACGACAAACGACCTCTCTTTACACAGCGCAGTTATTGAGGGAGTGGTGGTTTAAAAGTCTAAAAGTTTAAAAGTCATGGAAGTGAACTCGCTAGTCTTGGGTGGCTACATCTACCCCTCAGCCTTGCATGAGAATCGAATGTTTCCATATCAGCTATGTGTTCTACCCTCTGTTTACTTGCAGTTTCCAAAAGCGGATTTCAAGAAGGCCTCTTTCCTTCCTCCTCGGGACGCCTTCTGAATTTACCCCATATATTTCATCCGGGCAGATCTCAGATTCGATCTGCCATGCACATATCAGATCCCAACATTGTCTTTTCAACCATCCATCTCTCTTTGACGTGAAAGCCGCTGGTCCTTCACCATGTCCTTCCGCGGGTTCGGCAACGCCGAGTGCTCGATCGAGGGCTGCGAAATCGACCAACCACACTGCCACACCCTCGTGCACTCAACTGACCGGCCACAAAGCCCCCCTAAGCTAGTAGCCGTAAACACATTTGGGGGCAGAGCTGGTGCTGAACCGGCACCACCGAGCGAGAGTGCAAGAGCATCGCCTCCCTCCCGCCGCCCTTCTGCTGTCGTGCGGCCTCCCATTGTGCAGAGTACTCCTAGCCACCCGGGTCCCAGTGCCGATGAGTACCGCACCTATGTGTATCAGCCTTCCTATGCTGCGGGAGGCGGGTCGGATCTCACGAGAGGCTTGACGCCGACAACTCGTGGCACCTTCACGTACGGGGGTTGGGACGAGCCTGAGACTGCAATTTCGCCTGTTATCTCAGAGTCTCCGAGTCCGGTCGGGGATGGAGCGGACAGAGATAGTAGGGTAAGATAACTGTTCACATTCGAAAGGGCACTGATAAAGGTATACTGACCCTCAACATAGCAGCCGGCTGCTCAATCGCCCACCACGAGACAGCCAAGGAGACGTGGGGACAGAAATGGAGATGAGAGCAGTGGCCCAAGCGGAGGTGCAAGTGGAGATACAAGTGGGAATATAAGTGAAAGTGCAAGTGGAAGCGCAAGTGGAAGTGGAAGTGCAAGTGGAGGTACAAACAACAGGGCATAGATTATGAGAGTTTGCCATGGCGATTATGTTACTCTCAGGGAAGACACTTGATGGCATAGGAAAATGGGCACGGATGACACTTGCAGTTTCAATACAAAACAGCACTTCTTGAATTGCTTGTCTATCTGCAGAATGTGCCGCTGATTGAAAGTATGTCGCAGCCAATTGCCAGAGTTCCGTCTCCGATAGCGCAATTAAGCAGCAATCGTAACCTCGACCTCGACACCGGCCTCAATGTTGATGATGATCTGCTTGACGACCTCGGTAGGGGCGTTGAGGCTATACGAAGATCAGCACTCCAGCACGACAATATCTTTCCAATTGGATACTCACTCAATCAATCGCTTGTGGAGTCTCATCTCGAAGGTGTCCCAGGTCTTGGAACCCTCACCACAGGGGGTCTTTCGGGTGGTGACCTTGAGAGTCTGGGTTGGGAGACGGACGGGGCCCTTGACACGGAGATCCTTGCTCTTGGAGCGCTCAATGAGCTCCTGGCAGACCTTCTCGAGGGAAGCGACCTTTCGGCTGGTCAAGGTGATACGGATCTTGTGAGTTTTCTGGGAAGCAATTGTTAGTTTACGCCCCGCAGTCAAAGGTACCTTGATGGAGGCAGGGGAGGAAGATAGCATACTGGGCCTTCGCCGAACTCCTTCTCTGGCTTTTGGTAAGACATTTTGTATTTAGAAGTCCTTCACGACTCGAACGTTTCTGTCTCGGCAAAGTGATGAAGGTGATCGTGGTGGTTTGTAAATTTTGGCGATGCCGAGAAGCGCAGAAGTTCGCGATTTCGTGAAATTCACATTGTGGGCTTATGTAAGCATGCGAATTGCATGAGTTCGCGCGTAAATTAAATTAAGCGCGTCTAATCCTAATCCGTCATGACTCAAACGGCGAGTGTGAATTTCAACCTCAGGTACGTAGTATGTATAGGCGTAACATGGAAATATAAATTGGAGGTGATTCTGATTCCAATTCTGAACAAGAAGGGAGAACCGTCTAACCTAACAATATCTGCACCAACGCGAAAGACCGTCAATTGCGAATTCCCTTGTTATTCCTAGCAATGGCTTCTAAGCTCTCCGCGGTGTCCGCACTTCCGCCCATGGTCCCCTTTCCCGAAACGACATGGAGGAACCATCTTGTTCCTGAGGAATGGGAAGCCTGCCTGGATGCTTGGATCTCTCTTGCAGAAGCACATCTGTCATTATCAACTCCGGATTTTATTCGAATCTCCTCAAAAGATGAATCCCTCCCCGGTTTCCTCACGTCCTTTGCCGCAGAACTGGCCTCGTCACATGACATCTCCCGATCACCATCAGACCTCTCGAAAACAAGACGCCTACGAAAGCAAAGCTTCTTGCTGACATATAGGCTCCTAGAAGTTGGAAAGCCTCCTGAGTCGCTGATCAAATGGGATTTCCTCGCAGACGTCAGCAAGGTGTATGGCAAGAGTCATGCCAGTAAGCTGGTAACGCTGGCCTGGAAACAAAGTTCTGCTGCTTTGGAAGTTTCCATGGGCCTGATCAAGACTGTTCTAACCAAAGAACTGGATGCCGGATTGAAAGGGGATTTGAAGACGTCGGAAATACAACTAAAGCGTCTCAATCACCTGCTACATGCGTCCCCTGAAGCATGTGCGTTTTTCATGGCCGGTAGTGACTTCTTGGACTCTCTTGTCAGTTGCTATAAACTCATGAATCCTCCATTGCGCAAAGCCATCCTCTCGACTACATATTTGTGCCTTATTGGCCTCACAGAAGGGGAGAAGCCCAGATTCTCTTCTTTGATTGATCAGCTTTATTCTTTGAAGTCTGCCGCAGAAGCTCACAAGGCAGGGCCTACGAATTCGAACGATTCTCTCGTTGCTGAATTGGTCACTGTTACTCCTGTTCTGAAGCAAGTGCAGCAGCGGATAGATGCTAGTGGTTCAGATTCGAGCAGAGCAAAGACAGTGATCACTGCTCTTGACGGATTTCGAAAGCCGGGGGGCTCTGGCAGACCAGCTCGTTTGATTAAAAAGAGAATCAGTAAAGGCAAAGGAGTAGCCACCGATGGCGACTATGGACATACATCACACAATCAAGTTCATATTCATCGCATGAGCTTGATTTCTCAAGTGCAGGATCTCTTTCCGGACCTTGGGTCTGGTTTCATCGTGAAGCTACTTGACGAGTACAGCGATGATGTAGAACAAGTGATTGCTCATCTCTTGGAAGGATCTTTACCTCCTCACCTCGAAAGTGCTGATCGTTCTGAAGTGCTGTATGTACCCTTACCAATTACGCAACAATATCTAACACAGCCAGGGAATCAACACATCAAATATCAGGAGACTACGCACCTGACTTGGCGCCTCGCTCTACACCGCCACAACTACCCACACGTCGTAACGTGTTCGATGATGATGAGCTTGACCAACTTGCCGTTGATACGTCTCGATTGCACTTTGGGCGCCGAAACCCTGATCAGACAGCAGATGACATTCTCCAAGACAGGTCCAATGCCCCAGCAAAAGCGGCAATCCTTTCGGCCTTAGCAGCATTTGATTCAGATGATGACGAACGTGATGACACCTACGACGTTGCAGATGTAGGAGGAACAGTCGATTCTGCGACACCTGGCAACAATCCGGAGGAAGCAGATGCAGATATTCGAGATAGCCGTGATGAAGTGCTATTCCGAGCATATAAACTTACGCCAGCAGTCTTTGATCGGGATGCCGGAACGCGGAGAGGGGAGCCAAGAAAGGCCCTGAAAGAGGAGACTGGAATGACCGACGAAGCTATTGAAGGGTGGGCGCTTATGCAGTCACGAGATCCAAGACAAATGCGAAGACTTGAGGCGAAGTTCTCAAACTTTTCTGGGGCACAGACCGAGTTGGCTCCTACTTCTTGGAGAGCTGGCTCTGGGACGGAGGATTCTGGCAGAGGCGGGTCTAGGGGCCGTGGTGGTCGTGGTGGTCGGGGTGGACGAGGGAGGGGACGGGGAAACGTTGCGGGACCAACTGGAGACAAGGAGACCGAAGTTGCGAGGCATAAAAAGGATGCAAATAAGGGTTCGCAAGCGAATCATAATCGGAGAGATCAGAGAGCGAAGAAGATGGCTAGGGGCGGTTTCCCTGGCTGAAGATTGATGTCGAAAAGTCTCAACTACTTCTTGAGGTGGAGGTGTGCTGGCCTTGTGCGAAGTTTGAGGCTCAGCCGTTTCCAACACAGCTACTGTTGTCTTCTCCATCTCTATCCATTGTACATGCGGGGCACCACCAGGAAAATAGCGCTGGGATTGGTTCTCGCTGTAGAGGTTGTCGAGGTGACTAAATCTACCAGCTGCATACCCATGCGTATCATAAATAGAAGCCAATTAATGAACGTGGCAGATTAAACATGTTTTGCTTGGTAAAGAACAGTCACCCCTCTCTTATCTTGTTTAGACTCGAGTGAACGAAGTGTCTTTCAGAGGTGTTTGCATTTACAAGGGAAATCCAACACTGCTGCCGACGACGGAGGTGATAGCTTGAAGCATATATGAGGTATGAGAAACTTGCCGAGATCTAATTTGCAATCTCGAGTTGAAGCTAACTCTCAGTCATAAATTGTGTCTGTAGTTTGCAAACAAACCACCAGAGAAGATAAACCAACCTGATCTGATATAACATGGTAATTGATGTATCTCAACTTAACATATTAAACCGTGTTTCTATTCCAACTTGATCATATTTCACTCGAAGTATAACGACCTTCTGATTTTCAACTACTGCTTTTCTTTATATGTCAAGCCACCACCCCAACTTATCTCACTATTAGCACCCCCCATAGTCACCTCACCTTCCTTGACACCGGTGGGGTAAGCACAGCTGCCCATATCGAGCTTCTTGGCGGGGCCTGTAGGCGAAATATCGAAGTCGAAAATGTCCATTGGAAGGCCAAGCGTAGTACAGGCTACATTTATGTTATTTAATTTTCTCTGAAAGGTTTGAGTGTCTTACCGTTAGGGATATCGACAATTCCCGCTACATGACCTTGGATTGGAGCGCAGGATAGGAGTAGGTATATCTGATAATCCGAGTACCCGAAGCGGCGGAGATACTCGATGCAACCTAGCAGTCATTATATCAGCAACAATCACCAGAATCAGGTTCAGAAGGCGCTTACGAAGAATCGTTTGCCTGTATGCAACCGTTACATCCATGTAATGCTATCGAGGGGTCAGCGCATCCACAGAGTGACCGGAGAAACGGAGGTAACTAAATATCTACCGCTTTCAAGTGGCGAACATACCTGCTTTCCGTGCTGATCGACGGAGAATCCTTCAAAGGTCAAATATCTGCCAGGTCCGTAATGCGGCTCGACTGGTCCCGGGAGGTACATGGGAGATTTCATGCCCAAGTCGGCCATGCCATTCTTCATAACCTTGAAGTTAATCGTGATAACACCGGCCATCTCAATAGCGCCACAGAATGAGATCTCTCCATCGCCCTGAGAGAAGTGCACTGATACCAGTTAATACATTGAACACTCCATAGGCTGACGAACTCACAGTCACCGACACTGAATTTAGCTCCAGGCACATGGACTGGCAGGTAGACCTTGCTTCCACGACTGAGGTTTTTGATGTCACAGTTTCCACCATGTTCAGGGCGGCCTTCTCAAGTATTAGTACTGCAATATCAAGCATATCGCTATCATTAAACCCAACTGGTAAACGAGGAGCTCAGGGGTTCGCTTCTCCACAGGACGTACCAGGTATCGTTCTAGCTCCCTCACGAGCAATCTTTTCTTTGATATCTCCAGAAGCGCTACCAGCATGCGCATTTTTAGTGTTAGGAGGCTGGGCAACAATCCTGTCTAACTTGTTTGCTGCAATGAGCTCCCCCTCACGCTTGTTCCATGTCGCCAAAACCTTTCAATGGGATGTCAGTCGTTACCAGTTGGTGACTGTTCCTAAAGACTCACCTCTGCTGAAGGTGCACAACCAATGATACCTGGATGGATCAAACCTGGGAACTTGACATGAGGGATATGTCGAGAGCTGCAGTAGATTCCCTCGAAATCCCAGATAGCCTTAGCTCTGCGTAGGCAGTTAGAAATAGCCCAAAAAGAACAGTGACTTAAAGTAATTGGATAACTGAGTCTAAGCCACCTACGCTGTAGGATAGAATTCATCCAAGAACCCTCCTCCATTTTCTTTGGCGAAAACACCTTGAAAATCACTGTCAACTTCTGGCACGTGTCAAGTTAATTTGGATGGTAACAAACCGGTAAAGCCCCTGTCAATGATATTAGAATGAGGTATTCATGATGCCTTGCATTGAAGAAGTTTTACTGACCAAGGTGCTTCTTGTAGAGGCTGGACGTCCATGATTTCCACAAGTAATACATCTCCAGGCTCAGCGCTCTCAATCTCGAACGGTCCCGACAAGTAATGGATCTTTGTAAGATCAACATTGTTGAGATCGTCCGCGCTGTCATTATTTCCTAGTCACTGTAAACAGCTTGAATAATATCATCGTAATTTCAACATACCAATTTGGCCGCCTGTCCAGTCCAGCTGGGCGAAGTTAGTAAATGGGATCCATGCCAATCACTACTAACACTGAGGAACTTACACATTCGATCTTCACGGTTTCCCCATTTTTAATGGTACCGGCAAATGGGATATCAGGATGCCACCTATTATGCAGTTTCTCATGCTTTTCAGCCGGGATATCCAAAGACACTTTACACACGTTGCGGATCTCGGTCAATCCCATGTTGAAGATGGGTGGGTGCTTAGCGGGGTCGCGTGGCGGACGGAAGGAAGGCTACCAGAGTTCGTGAAGTTGAAGACAGATAGATCCAATGGAAAGAGTACTACTAAGTAGAAGAGACGAAGTGAGAAATGAAGAAGGTTTAATACTCTCCAGCTATCTCATAAAGCAAGGCCGGCAATCAGCGACAATTAACAGACACATGAATAAGCAATACATCCCTTGAACGAATGATGTCGTGCAGTTGCACCCGCGATAAGAAACAACCATCGTTATCGGCCGAACTGCCCCTCTTCTTGATCTACAGTATGGGTTTTTCCGGTCTCTATTTCTCGTGTAACTATCTAGTATACGACGATCTTGATATGGCATTGTATGATTAATAGATGGAGTAATACTATATGGCCTTATCGAGTAGTAACATTACAATTTCGTCCCATTGATCTCCGCCTGCCAAGGGTATTGGAAAGAGATCAAATCCCGTAATCTTTAAGCCATCTTCCTGAAATCACCCAATCAATTTGCCAAAAGGGGTGGTAATTGAGGTTAGAAGATCTGTAAGGAGGCACCATCAAATAGTTCCTGGGTGGCTTCTAGTTCACTGGCATCTTACATTGGTTTTTCCGCAGCACTCGAGATGCTTAGCCGTAAATGCGAGCACTTCTAATGGCCTTTTACTGCTTTTTAGTAACAGAACAAGGGCGCTTCTGGACAAGCACCTGAAGTAACCAAAGAAGCACTGACTATTCCATAGACGAAGTCCCTAGGCCAGGTTGGAGACCTAATTCTGACATGATTTATCTAGACCTTTTTCTGTATATGGAGGCGGTGGATCCGAAGGAGTTCCCGACGAAATTCCGGTCCCAAGAGGGTTCTGTGGATGTCGGCCTTCGTATGAGCTGTCATGGCTGTCGAGTTGGAAGAGCTTTAGGTTCAAGAATTCATGCTTGTTTCTCCATTGCTGCTGGCTAGCCGCGAATCCATCACTATGTGCAGGTGATGGTGGTGGATCGGTAATCTTCGTAATGAGGTATGCCGTCGAGGCCTCAGCGATCCCATAAATGAGAACACCTAGGAGAGGAATTCGCTGGAAGATGTAGAAACCGATACCAAAACCAAACAATAGACCTTCTCGGTCATGGAACCAATTTTTCTTTTGCTCTTTTGTAAACCTTATGCGAGAGAAGTATGGTTCGAGCTGAGAAAGGTTAGCAGGGTATGAAAATTGACATTGAAGCAGTTACCAATTCTCTCATCAAGCTTCTCGAAGCAAAGTAACTTTGCAAGAAGATTACCAGGTACCCCCTAGGCAGAAGTATGCCCGTGCCAAAAACTATGGCTGCAGGCCCAAGACCGACTACTTTTTTGAAAGTATAAAAACTAGCTGCTGGGAGAACTAGGCGACCAAGATAAGGGACGTATGACAAGGCAAAGACAGCTAAAGACAGTCCAGCCTTTTTCCCAAATCGGATCAGAGACATCGTGATGGCTTCAGCGGTGCTTTTTGTGTGCGTGCTACCATCCCGAGTAGAGTATAATCGAAGATTGGGATAGTAGGCCTGTCGAAGGGACGAAGGATCCTCGTCTTTATGTTTTGCATAGTACGTTTTGTCAACCCACTGAAGAGAATCCATAAACCTGGTGGCATTAGGAGATACCCTGTGATACTAGAAAGGATGACGTACATGTTGTCAAGAGTAGGCGTGACATATCTCATCAAGGTCATCAGGAAGAACGGAATTTGAAGAACATGGTTCTGGATGAAATCTAGGCCTCCTACCACTTCATTGTCCCACGTCGAATGCTCGAAATTGATAACGAAAGAAAGGAGCCATAGCAAGACCTTGATGCCAACAATCTAGCAATTCCGTCAGCATGGATAAGAATTACTCCATCGAATTGGCATCCATACGGGAATAGCTACGGCTATGCGGATTGCAATGCCTATTGCGACAGCGATAGCGGCTTGCTTGTAGTGCTCAGATGTGAATAAAGCAGGGTTCTGCAATGCCCTCAGAGCTGGATCTGGTCAGCAGGGGGGCCGGGCATATTGATAATACATGGTAGGGCGTACTGACCTCCGACGACAGTCAATTGCGCTCCACGCAAGATGCTATTTGGCTCGAAATTCGAGATCTCCAGTTTCTTTTTGAGTTGTTCTTGAGTTAGAAGTGGTTTTTGTGCCTGGGCCCTGGGTTGTGCCATCCTGATTGTCGCTCCCAAGAGGATAGATGTGTGAGCTCTGAGCTTGTTTGAGTTGACAAGCTGAACAAGCTTCGTCAGCGTGGTGGGATAAGCTCCTAAGGACTCGTACAGCCCAATAGCGCGGCAGGACAAACGCGTTGTACCGTAACCTCCCGCCAGGTACACACAGTAGCACCAGGTACAGTCGCACTTAATTCCAGATTATTGCTTCGCACGAAAAAGAACAGATCGATCCTATATCATCCGGCCTGCTCGAACTGACGGTTCCTAATCTCGATTGTCGACGGATCTTCCCACAAGCTCTCCCAACGATAAGCGGGGGGAGTTGGGCGATCTCACTCCACGATCTCCATATTTCTTTACGAGCGTTTCGGCCTCCAAATGCCTCACACAGTCATGGTTCTTAGGCAATAGAGAATCTCATTTCTTGGGATGAAGCCACGATGGCGTCTTCAAGTCCTGCGACTCCAATTTCTCGCCGTTCGATCAGCCTGCCATCCCCTCAGTCGGCTTCCGGACCAGATCCGCAGATCGAGGTCCTATACCATCATCCCTCAGCGCGGATCATTTCGTTCACGACGTCGAATCCGACATCACAATCAAGCCCAATTACCAGTAGCCCTGGAGGAGAAGAGGAACCGGGGAGCTTGTCCTGGGTATCTAGATTCGAAAGGACTATCGCAGTTGGTATGTACAATTATCCGCCACTGCGGCCCCCTTTGCAGACCAGAGGCTTACTTCTCAATCGCAGGTCCTTTACGCATATATCGCGCCCCAGGCTCTGTAGCATTTTTGAACTGTTCGAGAGCTCTCCAGCCCATACTACAAAAATCACAATGTTGGGAAGTGGATGGATCGGGTAAATTCGTCTTACAGATAAGGCGGCCTCAATACTGGCGCATCGAAGTACCCAGCAAGAGCGATGACGATAAGGTTCGGGTTGAGGAGCTCAAAGAAGTACTCGCAAAAGTGCTATTATTCGAGAAGACTCCGTGTCCATTCCAAAGGAATTTTACAGTGGAACTGCCCGACCCTCCACAAACACCCGTTAGGAAGAGGCCATGGAAACCGGTGGAGAGACCAAGGCTCGATATAACACCTACACCAAAGCACGCGGATGAAGAGAATAGCTATTCTGCCGGCAAAGGATCTTCCAAGACGCAGTCCTTATCGACCATTAGTGAACTTGTATCCACTCCTACAACCCCCTCTCGGGACCCAGCCTCTTCGACCACGACCACGCACACACCGGGCACGCCCTCAATTGCTGATCTATACCCTCCGAATAACGGGAATAGACCTGAATTGTCCTCAAGTCCCGACAGCAAACAGAAGGAGGATGAGACAGTATTGCCAGATCCTTTTACAAATACAATCTCAGACAAGAACACTCCAGCTGGCATTTTGGCGCCATCATTATTGGAGTCTTCAGTGAACAGTTCAAGATTCGGCAGTTCAAGTGGACTTGAAGAAGACAGTGATAACTTCAGTGATACTACTGATGATACAAATGTCACAGTCAAAGTCCAGTCCCAGCCAGCCCTCCGGCCAACGACATCTGAACCCAACAACGACGATCGTCCCCAGGCAGTACAAAACCGCAACCGATTGATAACAGACACCCCTGTTCTCTCAATTGTTACCAGTTCACCATCCAAGTCTAGAACAAATTCCCCCTTGCGAAACTCCACTGTAGTTGAATCAAACCCGAACTTTTCTTCCAGCGTTGAGTCATTCCACTCAGTGCAATCCTGGCATTCTCCTCTAGCTCCCCCTTCACCTCCAACCTCCCACCCCTCCTCTCCAACTACTACTACCAGTTACCCCTATCCGCATGATAATATTGTTCTGCCGAAACGACCACATCACACACGCGATACGTCAGAACTTACAACCGCGTCTCATACACCCGGTGCCTGGGAGACGACGTCAATAGATTCGGGATCTGTTCCAAGGAGTTTGTCACCACCGCCCAAAACCCCTACATTGGTGAACGATACCAACGAAAAATCGGATGATGAGCAATTTGAAGTTATTACCCCTCCAACTGCAAGGTCGGGTCTCCGTCATCGAGCTACGACAAGTAGCAATTCACGTCGCCGGACCCTATCGCCTCTTCCTGCAGCTGTGAATCTCTTCTCACCTCCGAAACACCGTCTAAAGCGGCTTCAGACCACTAGGCACCTTCCCACTGCAATCATCCAGAAGACCTGCGAGATCCTCTTGAGCCCTCCAAGCCACCTACTTCAGCTGATGCTTAATATTGCCTCTAAGATTGCAGCGGGTGAGTGGAAGGGCGTGCTTTCTGGGAATGGAGAAGATGTTCATTGGGATTTCGAGGATGAATACGTTGGGGAGGGATGGACCGAGGACGATTATGGAATGAGTCTGCCCAACACAGAAGCTAGGCCTAAGAAAGCCAACACAAAGACTGAGGGAGGCTTTTGGGAGGTTGATTAGGAGTGCAATGTTTGTGATGAATTTGTGAATTTGGTGAAGTGTACGATTTTTTGAGAAGGAATGCTCCGCATTGATCTGTGGAATGTCCAGACGACTGGTATGATTTGGTGTCTTGCATCTAAGGAGGAATTGGATGGGCACATGGCATTCCCGGCGCATGTCTTTTGTGATCTTGATTACGGTCGTTTATTGTATAGAAGTCTAGATTGACATTTGGACCTTCAAATAACAGGATTTTACGACCCTTTTGCTCCATAAAATGGCAGAGCCGATAGTTAGCCTAGGTAAATTCAACTACTACTTCAACTTAATGTGACAGGAGTAGTCTCTAGATCATAATGAACGCCGTCCCAATGCACGCCTTCCTTCCCATCCACTCATACAGTATGCCATGGTATGATATGACTCAAAAATCAAACGAACACCACTCCCTTCTGGGAGGCATCATGGGCATAACCCCTCCCTCAAATGAACCTGACTGCTGAAGATGCATATATGCTGTTTTTATGCTCTCGTCGTACTGCGATACCTCCATTTCTGTATCTTTATAAGGAGCTGGAGCACCTTGTGGAAACCAGATTTTCTGCCAACTGCCATCCTTGCCACGAAATCCCGCTTCATCGTTTTTGTACACAACTGGCCTACCCTTGAACATCTTCAATCTTCCGTCAACGCCCTTGGAACTATAACTCTCTGAGCTATTTTGCCCAACCGTTGCGGCGCCGTTAAGGGATGGCTGTGAAGAGCCAACAGCTTGGTTCGCATTAAAAGCATTTGCGGCAGGAGGGTTACCGAACGGATTTGCATTGGGAGCAGCAAATGGCTGGGTAGCACCAAATGGATTTGAGGTACTGGCCTGCGTAGGAGGTCTTTGTGCAAAAGGGTTGACCGTCGATGTTGACGCACTGCCGAAAGGATTCCCACCTATCGTTGGTGGTCTAGTGCTAGGTTGTCCGAAGGGATTCTCCGATATAGAGGACGGAGCTCCAAACGGAGCTGAGCTTGGATTGCCAAATGGATTTTGTTGTTGAGACGGAGGGTTGGCCGAGCCGAAAGGGTTTGAGATTTGGGTAGCCGTTTGATTGAGTGGGTTTTGCTGGGCAGGTTGTGATGGTGCGCCAAAAGGATTTGTGCCTTGCTGTTGTTGTGGCTGAGCGAAGGGGTTTGGAGCTGCGGCAAAAGATGAGAACGGAGCTGTCGCGGTGTTCGAAATGCCTGAAGCTGGACTAGCTGATGGAGCTCCAAAAGGATTTGGTTTCTGTCCCAAGACAGAAGGACGACCGAAAGCCCCAGCTGCACCAAGTTGCGAAGGCGTTCCAAAGGATTGAGAAGTTCCGCCGAATGGATTTGGTCTCTGCCCTAGACCTGACGGCTGTCCAAATACACCAGTTGAAGCCGTTGTAGAGGTTCCAAATGGCGAGCTGGCCGCTGGCTGGCTCGGGGCACCAAAAGGATTCCCCCCGCCTGAAGCTTGAGTAGTGGGCGTACTGCTTTGTTGACTGAATGGAGTTGATGTCGACCCCTGCCCGGAAGTGGACATGCGGCAAATGTCTATCCTATTGGGGTGCTCCTTCTCCGCACTGATAATAAAATTTATAGCCTCATCAACATTGCTGAGTGCGGTTTGCATCTGTTGCTCCGAAGCCTGGAATAACTTATCTGCCTCTTGTACCTACAATAGATCAGCACCCAGTTTAATGCGTCACAAGGTTCAAACGTACAGCTTGCTGAGCATTCCCCGACGCCAGAGCCATATAATGCATAAGACGCATTTCTTCAAAACTCTGTTCCCTTAATGGCCCACCAAACAGTTGTGCAGGTGCCTGCCGTCCAGGACCGTATGCAGATAGAATCCATTGGGGCCGTTCTGTAGAAAGGTCTGCAATTATGGCATCTTTGTCGAGAGAATAAGGGGTATTCCGTGCTGCAGAAGTTTTATACAATCAGCAAGGCTCGATCCGTAGGGAACTTGAACTTACCTCCACCTTGGTAGCTACTGGAAGAGCGAGTATTCGAGTTGTCTTGGTTTTGAAGAACAGCAAAGCGGTTGCCATTAGGGATGCCTTGATTGAGTGGGGGATGCTCAAATCTGCATCTATCTTTATTCTTCAGTAAGCCTTTGATCTCTCATATATTATAAGACCCCTACCTCCATATCGGCATGCGCCTTGCTGCCAAAACTTGCACACTACTGGGGGCATTGTCCCAGTTGCAGTGGGAACCCTGATTTAGTTGTTCGGAATGAGCGCATCGCTGTCCCTATGACATTGTCGTGGGGGCGCACAATCCGTGAAGAGTGGTAGAAGAAGTGTTGAAATTACAAACAGCAAGACGTGCAATGTGATATAGTGACTGGGATGAGTGCTCTCGAGCGCCTTTCGGGAGGACGCGATCGACAAAATTATACTAGGTTCGCGTTCAATGGCGAGAGCCTTGGCACGTGACTGGACAAAGAGCCCTTTATAAGAATATATTTTTGAGCATGAATTCTTTGTCTTGATGAGGATAACAGGCTATCAATAGATGTGTGGTATGTTATTATTGGACCTAGGCTCATGGTATCTCTATGGTGCCTACTTCCTTATACCCTGAGACATATTCAGTCACTTATTTCTTCTGCTCTAATCATCTTCCATAGTGCAGCCTTGGTAATCTCATCTTCGAAGACCCTATTCAAAAGTACTTCTAGCTCCTTACTTGCTTTTGCCACTGCATCCTTGTCCTTGGGACCCTTCTCTGCTAAACGTAGCTGCCAGTGTTTGGTAAAGGCTGTGATCTGTTGCACAAGAACCTTTTCCAGTTCCTTTCTTGCATCGAGGACGTGATCAACGACAGCTGGGAGAAGCTGACCCCTTACAAGAGGAGTGATATACGCTAAGGGATTAAACAGTTGCTGTCGGGCCTGGAGTTCTTTAATAGTCTCCCAAATAGGGGAGAAGTCAAGTTCCGAAGATTGACGGATGGAGTCAGGTATTTCGTGGGTCATGAAGAGATTTTCAATAAGCATAAGGTTTTTGATGAGAAAGACTTGAGCATCCATAATCGTGGAAGTACGCTTAATGGTCGTCGCAGCTCGTTGAAGAGACTCGGTAGCTTGATGTACAATCTCGTAAAGCACGTCTCCCTTTTTCTGATAGAATTTTAGATTTCGTGACCCTCTGAGAGGAGACAGTGAATTACTTACAGGCCTATCATACTTGCTATCATTGTACATGATCAGTAAGCTGACAGCGGTTTTGACAGTTGGGTAGGCGCTTGATACTGCCGGATCCGCATGAGCAGCGTTGCCAATCTGAACCTTTGAATCTTCTCCGGTACTGTCGTTGGTTTTGCCACTTTCATTGGAAAGTCGATCAGTATCCGAAATAGAAATTGTTAAATCGTCAGGGGTCGGTTTGAAGTGTTCAAGGTCCATAGCAGCTTTGATGAAGAGAGAGTCGGACAATGGCCAGAGATGGTCGTTCAGTAATACTCGGGCTGCCGAAGTATCACTCTCGTGGGGTAAATCATTCTCCTCTTCACCCTCGACTGGTGCCACGCACATTGTTTCCACCCAATTGACTAGGTCAACAACTCGACGTAAATTTCCATTGCTTAGGTATGGCGTCAAGACAGTGTAAAGTGTTTTGACATGTGATAGACGGTTTTGCTCGAGCTTTTCCGTATAATTGTACTGTATGTTCCGTGATGCCGGATAAAGGGCCAAGATGGGACCATTGCCAAAGAATTTTTCAACGAGCTTCAGCTCATTGCGGCATATATCAAAAACATATTGAACAGAGCTCCTGGCAAAGCGCTCGAATTCTGCATCTGACTTAGGTTCATTGGCTGTGAATTTCCGGAGATTCTTCAAGACCAGTGGGCCAAGAGGTTCCCGAGACTTAAGAAAAGATTCAACAAGTTGCTTGTAGAGCTCATGCCATTGATCAATGTATGCACCCCGTCTAATGTCATCGCTGATTTGTCCAAAGGCAAACTCTGAGGTGTGCAAGAGCCTCTCGAGAGGTGATCCGAGCTTCTCGATAGCTGCCTCATATTTGCCATACAACAAGACGTATTCTGTTGTTTCATTCTGCTCCTTTGATTTAAGCTGCTTTGTGACATCATCTGATACCTCGCGGAGGGCAGAAGAGAACGCTATCTGTATGATATTGAGAGATCTTTCTAAGAGGGATGTGTAACGTGTCTTGTAGGTAGTAGAATCGCGATAAAGCGGCTTTGTATATAATTAGTGCTTGTCAAAGCCAAATCAGACGAATAAAGGGATAACGTGACCAATTTGCACAATTCCCCAAAGGGAAGGCTTTTGAAACAGGAGGAATAGAATTGGACATACATGTTGATCCATGAAGTCTATACATGTATTCAAATTTCTCAACATATCCAGGAAATCATCATTCCTGACAAGACGGCCTGTTCCAGGGGCGTTGAGACGTCGTGTTAAAGGCTCAAGGTACGCATAATATTGAAGATCAGTCCCGATTTCATCAGCTAGATCACGAAGTCTTTTCTGCTCAGCTAATAAATCCTCGCACTGAGCCTGGAATGCCGTAGTTTGAGTCTCAACCGATCTGAAAGATTCAGAAAGGGTAGCCAACAATTCTAACGCAGACGACGTATCGTTAAGTAAGCTGTCAAGATGCCGTTCGGACAAGGCCAACTGATCCCTATACAACCTTGTTCGAGCATTAGCTTAGCATGCATAAGACGCGTTGCTGTCAACATACTGATAGTCCTCCTGATTGGTATCCAATAGTTCTTCCTCACATCTTTCGAATCTACTCTCAAAGCAAGCAGCAATACTCCTGTCTGCTGGAATCGCAAAATCATCAAGCTGTGGTACCTTCTCTGAACCATTGGCAAGGTAGCCAATAGCCGCTTCGTAGAAATCGCCATATGATTTGGCTCTTTTGACCAGTGTGGCCTTTGGGGGATCTTTCCGCCCAGGTGCATCTTCAAACAGCTCCGTTATAGGCTCTGGTGGATCAGGTATCTCATTGCTTCCCTGCGTCACAGATCAGTGTTATTCCTACGGCCACAGTTAGGAGACCTGACATTGGGTTGTTTTAGCAAGGATTCTCTTCGACGGTGCTTTGATTGTAACGACGAAGCATCCTCCTTTTTGGACTGCTGAGCAGGCACATAGCTGTACCATGGATCATCATACATTGTCTTTCATTCGATCTTTCAAGGAGGCGTCGAAAAGCATGAGGCTGATGAACACGGTCTGACAGTTGAGAGATCTAGCAAGCACGTGCCGCAAGGCTCGGACAAGGCCGCGTTGGTGGCTATAGTAGAATTGTCGCACAAATTATAATAGGTACCTAAGGCATAAATTATACGTTCCAATGGTTTCCATCCATTAAATCAGCACGATTTGTGAGGTCACATAGAAAACATTAGCATCCATTATTGACCTCATTTCAGGTGATCGAGTAGGTTGTGTTGAGGAATCCATAATGTTTCCATCCACTCAACCGTTTTGAATTATTCAAAGTGATATCTTACATTTTAATCTCTACAGGGATATGGCATCGTCATTGATGGTGCAAGGCTGAGGAAATCAACCCTACTACGAAAAAAGGACGTCGAGTGGGTTTAAGGTATGTTTTGCCTCAATATACCTAATCAAGAGATATGTCAGCTAATGTTCCCAGACCTTCAAGATGAATCCATCAAGAATTGTTCCACGGTCTCTCTCAATTGCTCCAAGAGCGAGTAAAGGACCAGTTGTGCAAAGAAGATGTTTTCGAGGAGCGAACAGTTCTCGCGTTGCCGTTGGAAATAGGTCGATACCCAGAGCTCGAACAGCAGCATTTCTCTTATCGGCCACTGTTGGTGCGGGATCCTTATATCTGATCTATCCAAGTCAGCTTCATGCGGAGGCGGCGGAGGCGGTTCCGGCCCCAGGAGAAGTCAGGTTCGAGCAACGGTCAGAGAAAGGGCTTCAGGATTTGACTGTCTCGCAACATCAACAAGCAAAAAAGAGTTGGGAGGAACCAGGAGTCTATGCTTGGGGTTCGAACAGCGGTCGAGTCATAGATCCAGATTCGGACGAGACGATCATCAAGAAGCCCAGAAGGATAGCTTACTTCAACGGAAAGCTTATTCGAGATATCAAGTTGGATAGAAATTTTGCGGCAGCCATCGATGAAAATGGAGACCTACTTCAATGGGGAGTCGCTTTCTCCCCAAGCTGTCGAGGCCCAACCCCTACGTTAAGAGGAAAAGATCTCGTCAAGATCTCCCTCTCTCGGGATCGTATCATAGCACTTTCTTCCAATGGCACCGTTTATTCTATTGCCGCATCTCAAGCGGACCATCAATCGGGACCTAAGCCCCAAGAAACCTCCTGGATCCCCTTCTTGAAGAGCGAATCCCCTGTCAGTTATCGAACGCTAACACCGAGTAATATGGAATTTGGGGAGAGGGTCACGGATATCAGCAGTGGCCTCGATCACTGCCTTATCTTAACATCAGAAGGACGACTGTTCTCGGCCGCATCTGGGACCGAAGATTTTCCATCAAGGGGACAGCTTGGTATACCAGGTTTGACATGGATGACTAGGCCTCCTGGCCCTCACGATCAACCACATGAGATTAGTACGCTGAAAGGTTTTGAAATCGCAAAGATCGCCGCTGGAGCTTATCACTCTTTGGTCGCCGATAAAGAAGGCAGGGTCTGGTCTTTCGGAGACAACTCCTCCGGGCAGTTAGGTTTTGATCTTGACCCCGAGTCACCCACAATCGATGCGCCGTCTCTTATTCCAATTGACAAACTCTACAAGGGCGCAAATTTGCTTACTCGGGTTACAAATGTAGCAGCAGGCGGGGCCAATAGTTTCTTTACAGTTGATGCTACTAAGATGACTGGACGAGGGGAAGATGGTTTACGTGGGCTTGGGCAGATTACTGCGGACACTTGGGCTTGTGGCGAAGGCATCTTTGGTGCACTTGGCAATGGACGGTGGACACATGTTCAGGATACGCCTACGAAGATTAAAGCACTCTCTGGTCTTTTTGAGTACGACGAGGTCACGAATACTGTTAGTCCCATCCGCCTCTCACATCTGTCTGCTGGCTCAACACATGCTTGTGCTATCTTGAACAATGGCACAAATGTAGCGGCTGGGGATCGAAGCACCGAAAATGATATAAACTGGGGCTCAGATGTGTTGTGGTGGGGAGGCAACGAGTTTTTTCAGGTGGGAACTGGGAAGAGGAGCAATGTAAATAATCCTACTTACATTGCGCCGCTTGATGCTGAACCAGACATGGAGAGAGGGAGAGCAGAGGAGCCCAGATTTCAAATCACACCAAGGACGAAGATCACACTGGGTGGAAGAGACGTTAATGTTGAGCAAAGGGTTGAATGCGGTAGAGGAGTAACCGCTGTATATTCGTCGACATGTGAACACAAGGATGACCCCAATTCGGTCAATTCCTGGGGAAGCAATAGTAAGTAGAAGCTGGTATCCTGCGGCGGCGTTTGCTCCGTGGTTACTTATATTCGCTGTATGTATTCATAACGACTGCTTATGCCTTGTACACGCAACTATGTCTTCAAGATCATATCTCCTGATTATTTTCAAGGTCAACCTTATCGCATTTACTTCATGTTGCTGAATATTGTAGCAGCACGGCAAAAATAACCATGGTCCCCCTTATTCGAGATGATTGTTTGCCAAGCAGGCCCTGCATTTTCTGAGTCTAGCTAAGACAAAGTATATCTGAAATCCCATGCAACCAACTCCCATTCCGAACAATCCTTTATGCCTGAGTGGTCTTCGCGGCGGCCTGGTTGGGGTTGACCTTCTTTCCATCCTTGTTGTAGCGGACACGTGGGGGTGGCGCTCTGTTACGGCGGCCTTCGCGGGAACGGACACTGTGAGAGAGTCAGCTCTCACGTTCTGATCTGACTTACAGATGTTCGACCAAGGTTCATCTCAAGTGCTATCTTACCGAACAATCTTGCCGTGAATGGCGCAAGAGACGCAGTACTGCAACTTGAGGTACATCTTGGGAACGGTGTATTCGGGGAATACGGATGCGTCTGAGATATCACCTGCAAAGAACTCATATCAGCATCAGGCCCCCAAAGCCAGTTCTCGGCTCTTCCTAAAAATTGGATAGTCGAGCTGATCCTTCCAATCCAGAAGTTGTGATGTTGTAAATAATGGGTAACATACGAATAGCCGCTGATTCGACCATGTTTCTGATAGTGAATCTCTTTATCGCCTTGTCCTTGGGAGTGCATCGAGAGCAGTTCGAGCAACGGATCTGGAAACTTTTGGGTTAGTCTTTGCCTTTTCTACATACATATCGAGATCCAAAGATGCTCCAAGAGCAGTCAATGAAGAAGACAGATTCCTTACCGGCTTGACGTGGCCGCGGCCCTTCTTGTTACGTCCACTGCGAATTGTTAGTCGTCGGTGCTTTCAGGCAAGATAGTCGGTCCGGGGGGTTGTACTTGGATGCGCGCTTCTTGACCATTTTGGCGATTCTGCAAGATAGTCAATGGCAATGTCTTCATCACTGTTTGCGAATACTCACTGAATTGGTGTGTCGGGTCAAATCTGCTGCTGGGGTTAGTTGTTTCGATTTTCAGACGTCGATTTTCAGGCGCTGATTTTCTGTGCATAGGTATCTCAAGCGAGAGCCCTAATCAGGAAGCTAGCTCGGCACGTGACTGCCCACTTCGAATTTTTGAATTTCTAGCGAGAGCGTCGCAACTTTTCTTCGATTCTCAACCTTTCAACTGCAAGACCGCTCAGGAAGACAAGATTTGTCTAGGTAAGTCAACCATGCACTGGCTCATACAGCCTTGATACCTTCTTGCAAGGTCCATACAGCTTGCGGAACATATTCTGACCCCCGAGATAGGCAGTCATGCAGATCTTCGTCAAGACCCTCACGGGCAAGACTATCACCCTTGAGGTGGAGTCTTCTGACACCATTGACAATGTCAAATCCAAGATCCAAGACAAGGAAGGGATCCCACCCGACCAGCAACGCCTGATCTTCGCCGGCAAGCAACTCGAAGACGGTCGCACCCTTTCCGATTACAACATCCAGAAGGAGTCGACTCTTCACCTCGTCCTCCGTCTCCGTGGAGGTGCCAAGAAGCGCAAGAAGAAGGTCTACACCACCCCCAAGAAGATCAAGCACAAGCGCAAGAAGACCAAGTTGGCCGTCCTCAAGTACTACAAGGTCGATGGTGATGGAAAGATCGAGCGTCTCCGCAGAGAGTGCCCTACTCCCGACGTAAGTCCTCTAGCGCAGCTTTCGGGTTTAGGCAATACTAATTATTCTACAGTGCGGTGCCGGTGTTTTCATGGCTGCCATGCACGACCGCCAGTACTGTGGACGTTGCCACCTGACTTACATCTTCGATGAGGCCGGAAAATAAGTCTGGATGGTGCATCTTGAAGGAACTGGATCGGTAGCTTCTGAAGGGTTTTGATGTATCATATCTTCAATGCCATGTAGTTGCTGCCACCTATAATACTCGTGATTGTGATTTATTACCGGATATCACCCAGTCGAAAAGGGACTGGATGATAAGTCAAATGTGTCTTAGAACCTTTCGTTTTCTAAGCTCCGGCCTTCTATGGATGAGTATGAGCTTTCAGTTTGTTCTTCTTTTTGCGATCTCTAGGCAGTTCATACACACATACCATCATGGTGTGCAGGCATCCAGTGGAGGCCAGTTAAGAGGAGAGTAATATAGTATTTTCATAGGCTATCCAGTTAGTCACTCCAATTCCCTAATGTCATCATTTCAAGGCTTACTTCCTGCCATATTATGTTCTCTATCAAAATCCCTTCAGAAATTTGCATCTAAACCCAAATTCTTCGATATCATGGGCGCAGCCTGCTTCCTAGATATTCGACGGTCATATACTGCCTTCTTCAAGCTCGGGCTGCTAATAAAACAAGCCGCTTTCCTTTCACATACACCGAGGCCTCCAGTCCTACAATCTTTGCTGTGCTTGTGGCAAAATAAATTTCTAGGGAATAATGATGTCGGGGACCTCTGTCTACAAAGAGGATTCCATAGCTCAGGTAGGACGAGCGTTTCGCGCAGATGATATCCGCAATCTTCACGATTCAAGGCGTCACTTCTGCGTCCGTTTTGGAGCTTCCTAGGAGGAATACAAGCGTGGACGGATAGGTGATTATACAAGAAACATTGACTCCAGTAGCAGGCGGGAACGAGATCTACCAGGTACGGGATCTTTAGGGTTTGACTATGTTTGTCTGGCAACGATGATTAAGGTACCGTCGAAGACGTTCTCTGCCTTAGGGGGGAGGTAACCTGCCCCATGGCAGTAAATATATACGAACTCCATGGCCGTGACCTCAGGAGTAGCAGCCAAAGACCCAGGCACGTAGCCATACTATATCCCTATAGTTCAAGGATTTGTCCCTATCAGAGGAGTCCAGTGGGTAGATAGAATAGGGGTCTTGGCAACGTACTTTGTCACATCCGAGCTGTGGAAGCCATCGACACTGAAGACTGCAGTATGCTTGTAAACCTTCTCGGCATTAACCTAAGTGCAATAACAAAGTGTGATTGAAAAAGTATGTTATCACAGAGCTATAGCGAAGGACCTGAAAGAATGCATGGCCAGGACAAGATTTGAGGGGACAGCTATATACCTGCTTTGGTGATGGGAAGGAAGCTCTTGGGTATTCAAGCTTCCAATACATCATAATCACACTCCAATACCGCTGCAGCTAAAGCCACCTTTATGAGGAAACGCAATACAACGAAATTCATCTGTACTTTAACAGCTGCCTGACAGAAAAGCTGCAAAAAGTACATGATCACTCGCAATGTCCAACAGAGCGAAGGTCAGAGGCCAATGGTGCAGCCGTCCTTGTGGACATTTTAGATAGTACCACCTAGGAAATCTTCTGCCATGTCCACGGCTATGAAAGGATCCATTTCCATGGATTTCATTTCTTGCCCGGTAAGTTTGACTTCGCACAACTTTCCATAGTAGCTAGGAATTCATGTTGTAGCTCGAAATATTGTGCACGAAAGCCGGGCTTTTACCGCTCAGCTTTCTCCCAGCCTTCCCCAAATACCATCGTTTGTCTGATGGTTAATTAAAAAAGTCAGGATGGTTCATAAAAGCCTTTCTTTCGACAAGTCTTATTTAGTGCCAGCAACCACATCAATGGCCGATGATCCTCCGATCAACGTAGAGTGACGTGCTTTATTCGAACAGTTGTGAACGATGTCTAGGTATTCCCAACCTCTAATCAATGCAGAAGCATCGGCGTCAATAACCCCGAAAAGATCTATAAAAATGAGTTTATAAGATCATCCAGTTTCCTCTTTTTGTTTCTCGTCACACCTTGCCGTTGCTGCTTCAGCGTAGAATTACACATATGCGTAGACTCTGGTGCCTTGTTCAAAGCAGCTTCGGAGTGGCCACCCTGAATAGGCGCATTAGCTTCTGATGGTAGTTTGATGCGGATGAAGGACAAGGCTTCTGAAGTCGGTGTAGAATAATATGGTTGCCCAAGACGAAGGGACGCCATTGGGACCAAGTTTACCAGTGTATTGTCCACAGTTGTCTGGTCACCAGTATTCACTCCAGCTTTTACAAGATCAGCATCTTTCCGCAGCTCACCTACTCGGGAAAATATCTTGCGGAGTATGTGCTCCCGGGTGTTGGCTTTTCCAACCGCTGAGAGCTGGACTCTAGAAGTTAGAGTTTGGAGATTTTTCATCGCCTCTCCAGACTGCTCCTTTCTTCGCTTGTTTGAACTAGAACGACTCTGATGATTGGGCCGTCCAGGTGATTCGAATATGCAAGCAGCCTCAAAACCTTCCAGGAGGTTTTCATTAACGACCAGATCCCATCCAAGTTTCTGGGCTTGCGGTATTGTATCATATCCAAAGCCGCAACCGCTCACGTCATAAACAGTGAGCGCAGGAAAAGAATTGAGATAAATGAGCGATTGGCCGGTCACATACTCGTGATTCCAGAGCCTCAGGATCCGCAAGACGGGAAACACACCATCTTTCGAGGCGGTCTGATGCCACGCTCGAATTAATCGATCTCCAACTTGGGAAAGTTCCGGCTTAGATCGAGAGGGCTTTATGATCTCGAGAATACCAAGATTGGTGATATTTGACAGTTTGACAAGGTCCGGGACTGGAAAAGTTACCGTAATGCTCAATGAGGTAATGAAGTCGAAGGTTTTCGAGGAGAGGGGGTTCGCGTATATGTAAAGAGGTGATTTTGGGTTTTGGATGGTCTGGCGATAGCTCAAGAGGCCTGGGTTTGGTGTATCCCGACGGAGGATTTTGGAGAAAATACTCCACGTGTTAAATGATATTGAACCTCTTGAAATCCAAAGAATTAGCGTGGCTTAGGAAGAACGCATTGAAAGAGTAGCATGGGGAATTTGAATGCTACATGTTAAACACATAAACCGACCTTCTGTCCACCGCATACCAGACTCGTTCGACAATTCGTATAGGAAGACATTCAAGGGTTTCGGGGGAAATATCGGATATATTCTCGAGAATACATCTAATAGCAACATCTTGTAATGAGCGAGTACCTTTGAGATTCCGGACCGTCGAATCCTTCATATTATCAGGATGTCTGCGATACTGTCCCAGATTTGATCCACCCCTGCCACGCTCCCAGCCCTTCGCATCGTTTGCATCGCTATCACCTGCATCACTGTTGCGGACATGGCTTTTATCTACATCGCTACTGTGTGCACCGCCAATGTCCGAATCACCGATGTCTGTATCGGCATTGAGGGTTGGTCTGGCGATAGCATGGTTTTGTCGAGTCCAACCGCTGTCATCAGAGCTCTGGATTGGGGTAGTTCTCTCGGTATACACCTGCCCCGTAGACTCATCGAACTTGTAGTATTTGTCCCATGGTCTCTCAATGTGAGCTTCAGATCGTCGGTTGTACCCGAGCTTGTTTCTTGGGAGGAGCCACCGCATGGCGAAACTTGCTTCGACGGGACGTTGATCATTCTCCTAAGGTACGACGGGCAAACGCGCTCAAATGCGCGAGGGCACACTTGTCACAAAAGATGGCACGGCATTACTTGAAAGGTAAAAGGCCAGGTCGTAAAAGAGCGGGATTGAGAAGGTTATGTTGTTTTCGACGCGTATGGTCTTACCTATACCTTAGGTACTGCACCTATAGACCGACTCGTGACCAGGGTCCTGTATCGCGCATTTATCGGATAAGAAGAGCCGCGACTTCGGTATATTAATAACGTCGTACATCCCCCACTGTGATGGCAGAACTATTACGAACAGTTCGCCTTGTCATGTCCTCCTCATTATCCATGGTAAATATGTTGCCCGTGCGATAGACTGACTGGACTTCTTGCCATCATGCTCAAAAAGTCGAGTATACTGTCATGCAATCATTTCCATCCGCTTCATCCTTCCGGGGCAACATCAAGAACGTCGATATCTCGTACGACTAGATACCCGGCACGCCCGCAACGATACCGTGCTTATGCCACGGTCAGCGATGGTCATGATAGGCATCAATGCGATGGCATTCCATGGCCAGATGTTACATCTGCAAATGCTCTTCCAACGCCTTACCAGATCTTTAATCAGAAGAAAGGTTCGCCATATTCGAAACGAAGATTTTACGAGCTGGTTAAGTTGTACCATCCCGATCGACACCCCTATGGTAGCCCGGCCGATGGGCTATCGTATTCTACGAAGTTAGAAAGATATCGACTCATCGTAGCCGCCAACGATATCCTTTCTGATCCTATCAAAAGAGGAGCCTACGACCGCTACGGGGCTGGATGGAACGGACAGCCGGATGTTCGCACGTCTCGAAATTCCTCCGATCCATCTGCCTACAGTGGGAGTGGATGGAACAGTCCAAATGGGCCAAGTCGAAATGCCACTTGGGAAGATTGGGAGAAATGGTACCAACGTGAGGCAGATGGCCCTCAGGAACCGAGATTCGTCTCGAACGGTACCTTCGTTTTCCTGATCGTTGTAGTTGCAGCTATAGGTGGAGTTGGCCAGCTTTCACGGGTTGAGAATTACTCGGTGAGCTTTTTAGAGCAGCGAGCTGCTCTACACGACAATATCTCCAAAGACCTCAACCGCAAACGGAAGGAGACCACCACTGCATTTTCAAGTCGGGAGGAGAGGATAAACAGCTTCTTGGAACACAGAGACCCATATGGAATGCTGATGGTACGTGGGCGGGAAGAGAGTATCAGGAGATTACTCCAGCAACGAGACACACGTTCGAGCGAGGATATCAACACACGTTCGAGCGAGGATATCAACACACGTTCGAGCGAGGATTTCAACACACGTTCGAGCGAGGATATCAAGGACCGTTCGATGGACATCCACTACACGGAGGAAACTACGAGAGATAGGTGAGACTCCTCAAGCAGGTCGAACCTTGCTGCGAGGCTTCCTGTGAGGTGCAACTCACGACATCCTCATGAAGCTCTCTTCCGCCAACAACAACGAACCATCTCGGGGTTTACTTTTGCAAGTGATGACTCTGACGACAGAGATGAACGATAGCGTTCTGGCAAGCATCTTCGGCTATCTATCGTTATTCGAGGCTTTGGTTCCACCATACAGCATTTAGAAGATGTTGATACCGACCTTCGAAAATCTCTCCTGGACGGGCTCTCCATGAAAAGGTCTGGGAGACTTTTACTCAAATTGAATATATTTGAGGAAGCATTGGCTGTGCTTCTGCAGTTGTTGGGTAGATCCAGAATCCTAGTTTGTCGATGTATGGACACCAATCATTCATTATGGTGCCCTTCGTCAAAACATCACATAGAGCGTGGTGCCATTGGTTCGTGGTAGGATACAGACCAATATGACGGAGACGTGGAATTCTCAGCATTTGATCTCCTCATACTTCACTCAATGAGGTAGAGACTCCGAAATACACACAACAGTTGACAACTCTTGAATCACTGCGTGATCTTGAACTGAAGGGTAAGCATACCGCATGAGACATTGATTACTGGACCTTTTCAGATAGTCACAACTGCATGCGAGGGTTTCAAGACTTTGCCCTTCCTACCACTAGCCATTTCCTTATCTAAATGATAGCAGTTATCCAACGCAGTTTATTATTGAAATTTATAAACTATCCTTGAGGAACCCAAAAATTCCGTAGCATGAATTCCTGGCGGGTACAGTATCATCTGTGATTAGTATTATCTGTGGTGCTGCACGTCGTATACCCCGTAAATATTCGTGTCATTCCGGCTCGCCTGACACACAGCCTCACTCGCAATTGGAGCTTGGCTGAGTGGATTCCTGCCGAAGAAATAAATAACTATTAATAAGATCGCCAACGACCATCCTCCGTATTTATTCATACCCATCCTTCTCTCAACCACGTAGAGTATCTGCCGTACATCACAAAGACGTACCAAAGTGGCTCCGGTCAAGCTCCTCCTCTACAGTGCTCCTATCTGGGTGATATTCACAGCCTTGCTACTAATTGCCCCTCTTCGCTACTCAGCCTTGCCGTCCACAGCCTCGAATATCAATACTTACATTCCCAACGACAAGATGGGTGAATATCGCGCCGTTAGCTCCTTGTTTCCCCTTTTCCCGTGATACATACTGATCCGAGGCTCTCCTTTCTAGGTTGCGTACTTTGTCAACTGGGCTATCTATGCGAGAAAACATAGACCTCAGGATCTTCCCGCGGACAAGCTTACTCATGTCCTTTATGCATTTGCCAATGTGAGGCCTGAATCTGGAGAGGTGTAAGTAAAAATATTGATCTTTCTTATGTCCTGTGTCTGCTGTCCAATTGCCAGGAATTCAACTCCTCATGACCCATTGCATTTACCAGTATTCTTCCTAGGGGCACTGACATGCATCAGGTACATGACTGACAGCTGGAGCGATGCTGAAATACATTGGGTTGGTTATACCCCTTTCTTCTTTCCTAAGGGGTACGCCTTTTATTTGCAGAATACTGACTGAAGATATAGCCCGAGAGTGGTGACTCGTGGAACGACGTGGGGACCAATCTCTATGGTTGCCTCAAGCAGCTCAATCTCCTGAAACGTCAAAATCGCTCTCTCAAGATACTCCTCAGCATTGGAGGCTGGACATACTCATCCAACTTCGCTGCCCCCGCATCAACCGAAGCAGGGCGTCAGAAATTCGCTTCGTCGGCCGTGTCTCTCATCAAAGACTTCGGCTTTGATGGCATAGACATTGATTGGGAGTACCCGAAGTCTAGCACAGAAGCCCAGCATTTTGTCCTTCTCCTCAAGGCATGCCGTGAAGCTATGGATGCTTACAGTGCGACGTTGCCGCATAAGTATCATTTCGAACTCACTGTAGCCTGTCCCGCTGGTCCTCAAAATTACAATAACATGGACATCAGAGGTATGGATCAGTACCTTGATTTCTGGAACCTGATGGCCTACGACTATGCCGGTTCCTGGGATGCTACGGCTGGCCACCAGGCTAATCTTCAGCCGTCAAGGAGTAATCCCGGCTCCACACCTTTCAATACGGAGCAGGCGGTAGGCCATTACAAGAGACAGGGTGTAGCTGGGAATAAGATTGTCATGGGAATGCCGCTATACGGCAGAGCGTTCGAGAATACAGATGGCCTCGGGAAGCCATACCAGGGGGTCGGAGCAGGAACTTGGGAGGCTGGCGTTTACGACTTCAAGGTGTTGCCATTTGCAGGAGCGCAAGAGCGATATGACCAGGAAGCTGGTGCTTCGTATAGTTATGATCCTGCAAAAAGGCAGTTGATCACGTATGATACTGTTGATATGGCGTTGAGGAAAGCGGAGTGGATCAAGAAAGAAGGGCTTGGAGGAGCCATGTGGTGGGAAAGTAGCGCTGACCGCAGTGGAGAGCAGAGCTTGATCAGAAACGTGGTAGGGGCCCTGGGCACGATGGAAAATAGCCCAAATTGCTTGGAGTACCCGGGATCCAAATACGATAACTTGAGGAACGGATTTCAGGGGTAGTAAGAAGAGTAGGCGGCGGCCAGTGCTCTCGAAAACATTGAAGGGAATCACATTGGCCAACTTTCTCACACTCTGGCTTGTTTTAGAAATCGAAATAAAATAAAACTCTGGTTATTACTGGGTCTAGCTGAATCCACGCAGTTATTAAATTGCACTCGGGAGTCGAACTTCAGAATTGAGTTACCAAACACAGGCTAGTAATAGAGGTTGAACTTTCATGACAGCTTCGTTGTATATCAAACCATTACAAACCCTAAATGCTAGTGATAATAACCTTCTCTAGTTTCCTACATTATTCCACGAAGCTTCTGCCAAAGGTCCATATTTTGTATCACATTCCAAAGAAATACACGTTTGTTACAACTCCTGAACTTCCACGTCCTTTTGTTTCTCAGAAAGAGCCACCTGCAACGGGGTCTCCTCTGAATGATCAACTTTATCTTCCAATATCTGCAGATAGTCATCCACAATTAACTGTGCCACATTCATGCCCATCAATGCGCTGGTCTCCATCGTGCTGATGAAACTTTCGATTCCGCTCGTATAGTAAAAGCCACGAGCCAATTCCAGTTCTTCGAATGTCACTCGAGGGAATTCGTAGGGATAAGGATTCCAAACGTGAGGATAATACCAGCTTATCGCATCCCCACTATCAACATTGATAGAGCTAAGATTCGTAGGAACTAGGATATAGAATTAGCACCAATTTTCGAGAGCAGGCGATGGTGTTACGAACTTGGAACCCCTAGAATATCGGATAGAAACTCTGAAGTGACCTTTTGTGGCGAAAAGATTTTGTACAGGTGTTCCTTTTCCAGGGTCTTAGGGTTGACCACCGTACGCAGAGTGCTGATACTGAAGAAACCTATTGAACCAGCACCATCTTCTGGGTCAACTGGAACCTCGTTTGGTGGCAGAGTCGTGAGGATTGTAGTAGGAACTTCGGCATCGGGTGCCAGATTGAAGAATACGCGGTTCAATGTATGAGTGGAGGTAAATAGAGTTACATGCAACGTAACGTAGGGGATTTCGTCCGGGGTGTGTTTGAGAAGGCCTTCCTCGATATGAATACCTGAATACTGAAGAGGGCCGGCGAGCACCACAGTATCGAACGGTTCCTCTTTGCTTTGTATGATACCAGAGCTGGCATCTCGGGAAGAAGTCTTGACACTGTATGCGTTTTTGGACTTCTTGATTTCATCGACAGTAGTATTAAGGAGAATGGTGGCATTTGAAGCCTTCAGCATACCATCGAATATTTGCCAGTTTCCTCCTTCAATTTGCATCGCACCTTCAATTGCCATGCAAACCATAGTCTCCAAGCCGTGGATAAAACCAAGGTTCTGGCCATAGTTGACACGAGTACTGGCTTGGATAATATCTGTGGCGAAAGCAGACCCGATCTGTGGAAAAAAGAGTAAATTCCTAGTTTCAAAATTGGACTAGAGGTCTTACATTACTGGCTGCCAAGAGTTGTTCTCCGGTCATGGAAGTTGCAGACACTAGATCCAGATCCAACACCCTGTCGGACAATGACCTGAAGGGGAAGAATGGGGCCGCATAGAGTTTTTGAAACTTGCCGACAGTACTCTTCATCAATCGTTGTGTACGAATAGGTGCAAGGCCGTATTTCCAAATGAGCTTCGCAACGTCAAGCCAGTACCATCCACCCTCTTTCTGTGTATACACAAACTTCTCGCCATTCCAGATGCCCAAGATTTCGGTATTCTCCGTATCTGAATCTCGAGGCTTGAGACCAAAAAGCTCACTTGAGTTTTTGAGAATCGTGTTTACTTCTACGAAGATACTCGCTCCAAGTTCAACAGGAGTGAGTGGGTCATCATAAGCATTCACGGTTGTAGAACGGCCTCCTACATACGAAGCTCGTTCGAAGACGGTGATATTTATTGGGATTTCCGAGCGAGCTGCAAATCTCTGCAGATGCCATGCTGTTGAAGATCCTGCAGCACCAGCTCCTATAATATAAAATCAGTTTCTCGTCATGGAAGAAAGTCAATAGCTGATCCTTTTTACCAATCCATTAAGAAAGTAATCATTACCGCACGAGAGAGAAAGGGACTTCGGCAAACGCGGCTAAGGAAACAAGTTCATAACCGTGATATAGTGAGACAAAACAAAGCAACAGAATCCAGACACAAAGACATTGTAAGAACAAGGTCACACCAAGCAGAGTCGAGTCTGCTTTGATATTTGTTTGGATACGATAAAGTAGGTACCCTATCCCATCTTGTAATCCTACGACATGATCCAAGACAGTAGACTTCACGCTCAGCTTTGAGCAGGAGTCACAATAGTAATGAGGTAAACATTTACTTCATAAGTGGAAGAATAGAGAGTATAGCACTTGATGGATGAGAAGGAAAATCATAACGCACCGATAATCGCGATGCGTTTAGCGCTGGTATCGGGGTAGTCTGGATAGAGGATTTCCTGTTCAGCTGCCACGTCGAAGGGCCAAAATCCCAGACTTTGCCCATAGAGGATACCGAGAACAAACACAAACACAAGATTCAAGCCCGCCTGCATTTTGATTTCTTCCTCCTGCTCAAGGGCCCTTACCACAGAAGACAGTAATGTGATGATGGAAGTTCATTGAGTTGCGATGGCGTACTAGCACGTTACCTGTACTCGATAGGTTGAATAGCTCGCTTCGCTTACACCTGAGCCTCGCCTTTATCGGTATCAGGCCGGGCTTTATCGTGGACCTGACGTTTGTGTACTTGGGGAGTTCTTTGCTGCATAATGCTGTTCACTCTTCCACGAGCCTGACGTCTTGAAAAGAAACTGAAATCTAGCCAATTAGCAGTGATGCAAGACATCAAAAGTAGGTAGGTACCTAGGTAGTTGTACTGTAGTAGCGGAAGTAAACGAGATATAAATAGACAACAAATTTATAATTCAAAAATAGGTAAAAACAAAGCTCTCCGTTACTTTCTATTAGCCTTTTAGAGGGGCAGAGCTTTAAACTTAGAAGACAAGTATAGCTAGAGTAGAAACAAAACGTAGCAGTGTTGTAGTTAAGTACTTGCGTTCTACCTACCACCTACAGATTTCAGCCTCGTGGTGCCTCAGGCCCAAATTGCGCGCTTCGCGTCTACCTACCCTCTGAAAAAAAGCTCAAGTCGAAAGATTGAACCAACGGACGACGTGATCATTTGTGTCATATTCCAACCCCCACAAAATCTCCTTCAGAGATTAATCCAAAGCCAGAATGTCTGCAGCACAGCTTCTCAACCCGAAAGCTGAATCAAGGGCAAGGTCTCAAATTACCCCTGGGCGATAAATGCACTAACACCACCCAGAGACGAGGAGAAGCTCTACGAGTCAACATCAGCGCCGGCGAAGGTCTTCAAGATGTGCTGAAATCGAACTTGGGTCCACTTGGGACCATAAAGATGTTTGTCTAGCCCACTCATATCGTTTACTTACAGCTAACTGTCTTGTAGGCTTGTTGATGGAGCTGGCGCAGTACGCATAACTTCTCGAATATCACAGCAAGATATCATCTAACACTTGGTGACATTTCAGATCAAGCTTACGAAAGACGGAAATGTTCTCTTACGAGAGATGCAAATACAAAATCCTACTGCGGTGATGATTGCTCGAGCAGCCACGGCACAAGACGACATTTGCGGTGATGGCACGACCTCGGTGGTACTTCTTGTCGGCGAATTGTTGAAGCAGGCCGATAGATACATATCTGAAGGATTACATCCTAGAATCATTACTGATGGGTATGAGATCGCGAAAGCGGAGGCTTTGAAGGTATGTGAAAATGCTCTTGTTGGGGGACGAGACTAAATTACCCCCGCAGTTCCTGGATACTTTCAAACTTGAGAGAGAAGTTGACAGGGAGCTCCTATTATCTGTTGCACGCACGTCTCTTTCTACGAAGCTCAACCACACACTTGCAGATAAACTTACTCCGGACATCGTCGATGCTGTCCTCTCCATTTATCAAGCTCCTGCGAAACCCGACCTGCACATGGTCGAAATAATGAAGATGCAACATCGAACGGCATCAGAGACACAACTCATTCGAGGTTTGGCTCTAGACCATGGCGCGAGACACCCTGACATGCCGAAACGGGTCGAAAACGCGTTCATTCTGAGCCTGAATGTGAGCTTAGAGTATGAGAAATCCGAGATCAACTCTGGTTTTTACTACTCAAGTGCAGAGCAAAGAGATAAGCTTGTCGAGAGTGAGCGTCGGTTTGTTGACGAGAAGCTACGAAAGATCGTTGAATTGAAGAAAGAGGTCTGTGGCAATGATCCCAAGAAGGGCTTTGTCATTATCAACCAAAAGGGAATCGACCCACTCTCGCTCGATGTACTGGTCAAGAATGGAATTTTTGCCCTGAGACGTGCAAAGAGAAGGAATATGGAAAGATTACAATTGATCTGCGGTGGCACGGCACAGAACAGCGTCGACGATCTGACGCCAGATGTCCTTGGATGGGCAGGATTGGTGTATGAGCATCAACTAGGAGAGGAGAAGTACACCTTTATCGAGGACGTGAAGGACCCAAAATCGGTCACGGTTCTCATCAAGGGTCCTAACCAGCACACGATTACTCAGATCACAGATGCCGTTCGCGATGGGCTCCGAAGCGTGTACAATATGATCGTCGATAAGAGCGTCGTACCAGGTGCTGGAGCTTTCCAGGTTGCTTGTGCAGCGCACTTGAACAGCGAGGCCTTCCGCAAGACTGTCAAAGGCAAGGCGAAGTGGGGCGTGCAGGCATTTGCAGACGCTCTTCTCATTATTCCAAAGACGCTGGCTGCGAATGCTGGTCATGATATCCAAGATTCCCGTAAGCATAGCCACCATCCTTTAGTAATTATACTGACCTCCCTCCAGTTGCCAGCCTGCAGGATGAGCATGCCGAAGGTAACGTTGTTGGCCTTGATCTCAAGACTGGCGAACCTATGGACCCTGTTCTGGAGGGCGTGTATGATTCTTTCCGTGTCCTACGGAACTGCATTGCGTCGAGTTCCGGTATCGCCTCCAACCTTCTGTTATGTGACGAGTTGCTGAAGGCCCGGCAAATGGGTAGACAAGGAGGACCTGGCCCAGGGATGGATGAGTAGATAGATAAGATCTGTCGTGCGAGGGCTTATAATATGTCGAACCTGTATAGCATTTGCGTTCATTACACAGCTCACGGCAGTCCTTCGATGCCGGGGAAAACATGGGATTCTCGGCGCTTTTCTTTTGGGAAAAATATAACGCTGCACAATGTACAGGTAGACCACGATTGCAAAAATCACGGAGCATATCCAGCGCGCACCGGATAAATAGCTAGAAATAGCTAGCCCCAGACTCTTGGGGGAAAAGACGACTTATAATGATCTGTTATTCCTCAGAAGGATTATGCAAATGTAATTTGTGGTACATCAAGTAGCACATGATTTTGAGTTACCCCCTGATATAACTTGCTAGGGTTATTCAGGGAAGGCTCTGTATAACGAGAGAGGTAAAGTAGGTAGTTTATTGAATCATGGATGTGACTACTTAAGTTGTTATTGTAAAGCCTGTTAAGGTACGGCGGACCTACGCAAGAGAGGAGACTCAGGAGAGCATGTTGCCAAGTGTGGCTGATAAATCCGGGTAGTAGAATATGCGGATCTCACAAGCCGTTATTCTTAACTAATCACTTGCTTTCGATAAGAAATTATACGGATTGTGATCGTACAATATAAAGTGCCCTGTTGTCCATCACTGCTTGCACAGTCATAACAAGTGATAGCTTGTAAACGTGAGCAGCTCACAGAGGTAGAGACTTGAGGCATGGAGCTCCATCTCGTAGCCACAGACAGATGCAAGGTCTAGAATCTGTGAGGACGAACATACTACAGTACCTACTACGGTACTAACTAGATCTCCCCAAATGCTGATCCGGGTGGACCCGAACCGCCTGCACTTTGCTCTGTATTATTCTTACTCCTACTGTATTCTTACTAGTTTCTGTGTTATTATTTGGCGGGTTTTGCTTCTGCCGTGTCGTGTAGCAAAGTCCAAGGCTCCAAGGATACCAATTGGGAATAACACAGGACTTGGCAAGTTGGCATGAACAATGGCTTCAATCGACCCCTGAAAAAGCCCGGAGACCAGAGGCTGGGGCACAGGTACGCGTGCTCCGCTCGTATCGACCCTCACCCGGAGCAAGCGCCCAGCCCACCAGCGGCCAGCAAACAGCATGGTCTCTACAACTTCACGTCTACCTCCCTTTTTTTTCGACTTGTTCTTTGTCGCCGGTCGTTAATCGATAAACAAGCCTAGTTGTGATTCCCTCTGGACGACCATGAGGATCCGGTCTCTGAAGCATATACACTGAAACTCGACGTCGGGCACGCGACACTTTACTCCTTCCTTCCAGCCATCTCTGGTCGCGTCAAGGCCCCGAACCCTCCAAAATGTTACCCGCGATCCGATTCCGACGATATCGAGTCTTCCTCGTACTCGCCGCTATTATTACAATACTGCTAGTTCGCTTTTCACATACGAGGAACGGGGATCTACATGCGCAGATTGAGGGCTTGGATTTCTCTTCGCCGCCCAAGAACGATGGTCCTGGAGGATCAGCCCCTCCCGAAGTAACTCGTCCAGAGGCATCTGGTGAGGAATCAAAGGAGGCTAAAGACCGGCCCTCGCCCCCCGTGAAAATAGAAGGGGACAAGCCCTCCCCAGCTATACCAAGCCCACCGACTGCAGTTCAGTCTGTACCCGATGTTGTCCTACCCGATAGAAAGATTGCATCCCCAGCCGAAGTTCCATTGGGTAATGAAGTGAGCGAGGATGGTATCCACGCAGTTGGTCCGCCTGGCAGGCAGGAATTCCCCACCTTTACTGCTGTCCCTACCACCATACATTGGGAGAAACAGGTGGAACATTTCCCTGTTCCTACAGAATCTATTATCGGATTACCAACAGGCCTTCCAGCCACCATACCGAAGATTCAGCATGCCTTCAACGATGAAACGCCAGATGCTAAGATCAACCGGGAAACGAGGCAATTGAGAGTGAGGGAGGAGTTCAGCAAGGCATGGTCGGGATATAAGGAGCACGCATGGCTCCATGACGAACTGGCCCCCGTCTCAGGAAAGCTACGCGACCCGTTTTGCGGCTGGGCGGCCACTCTTGTCGATTCTCTGGACGCACTGTACATAATGGGACTCCATGAAGACTTTGAGGAGGCCGTCAGGGCAGTCAACGAGATAGATTTTACGACTAGCCCCCGAGCTGATATTCCAGTGTTCGAGACGACTATAAGATATTTGGGCGGCCTTTTATCAGCCTACGATGTCAGTGGGGGGAAGTACAGGAGTTTGTTGAGCAAAGCGGAGGAATTGGCCGAAATCTTGATGGGGGCGTTCGACACCCCGAACAGGATGCCCGTCCTTTTCTATAGGTGGAAACCAACATTCGCATCTCAACCGCATCGGGCGAGTCAAAGGTCTAACCTGGCGGAACTTGGGTCACTGTCAATGGAATTCACAAGGTTGGCTCAATTGACGAAGAACCCCCGCTATTACGATGCTGTGGCTCGAGTCACGAATGCTCTAGAAGAATTTCAAGATCGCACAAAGCTCAGAGGCGTCTTCCCTGAGAATGTGGACGCTTCAGGCTGTAACCGCACAGTCCCTCTTAGCAAGCACGAGCCTGTTTCGAACCAAGGCTCGGCGAAGAGTCCAGGGGAAGCTACAGAGCAACCAGAAGGATACCAACCCAGCATGCCTAAGACAGTGGCAGAACCTAGGCCTATTAAAAAGGGTGGGAAGAATGAAAATGCACCTAGTCTGGAGCTACAGATATTGCCTGGCGAACCGAGTAAGGCTAAGATCCTTGGATGGGGCGATAATGAGAAGCCGAAGAATTCGAAGAGGGACTCGATGAAATCCGAAGCCGCAGTGATCACTTTAGAGAAAAATTCGAAGGAACCAGAGGGAGGGGAAACTTCGAACACGGCACTTCCGACAGATCCTAAGACCGGGTTGCCACTTGATCTATCTGGAGCAAAATCGCGGATCGGCCAATCCCTAGGTGATTGGGACTGCACTCCCCAAGGTTTGGAATCCTCAAAACCCTCTGGGTCTGATAGATTTTCAATGGGAGGTGGACAGGACTCTACCTATGAGTATTTCCCCAAGGTATGCAATCCTACCTGGGGCAACCTAGTTCAGAGCTGACGTTAAAAGCAATATCTTCTTTTGGGTGGTCGAGAAGATAAGTATCGCCAAATGTACCTTAAAACCATCGAAGCGGTCCGGAAATGGATGCTTTACCGGCCCATGATCCCAGGGAATCACGATATCTTACTCTCGGGTAAAGTCACAACTGCAGGTAATCCTGAGGTCGACCTTGAATTCAGTGCTGAGGTAGAGCATCTCACATGCTTTATTGGTGGTATGGTTGGCATGGGAGCAAAGATATTCGACATCAAGAGCGACCTAGAGCTTGCGAAGAAACTGACTGATGGTTGCGTCTGGGCTTATGGATCAATGCCTTCTGGGATTATGGCTGAAAGTGCTATAGTGTTACCCTGTGAGAACGCCGAGTCCTGTGCCTGGAATGAGACGGCGTATTTTGAGTACCTCGATCCTAAGGCCGACGAGAGGGATCAAATGGTTGAAGAGTACCTTGCCAACAAAGCAGCTCTCGAAGCAGAACGGGAAGCCAAGAAAGCCGCTACAGCAAAGGCCGAAGTAGAAACGACAAACGTTGAAACGACAGCTAATCAGTCTCCCGCGGGCAGTGATCCACAAGACAAAAAAGTGTCTTCAAATAGCCACATATCTAAATCGACATCAAATGATGCCCCCCGCCAGCTTTCGAACACCACAGTCGCTTCACTAAGGAAGCGCCAAAGTTCTCCAAAAAATGATCTGCCTCAACCCGTTACCCATAATTTCAAGAATGATTTCACGAAGGAGGCCCAGAACCCCAAAAAAGGACCCGGTGAATCCAAGGTCTCTGATGATACTGAAGTGGTCGCTGAGCATTATGAAGGGAAGTTCCAATCTACTGAGGCAGAGCTCCGAAGTATGGAAGTTGGACGGCAAACAGAAGTCCCACCCCCAACGGCACAATCCAAACCGGTTGAAGATCTACCAGATCCAGCGCGACCACTCTCGCACAAGGAGTTTGTTGCTGCTCGGATTGAGCAAGGAGGATTGCTTCCCGGATATGTGAATATTCGGTCAAAGAAATATATCCTTAGGTAAGTCGCCAGCTGGTTCACTAGTAAATGGGTGCTGACAATGAGAAGACCCGAGGCAATCGAGTCCGTCTGGTATATGTACCGCATCACGGGGGACCCATCATGGCAAGATAAGGGGTGGAAAATGTTTGAAGCAATTCTCAACGCGACATCTGCGAAGTATGGGCATTCGGCCATCTACGATGTCACGCAAACCGAGAGCCTCCAATCTGATGAGATGGAGAGCTTCTGGCTGGCCGAGACGCTGAAATATTTCTACCTCTTGTTCTCAACCCCCGACACAATCAGCCTGGACGAGTGGGTGCTTAACACCGAGGCGCACCCCTTCAAGCGAGATTGGTGAAGTATGGTTTTTCGTAGCGATTACTGGGGTTATAGCATGGCGATTATCGCACAGGAGTTCCGGAATCGTGCTTCCCCTTCGAAGCCCCCTTTTTTGGGAACGGTATCAACAAAACTCTGGATGGTTTGATAGCCTATCCTTGGCGTGTTAGGCGTTGGGGGAAATCGATACTCGAATCACTCTTATTATATTAGCCACGTATATATATACACCTTTATAAGTTAGACTCGCGAATCCTACTAATCTCGATCCCTGCCGGATATTCATTATCATCTACGCGATTGAGCTGGTACATATGTTCAAACTTCAGTATCTACGAGCATTTCCCTATGCTCATTTCGCACCGTTCCTATCACGTGTGGTTCTAAGACGACCCAAGGAATTTTCTCTTCCAGGTCCTACCCCCTACTGTATGAAGAGAAATGCATGTACTCAAAGAGATGATTTCAGGAGAAAGCCGGGGGGGGGATATCATTAGAGGAGAAAATATGGTAGCTGCTATGTCTTGAAATGGAGGGAACATATACAGAACAGAGGAGTGGGAGGGCAACTGATGAGGAATCTCTGTGTATTTTGTTATACCGTAGCAAGCAACGAATGTTTTTCCATCGAGCCCTAGGTAGTAGATAAAGAAAACCTTGTGATTTGACTAACTTCGTAGACAGTGTGAGACTTTTTGCCTGTGACAAAAAAGATCGTAACCCCAGATTTTTGTGTATATCCCAACAACAAACCACCTTCACCGTCAAACTGACGAGTGAAGATAAAAAACAAGAAGAACCAGCACAACCCCAGATATAGAGATCATCAAGACGTAACATCGCTCAAGATATCGGGCACCATAGCCACGCGGGGGCCGCCTCGAGATATCAGATATAAAAAAAGAGAAGAACACCAGCAACCCATTCAAGAATCCGCACAGCTCTCTCCCCCCCGGGGCTCATGAGCGGAAGTCATCCCCCCACCGCACGTCGACGCGGCGGTCCCCGAACCCCGCCGATTTCCTCCAGTCCCTCATATCCAGGCCCATCTTGGAGCGGCGGCGGCGGGCCTTGTCGCTCCCGGCCTCGCTGTCGCTGTTGCCCGCGCTGTACTTGGACGATCTTGGCGAGTAGATGTATTCGCCGTCGACGTACTGGGCTTCGGATACGAAGGTGGTGCGGCGGCTGCGGCCGCGGATGTACTTCTTTTCGAGACGGAAGAGCTCGAGTTTTTGGTGGAAAAGATCGATGAGGTTCATGGTGTGGATGAGGTGAAGAGGAGGGAAGAACAGAAAAAGAGAGAGAGAGCGTGTGTGGGAGTTTTTTTTTGGAAGGAGAGGAGGGAGGCGGACTCGACGGATGATGGAATGATGGATGATGAATGGCGGGTATCTATCTAGGTATCTCGACGTAGTAGTGGGGTTGCTATCGAGATGCAATCAATGTGCTGATGAGATCCGCGTCGCGAGTATTCGCTTGTTCCTCGTCGTTCTTGTCGTCGTCGCTGTCGCCGTCTTGGTCTGGGGTGTCAGGGTAATGAATGATATGGTTGTCAATTGTCGACAAATTCCCATCGTCGACGACGACAGGAAGACGAACGCTCGGAGCTCGGATCGCGTCCCCCACGTTGGGTTCTGTAGCAGCTATTCGCTCCACTCGGTGCGGCAATAGTCGACTGCTTCTCATCAGGAGCCCCGGCACGCTGGCCAGGGCCAGGGCATCCGGTCTGATTGAGTGATTGGGAAGGGCCGGTTGCGGTGCGCGGTGGAGTTTCTTTGGACCAGACACCGAAGGGAGTTTACCCATTATCCATATGCATTATCCAATCCATTACTATCCATTAACCAGATCCATACCCAATGACCCATATGCTTTGTAGCAGCAGCACCACTACTACGGCCTACAGTTTGTCAGGACTCAAAACTCAGGATTCAGGCATTATTCAACCCAACATTCAGGACGCAGTAGCCCGATAGTCCATAGTCTATAGTCCAATAGGGGTCGCCGCACGTTTCCTTTTCCCTTGTTCCCGGAAAGGCCCTTCCACGGGCCCAGGGTTCAAAGAGGCTGTCTAACGGGATCCGTCTAACGCAGGAAGGAGACGGCCTAGAAAGGCGAGATGGTCTAGAAGGACGCCACGCGGCCGAGGTTATTGATGCGCCAATCACGGCGTCGGGAAGTCTACCTTGTCTCTGGGCGTGGACGGGTACAGAGGCACAGAGGCACAAGAGTTACGGAGGCACAGAGGCACGGGTACAGCGGTATAGAGGGGGCGGGAGGATAGGGGAGCAGATATCCTTCCTCCCACGGCCTTGGACTCGACCGCACGAGCACGACACCAAGCACTGCGCCGTGACTCGCGACCTGTCGGACTACTTATTGAGACTGGGAATCGCTGTCCGACCTTCCCGAATTGGGAGAGAATGCAAGGAGTAAGTGAGAAGTTACTTGTCAACTTGTAACTTGTACCTTGCAGACCCTTGCGCTTGACAGAGGTACACTTGGAGCCTTTGAGGTAACCATCCCACCGATCCCAAATCATCCCTGCCAACCATGCGGCAACTTATCGGCGGAGCACGCTCCAGTCTATATAGATCTCAAATATGCCCATGATGGACTGTGTATGACTATGGAGTGAGGTGGCTTGCTAGAAAGGCACCTACAGGCTACAAGTTATAACATGCGGACATACGTGCAGGGTATATGACTACTGTACAGTCTATGCCGTTCAGTCTGTGCTACCTACCTGAGTTCTAATAGGATATCGTCATGCTGCCATATCTACATAGTGCTACATCGCTACACATTTTCAAGCTTGACCGATCATCGCGCTGTAGGACGATCAGGTCTTTTCTCCGCAATGTTCCCCGCTATATCTATATCAATTTCGCGCTCCTCCCCATCCTCGCCAAACAGGGTTTCTTGAGCTGCGAGACACGTTAGACGAGACCGTCGGGGGGTAGAGCGACTTGACTTACCACTCCAAAGCTCCGAGTACACGCCACCGGTATCGATCAAGTCGCGATGCGTACCACTTTCCGCCACGCTGCCATCCTTCAAAACAATGATCTTGTCGCTATCATAGATCGTCCGTAATCGATGTGCCACAAACACGCTAGTCCTACCATTCTCCTTCAAGATGCTGTTGATATTTTGCATGAGAGCTTGCTCGGTATGTGTATCCAATGCCGAGGTAGCCTCGTCAAAGAAGAGTAGCGGCGGGTCCTTAAGGATAAGTCGAGAAACCGCCAATCTCTGTTTCTCGCCGCCAGAGATCATCATCCCTCGCTCTCCAACCTTGGTCCTGTAACCATCTGGGAGGGCCGAGATGATCTCGTGGATCTTTGCCCTCTGTGCAGCTGCCACAACCTTCTCGTGAGATGCAGTCATATCGCCATAGCGGATGTTGTGTTCGATTGTGTCGTTAAACAATGGCGTATCCTGAGGCACGACGCCAATAGCCTTTCTTAGAGATTCCAAACTGACCTCCCTGATATCCTGGCCATCGATGAGGATTCTTCCCTCTTGAACATCATAAAAGCGGAAGAGGAGTCGCAGGATCGTCGACTTTCCGCAACCACTTGGTCCCACTATAGCAATTTTCTTCCCGGCTGGGATCGTAAGACTAAGGTTCTTCAGAATAGGCCTGTCCGCATGATAACCGAAAGTGACATTCTCAAACGTGATCTCGCCTCCCTTGGTTAGCTGGAGCGCCTTGGCATTCGGAGGTTCCTTGATAGCTACGTTGACCCTTTGGAGATTGAAGAGAGTTTCCATGTCAAGCAGAGACTGGCGAAGTTCTCGGTATACAGATCCCAAGAAGTTTAGGGGTACTGAGAGCTGGAAAACGAGTTGATTGACCATGACCAGATCGCCAACGGTCAAGCTCCCGCTGGCTACACCGTCAGCGGCGAGATACATCATCGCAGTTAGAGCGCTTGAAAAGATCAAGTTCTGTCCAGTATTGAGAAAGGCGAGGGACGTAGCAACCTTAATAGAGGACTTTTCATACTCTTTCAGGGCTTGATCGTACCTGCCAACCTCATACTTCTCGTTGTTGAAGTACTTCACAGCTTCGTAGTTGATTAAAGAATCCACGGCAACTGTGGAACCCTTGTTATCTGCTGCATTTGCGGCTCTTCGAAACTTCGTTCTCCATGCAGTTGTCCAAATGGTAAATGCCGTGTATCCAACCATAGTCAAAGCAGTGATAGCTGCAAACTTTGCGCCGTACTGATACGTCAGAATACCACACACCATACTGATCTCCAAAGCAGTTGGCAGGATATGGAACACCATAGACGTGAGAAGAAAACTGATACCCTTCGTACCACGATCGATAGCTCTCGTTAGACCGCCGGTCTGCTTTGTCAGGTGAAAGTTCAAATCCAGTCTCAGTAAATGATCAAAGACATTACAAGCCACTCTTCGAATAGCCTTCTGTGCAACACTCGCAAAGACAGCGTTCCGTACTTCCTGGAAAACCGTAGCTCCAATCCTGGTGACACCATATGCCAATATCATCGAACCAGCTACAGTGGTAGCCGTACCGCCCACAGCTGCAAAATCAATATTCATGGAGTCGACGATACTCTTGAAATAGAAAGGCACCTGCACATTCAGCACCTTGGATCCTACTAGGAGAGCGACCGCGATCGCAACACGAGCTCTCGTCCCGAAGCTGTCCTTGGGCCAAAGGTACCGTGCCATCTCTTTCATAATAGCCCAGTCGGCTTTCCGCTGCTCCTTGTTTGTCTTCTCATCAAGAGCCAGAGGGTCCGCCGATTTAGCGGTAGGAGTAGCTGGCGCAGGTTTTGTAACACTCTCTGGCTTCGTCCCTGAAATATCATCGGCCGCTCTCGGCTGCCTCTGCAATTGACTCGCAATTGACCTCGGTTTCGAACCATCTGTAGGGGGTCGACTGTCGCTGGCGAAAACCCGCAGGCCGAGTCCTGGTCTTGTCCATGGCTGTGATCGGATCGAAGCTTTTGCACTTAAGCCAGCAGCTTTGTATAGACTCCGTACTATCATCGTTGCGTATTTGTAGCCAGGCTATCTCCCTAAGGACCTCGGAACTTCTTTCGGCATGGTCCCAGCCGGAGACAAAGAGGTTTGGAGGGGCAACTTCGATAATGAAATTCGACGAGGGTGGTTTTCTGGACTGCGGGGAGAAAATCGGTGGGAAGCCTATGCTCTCTGTGAGAGTATGACTTCTATATACTGTTAAAAAAAAAAATTGCTCACCGAAGACAGGAGGACAAGTCCCCGGAGCACGAAAGCTGGACTTGTGATACACAGAGCTTATTACGCAATCCGGGACATCTCGCCTGAGGCATGAAGTCTAAAGATACTGATTATTTTGACGACGCCAAAGCCGTATTTATTCAAAAGATTGGGATCAATCAACTTACCGACCAGCTATGCGCGGTCGAATCCCGCTCGAGACTGTCGCTCGAGGCTTTCTGCGGCCTCGATGGCATGGCCTTGGAGCCCAAAGCCGTCGAGCTATCCAGATCAGCGCAACACCGACAACGGAATCCCCCATACTCAGTGGAGATGTTCTCAGTAACGCAATCAACGCGTCTACGGACCCTACAGGTAATTCTTGATCACTAATGTTGGGAATTGGAGATATACTGACAAGAAGCAAACCATCAGATGCGCGATTCGAAGTTCTAGGCGCTCCCTACTCTCTTTTGTCGGTTTCATTATCAGCATCCCAAAAGCTGTACACTAGGAGGGGCACATTGGTTGGACTCACTGGGAAAGCAGAAAATGTCAGTTAAGGTTAGGGGAATTGATGGTCGAACTGGGGACTAACACTGGACTCAGGCGCAATCTACACTCTCCATACTTGAGCCTTTCCGACGAGCAGTACTTGGCATACCTTTCCTGTACCAACGACTTTCCGCAACGACTCCTATAACTGCCCTTATCTCTACCAAATCACCCTTCACTTCTTTTACTGTACTGCACCTCAATGGAACAGTGGACTGGATGGTTGCGCAACGGAAGGCGTTGCTGGCCTGGACTGGACATACGCTCTCTGTCACTCCCACTATCAACAAAGGTATGAGCATCGCTCATTGGGGGAATTCGCAGATCACTGGGAGAGGTCTCGTAGCTTTGGCCGGTCCGGGACAAATCTACCAAGTTACATTGAAGGCAGGAGAGGAATATGTCGCACACCCGGCAAATGTTGTGGCGTACACTGTCACGCAACACCCACCTCTGCCGTACCGGCTGAAGTCGTCTAGTCTACGTTTCCAGGTGCCGAGTCTGGGGCTGGGTTATCTACTACCAGACATTAAGTTCTTCAGGAACATGAAGCAAACAAAGTCCTGGAAAGCTGTCGCAACTCTGCTGTTCAGTTTGAGGACAGCGGCACGAAGAACGATCTGGGGAGACCGACTGTTCTTGCAGTTTCATGGGCCAACCACAATCTTGATGTCTTCGAGAGCATCTCGTATTAGTGATGTTCTAACATCGAGGGATGTGAACGAGATTGCGGATTCCCCTCCTGGTGCTGTACAGTCAGCGGTGACTCTGGAAACTAAGCCGAAGGACGAGCCTGTAGAGGAGACGAAAAAGATAGCGGATGTGCCTACCGGCTTCCAATTTGTAGAGGTTGGCAAAGGCGGGAAGGTCAAGTTTGAGGATTCTCAAAAGGATAAGGCAACTGTACGGTAGAACTTGAAGCATGTATTTATAGTAGAAAACGCACAGAGCGGATTGGGTTCATAAAGCTCTACCCCAGAAAGACTGGTGATTTTCACGGCCTAAAATTCCAACACCACTTTTAAATTGGTAGACCAGGAAAGTCTGATTGCAGATTCAAGCTAGAGTGGATGGAGGTCCTGATTTACATCCCCCTTATAGCTACATAATCGCACGGCAACTTGTATCATGATTCCCTCAAAGCCGCACATGCCATGATTACAGTATTTATTCATAGCCTTATTCAACGTCTTATCCATTAGACTCGATCGATATTTCTCGTACAGTAGATCGTAGCACCATCACCCTCGACTTTATATCGAGCGAGGAGGCTCGTTCGCTATGAGTTTCCGCTGAGTAAGCATAATAGTAAGATAGCTCTCCAGGCATTGATTGGTTACCGCCAACGCCCAAACGCAATATACTACTATATTGGCGACCCGTGAATGGGCAATGACAGGACGGTAGGATTTACGTCAACGAAGCATGGGCTCTCCTCAAAATCCCTGGGGTCCTGGGAGTCTGGGGCTCGGCCTCTCGGCGTTAGTGCGCGGAGCGAAGTGCTTAATCTCATGTCCATGGCTACCAAACGTCGCGGTGATAAGAGACGTGGTGAATGAAGGTAAGATATTTTGCAAGTACACGTAGAAGCAAAGACAAGGAAAATCTTCGCTCTTGATATTCAACGCTCTTTCTGTTGGCTTAGCTTCTTCTATTCTGCTTTTATTAGCTGTTGATCAGACCAAAGTCCTGGTGTCCCTCAGAGTGGAAGTATCGATCTGCAGATTTGTTTGTTGCCTTCCCTTCAGCATATCGTACCTTACAACGGGTTGCCCATGGCGGCAAAAATACCTTCCTCGAATGCCTCTTTAGTCGCAGACGGTACTGTCAAATCCTCTTACAATGATCGATCGGACGAAGTCTCTGCAGAGGAACTATCTCTCGACAGGATTGGAAGTCAAGACAAGGCTGCTGAAGCAAATATGTTTTCAGAATCAGGAGTTGCCGCGGAGGCTGATCTTGAGAAAGGTGGAGAGGTAGTAAAGCCTGCCCCTACTGTTGGTGGTGTCAACCCCGCAGACTTTCCTGATGGTGGTCTTGAGGCATGGCTGGTAGTCCTCGGGGGATGGTGTTGCCTGTTCTGCAGTTTTGGATGGATCAACTGCATCGGCGTCTTCCAGGAATACTATCAGCAGAACATGCTGAGCCAATACTCATCCAGTAGCGTGTCGTGGATTCCCTCTATGGAGGTATTCATGATGTTTCTAGGCGGCCCAGTCTTTGGCAAGGTGTTCGACAACTATGGCCCTCGATATCTTCTCCTCATCGGGAGCTTCTTTCACGTCTTCGGCTTGATGATGACTTCTTTATCAACTCAATACTACCAGTTCTTTCTAGCCCAGGGAGTGTGCAGTTCCCTTGGGGCGAGTGCTGTCTTTTACGCTGCGATGAGCTCAATTGGAACATGGTTCTATAAGAATCGCGCCGCAGCTTTTGGGGTTATGACCGCTGGGTCATCACTAGGTGGAGTCATCTATCCTATCATGGTGACCAAGCTCATCCCAGAAATTGGATTTGCGTGGACTATGAGGGCCGCAGCCTTTATGATCCTGGGAATGCTCATCATTGCAAACCTCACCGTGAAATCAAGATTACCGCCGTTGCCCAGAGAGTTTCACATCATGGAATTCATCCGACCCCTAAAGGAGCCAGCTTTTGCTCTTATCTGTCTGGGCTCTTTTATGTTTTTCTTTGGGACATTCCTTCCCTTCGATGTAGGTTGACCCTTCTCCCTATTGGATTACTCGGATCGCTAATAGCTTCTCAGTTCGTAATCCTTCAGGCTGAGAAAGATGGAATGTCGAGCAATCTTGCTTCGTATCTTTTATCCATTCTTAACGCAGCCTCGTAAGCAATTCCAAAACCTGTACGCTTACATCTACATGTCTTGCTGACTTTTCCAACTAGGATATTTGGCCGGATCCTTCCTGGGATTATTGCAGATCGTATTGGTCGGTTCAATGTCATGATCGTTACCACCGCATTCTCAGCCATCATCGTGCTAGCCCTCTGGCTCCCCTCAAAGGGGAACGCGCCCATTATTGTCTTCTCTGCTCTTTATGGATTCTCATCCGGGGCATTCGTTTCGCTGGCCCCATCCCTGATAGCGCAAATCTCACCCATCCGAGAGATTGGGATCCGGAGCGGTACATACTTTCTATGTGTAGCAGTTGGTGGCTTGACGGGAAATCCAATCGGCGGCGCTCTTATATCTAGAGATGATGGCAATTTCCTCTATCTGCAGATCTTCTGTGGCGTAACCATGGCTGTTGGGTCAGCTATTTATTTGGGTTCGAGATGGGTTCAGTGTGGATTCAAACTGAAGGTTATATAAGCGTTTGAGGAAGATATTCGTGGGAATCTCTTGGAGTTATTGTAAATGCAGGAAGGATCTGGAAGAGGATATACCACCAACATCAGACCATATCGAGTGTTGGAATTGTAGTCACTAGAGAGTAATCAATAATTCAAAATGGTTCGAGAGCCATTCATTCACTTGCTTTTCAATGCTCGCATAGTTTACTACCCATATCAGCGAGGACGCTGAGCTTTTTCCTGCTTTCGGAGTAGCGGCTCTACAACCACCAATTGTGTAAGCAAGCATACGAGAAGTATTGCTTGTCTTCATTAAAAAGCAACGCTACGATATCAACCATTTCTGTGGTAGTCCGCCAAAAACCCCAGACTCCAAGCGCTATGATCGTCTTGAACTCTTTCAAATATATCTTTACATCCATTCATACATCAACTCGAGGCCCTAAACCATCCTGCACTGCTTCTGATAGAGTTGTCCAGTCTAAGCCACCAATAGGGTGGGTATTTATACCATTGAGAGACAGCGCTCCAGTAAAGTTGCCAGTCCCGATTCTCCTCATCATCAGAGTATCCTTGGCTTTTCTGATTGATCGTCCTTGGCCACGTAGCAAGTATTCTTCAAACCACCCTTCTTCCTCTTGATTGAATGGTAGGTTGATCAGCTCGACACTGCGGTCTGCAACTGTATCTTTCGGAGAGTTATTGAGCACAAGGGAAATCAGCATTTCAAACATATGACGCTGGGCGTATTCGGGCTGACCCCTCGAGAAATAAAATGCTTCTGTGACGCTTGTTCTTGCAATTGCTGTAAATAAAGCCTCGAGTGCCGATGAGTTCGTAAGCGTAGGCTGAACGGTGTGATAATATGCCAGAGGTAATGACATATCGTTGCCTTTTGAATGTCGCACCAAAACCTCTAGGATTTCGTCCGGAAATGTTGGTATCAGTGACGGATATGTTAGGTATTGAAGAGCTAGCTATAAGCTGTTAGCATCACCTCCATCGAAGTGGACGAGTCACCAACCTCGAATTCTAGTCGATCCATATGCCACAGCCCCTTCATATATATCTGATACTTTTGAGGTAGGAAAGAGTTCTGCCCGAATGATGTAGAGTAGGCTCTTCTTCCAGTAGGCGCATCGAAATCGAGGAGGATGTAGAATAGGACCGAGATTTTGTGATGGTCGGCGCCAGCACTCTCAACGATAGCCCGGTGAAGATTTCTCAGATCGCCATTTGACTTCGGTGGATACAGTTTGGTAGCTATCTAGGGTCAATATCCCACGCAGTGTCAGCGCTGAGAGGGTCAACTCACGTCTCTTAATCCCCAGTAGCTTGAGAACCTTTTCGAAGAAGAGGCCCTCTAATTTCTTCCTGCGCTCGTCGATACCTTGGATTGCGATTTCATCATACGAGCATTCAGGATCAAAATTGAAGACTTCATCAAAACTGGTGTAGTTGAACATCATCGCGGCTGGAGTTTGAGTTGGGGTGGGGGGACGCGTATATTCTTGAAAGAGGTGAAGTTGTTTCGCGACAGCTCTTCTTATCGGAGGTTTAGCCTAGGGCCTAGGCTCAACCTTATCTTAGCGCCTTACGGTAAGAGGACAATAAGGTACCTTACCTTAATGTGTCGAGTTGGATACTGCCGTAACCAGCTGGCTGGTATGTGACAAGCCAGCGCCGATTTTCTTCTACCTATGAACAATGACGCATTGACACACTGGCAAGCTTTATTCGAGCTAGTCCCGTCGCTCAGATTCTGATTTAGACTGCCTAAAGTACCTTACCTTACAAGGTACCTAGGTAAGGGAGGTCGCTACCAAACTTGTAGCCATCTAAGTTATTGTACCTACCTAGGTAGGTACTTATTGAGCACGCATGCCCCAGACTTCCTTCCACATTGACAAGCTCGATTTCAAGCGCCTACCTCCCCAATCTTGTAGACACACACTTTCTCCCTCTTCTTCTCTTAAACACACACACCCTCCCTCTTCTTCTCTTAAACACACACATCCTCCCTCTTCTGCTTCGGCAAGGTAACAGGTAGTTCTACCCCCACCGACTGGAAGCAATTTCCAGTCCCATTATAGCCTGGCTGGAAATGATTGCTGATTCGTCCCTCTTGCAGCATTACGTCCACGTCCATCCCCCAATCCTTACACACCATGGCACCTCCAATTCCGGAGCGCTATAGTTCTCTCGTCCCCCAGGGCCGTCAAAGGGAAGTGGAACAATTGACCAGTCGCTCCGTATCCGCACAGACAACAGTGTCTCGGTTGTCGACCACAAGCTCTACCTGTGATTTCATTGATGCAAAGATTGAGAGCATCTCATCAGATCTTGCCATCAATGCCAAGTTCAAAGAGTATTTTGAAAGCGCCAGAAAAAGGAAGGCCTTCACTGATGAAGAATACGACGACGCTATGAGAGATTTGAAGTCGGAAGTTGACCACAAGGAGCGAGAGTTACTGATTCTCAAACGCCAGAAGAAGGCAGTCTCCGATGATGTGGATGAAGTCTTGCCACATTACACAACGATCGAGGATGCATACTCTTCTGTGTTGATGTCGAAGATCATGTCTGCGTCTCACAAGCACGGGAAAGGAAAGCCATTCGATCAGCGTGCATTTTCTAAGGCAGTGCTCTCATTCTACGGTGCAGAGCGGCTTACAGACGCTGGATCCGTTGAAAAATACTGTCATCTCACTGGATGGCAGCCCGGGAACTATGTCAAGTGCGCCCATCTTGTCCCAAAATCTTTAGAGTCAGAGCAGCTTGCATATCTCTTCGGCGTTCGTGACACTGTTCTGTCTGAGGCTCGTAATGGTATGTTTGCTTCTCTATAACTCCTGTTGAGCATGTGACTGATTTGGGTGTGAAGGAATTACCCTGAATCGTAATATTGAAAATGGCTTGATTAATGGTGTGATTGTGATTGTTCCTGATAAGCCAAAGGAAGGCCAAGAGACCATTTGGAGATGCGTACTGGTAGACCAGTCAGTAGCCTCTAATTTTTGTGCCACTGGCATAACGTGGAGAGTATATTTATTGTTTCCTTAAATCCAGTTTACTTGGTCATAGTATTGAGCTGACGGTTGGTTTAGGAGATTGACGAAAAGGCGCTTGAATTCCTGACATCTAACCGACCAGCTCGCAGATATCTATATCTGCGATATGTCATCACTTATTTACACCAACAGAAGCTTGGAAATCTCGGATGGTTGAATCGTGTACAGGCAAGAGGCTACTTCTGGGCAACACCAGGCCCATACCTCCGAAAGTCAATGCTGCTCACCCTGGCAAAGCGAATCTCTGACCAGTTTTTACCCGAAGTCTTCTATGAGTCGACATTTACTACTGCAGAGGGTTGCCCGCAGCGCAGCGCAGAAGAGGAGGAGGAGCTCGCTATGGGACTTGATCATAAGATGCAAGAGATGCAAGGCGCTCTAGGTGAAATGGCTGGACTCGGAGATGAAGATGGAAGTGGCGATGAAGATGGAAGTGAGTGGAATAGTGACTAACTTGGCCGCCTGTAAATAGTAGGCTGAGCCATAGGCCGCGTCTCTCCATAGATTAGATAGACTGGTCTCTTATTATGGGCCTACCTAAATTTACTCGCGACTTGTCATCGCTCTCTTATCGATAGATGCTTTGCTTTGGATGCCGACAAAACAGAGTTATGCCTGTGCAGAGAAGTTGAGCTGCAGAAAGTATAGGTAATATTAGGACATATATCAGGTGTTGACATCTGATCCCGATTGTTAGGCCATCCTACAATCAAAACACTATCACGACATTTCAGGATTTCTGTCTTCCTCCACAAATTATTTACGCTACCGCTACAATTGCCTTACAAATCATCACGTCTCCGATATCCTTCGCCTGCTCTGCTTTATTACCTGTTCGAGACATTCTACTATACACAACATGTGTTCCTGAGTTTTGTTATCGGTGCTCTTATTCACACGTCCCATGTTCCAGAGTTTCTTTTGCCTGCCTGGACTCATTCTATAGGTCTTCGACCGTCTAATCCACTTTCGAGTATTCGAAGTGTCTATTATTTAGTTACTAGTAGGCTAGTAGCTATAGAATCAGTCGTGAGCGCGGGTGATTAGGTGAGGCGGAAGAGCAGCCCGCACATTTTCGTTATCTTAGCGCCGTTCGGTGTAAACAATGAAAACACCTCTATTTACATCCACCACACGGAACAATACATCGAAGTCGACAACCACCGCCAAGTGATTCGAGCACCTATTTCACGCGTCAACACGATAATAACGGTGGTCTAGATCACGGATGATCAAATTGCGCACGGCTTGAGCTCTTCAACAGCAAAAACGCACGTGTCGGTCTGGTTCTACGCGCGATTCGAAGACACAAAACGATTATCGCATCTCGAAAATGTCGGAATCCCCCGTTAGACCCTCAAGAAGGGCAGCAGCGCGGAGGAGGGTAGTGGTGGAATCGGATGAGGACGAGGAGCCCATACAACCCAAGATGAAGGAAGAGAGTGAGGAGGAATTTACACCAGCGCCCAAACGAAGTCCTCGAAAGACAGCGGCATCAAGACGGGAAACCACAGCCTCCATTGCGACACCCCGAACTAGAGGTCGTCCGAAGAAGAGTCTTGCAAATGACAATATTGAGCCTTCCGAGGTCTTCGAGCCAGAGCAGAGTACACAGCCCGAGCCAGAATCTCCTTCCAAGAGAGCGCCCCCTCGAAAGAGAAAGAGTGTACCTATCAGAGGCCCACGAGAATCATCTACACCTGAACTTCCTCCGCCCTTGCCAACACCTCAACCATCAGTGTCCCCGGAACCGTCTGAGCTCCATGGCACACCACTGGCGGATATCACAGAGACCCTCAACGATAGACCCCGCACTGCTGACAGTCAAACATCGGTAGTGAAACCTATAAGGCCTATGGATACCGTTTTGGAGAAGCCAATGGATATTGTGTTAAAGTCGAGGTCAATGGCAGCCCCAGTTGTTGAAGATACTGGACCAAAATCTCGACTTGTCATTACCTATTTGATTCTCACGAACTTCAAGAGTTACGCCGGTCGTCAGGAAGTCGGCCCCTTCCATGCCTCTTTCTCTTCCGTTGTTGGCCCTAACGGGTCGGGCAAGTCCAATGTCATTGATTCTCTTCTTTTTGTGTTCGGGTTCCGAGCCAGCAAAATGAGACAAGGGAAGATATCAGCTTTGATTCACAACTCTGCCGCATTTCCGGACCTGGATCATTGTGAAGTAGCTGTACATTTTCAGGAGGTGATGGACCAGGTAAGCCAAAATGTTTTTATATTAAGTCACAACTGACATAAGTCCAGCCCAACGGTACACATGAGGTTATACCGAATTCTGATCTGGTAATTTCCCGCCGGGCTTTCAAGAACAACTCAAGCAAGTACTACTTGAATGGGAAGGAATCGAACTTCACTGTAGTCACAACACTACTTCGTGATAGAGGAGTCGACCTGGATCACAAACGATTTCTCATTCTCCAGGGCGAGGTAGAATCAATTGCACAAATGAAGCCGAAAGCTGCGAATGAGCACGATGATGGTCTTTTGGAGTATCTAGAGGATATTATTGGTACATCCAAATACAAAACGCCCATCGAGGAATCTGCTTTGGAGGTTGAGACCTTGAATGACATTTGTGTAGAGAAGAGTGGGCGTGTTCAACACGTGGAGAAAGAAAAGAACAGCCTCGAGGATAAAAAAGACAAGGCATTAGCATACATAAAGGACGAGAACGAACTAGCCATCAAGCAAGCCGGCCTATACCAGATCTACATCGCTGAATGCGGTGACAATATCGCAGTCACGGAAGAAGCAATTGGACAAATGCAAGCACAGCTTGACGCCGAACTAGAGAAACACCAAGGCAACGAGGATGGCATCAAGCAACTCGAAAAGCAATATAAGAAAGGTCAGAAAGAATATGAAGCCCTCGAGAAGGAGACACAGGCCATTCTTAAGGAAATGGCACAGTTTGACCAGGAGCACGTGAAATTCGAGGAGAAAAGGAAATTTTTGACCGGGAAACACAAGAAGTTGGAGAAGACCATCAGTACATCTGAGACAGCGACAATCGATGCCCAATCCACAATCGAAGATTGCACTGCTCAGATCGAAAATTCGGCCCATGAGATTGCTGCAATGGAGAAACGGATGAAAGAAGAGGAACAGGAACTCGCAACAATTCGTGACGCTTTGAAAGGCAAAACCCAAGGCTTATCCGATCAAATTGCGGCAAAACAGAAGTCGCTAGAGCCATGGAACGAGAAGATCAATCAAAAGCAGTCAGCTATTGCAGTGGCCGAAAGTGAACTGACCATTCTACACGAGAGGGCAAATGCTGGGGCTGTGGCACTTAAAGAGACTGAGGCAAAAATAGCCAGTATTGAGGAGGCAAGAGAGGCCAAGCTTGAAGAACTCGAGCAAAGTAAATTGGAAAGATCAAAGCTTGCAAAGGAGGCTATGCGAGTACAATCGGAGTTGGAGAAACTGTCGCAGAAAGAGCCAGAGTTTCGCTCTAAGCTATCTGGTGCGCGTCAGAAAGCGGACGAGGCTCGTGCGAGTCTTTCAAATACACAAACCCAGGGCAATGTGCTCACTGGATTGATGCGTCTCAAGGAATCTGGCCGAATTGATGGTTTCCATGGACGTCTTGGTAATCTCGGCACCATCGACCAAAAGTATGATGTCGCTATATCCACAGCATGTGGAGCTCTCGACAATTTCGTAACAGACACTGTGGAAGGCGGACAGCAGTGTATTGAGTACTTGCGAAAAACTAACCTCGGGAGAGGAAACTTTATGTGCCTGGACAAACTTGGGAATCGAGATATGTCCCCTATTGAGACCCCAGAGAATGCTCCACGTCTTTTTGACTTGATCAAAGCCAAAGACGACAAATTTCGACCGGCATTCTTTCACTCACTCCAAAACACACTCGTCGCAAAAGACCTAGCACAAGCCAACCGAATCGCCTATGGTGCAAAGAGATGGCGGGTGGTAACTCTCGATGGACAGCTGATTGACAAGTCGGGTACCATGTCTGGAGGTGGTAACACTGTGAAGAAAGGGTTGATGTCCTCCAAGCTCGTAGCAGACACTACAAAGGAGCAGGTGGCCAAACTGGAGGTGGATCGAGATGCACTCGAGCAGGAGTTCCAAAGGTTCCAAGAGCGTCAGCGGGAGCTTGAATCCACTCTCCGAGATCTCAACGAAAAAATCCCTCAACTTGATACGAAGATACAAAAGATCGAGCTCGAAGTTGAAAGTTCTGCAAGAAATCTGACGGATGCTCAACGACGGATCAAGGAACTCAGTAAAGAGCACCAGCCTTCTCAGACAGATGGTAACAGGGTTGCATCACTCGAAAGGGAAATTGTAAAACTGAACAAAGAAATCGAGAAATTGCGCAGCGAGACCGCCAGTGTCGAACAGGATATCAAGGCTCTGCAGGACAAGATTATGGAAGTCGGTGGCGAAAGGCTGCGTGCACAGAAATCCAAAGTCGATGCTATGAAGGAGGAGATCAATAATCTCAACGAATCGATATCAACCGCCGAGGTGACCAAAGCCAAAGCTGAGAAGCAGAAAATCAAGCACGAAAAGGATCATGCGAAGGCTACGAAAGAGCTTCAGGTTGCAATTTCTGATCTAGAAAAGCTAGAAGAAGAAGTTAGAAACCAAAGCTCAAATGCTGAAGGTTACCAAGCCAGGGTTGACGAGGCGCAAGAAGCTCTTCGTAACAAGAAGAAAGATCTCAATGCCCTCAAGGCTGAATTGGACGAAAAGACAGCCGAACTCAACGAGACCCGTGCCATAGAGATCGAAATGCGCAACAAGCTCGAAGAAAACCAAAAGCTTTTGGCAGAGAACCAAAAGCGATTAAGGTACTGGAACGAGAAGTTGGGCAAGCTATCTCTTCAGAACGTTAGCGACCTTGGAGAGGAAGTTGCACCTGACGAGCTCCCCCAATACACCAAAGACGAGCTCGAGGATATGAGCAAGGACACTCTCAAGAGCGAGATTGCCGCCCTGGAAGAGAAGACACAAGGTGTCAATGTCGAGCTTGGCGTTCTGGCAGAGTATCGTCGACGAGTTGAGGAGCATGCTGCGAGGAACGCAGATCTCCAAAGTGCCGTAGCACAGCGTGATGCTGCTAAGAAGCGCTGTGATGACCTGCGCCGACTTCGTCTGGAAGGATTCATGGAGGGATTCAGTACAATTTCTCTTCGTCTGAAGGAAATGTACCAGATGATCACCATGGGTGGGAATGCAGAGCTTGAGCTTGTCGACTCGTTGGATCCCTTCTCGGAAGGGATTCTATTCAGTGTCATGCCACCAAAGAAGTCTTGGAAGAATATCTCTAACCTGAGTGGTGGCGAGAAGACTTTAAGCAGTCTGGCGTTGGTCTTTGCCCTGCATCATTATAAGCCAACGCCCTTGTATGTGATGGACGAGATCGATGCTGCTTTGGACTTTAGAAACGTATGTGAACCCCTTGGTAGTATACACGAATTTGCCGCTAACAGTAATACAGGTATCGATTGTGGCTAGTTACATTAAGGAGAGGACGAAAAATGCACAATTCATTGTCATCTCCTTGCGGAATAACATGTTCGAGCTGGCATCGAGACTTGTTGGGGTATATAAGGTTAATCACATGACCAAGAGTGTTACGATTGAAAATAGGGATTACATCCATGGGCGTGCGTGAATCTGGGGAGTGGTTGTGGTCGGCGTTCTAAAATTTGTGTTTTCGGAGTTTGGATTACACTCATGCATGTATTGATACAATCACGAATATTAATGATGTTCTACGCTACAGGTAATTCTCATTCGCAACGCATATGACAAGCCCCCTTCAATGGCAGTTCCTTGCTCTGCGAAATACGCTACAGGAGGGGGTGTTCATTGCGCATTTATTGACCAGCTTGACCAGTTGGTAAAGTTGCTGGTGCTACTTGGTTAGACTTTCTTCATTCGATATTCCTATATCACACATGAGTTCTTGTTCAAGCGCAGTGTGGCGCTTTGGCTTTGGTTGGGACGAAAGAAGTATTACATTCCATATCTATGTACGTTGATTCATTCACCCGCCTCGTAACTCAGCGCTGAAGATATGATATATCTTTGTACATGCCTCCCAGCCAGATCTTACACATAAAACCCATAATCGAACAGGGCATATAGAGAGATAAAAGGACCAGTTCTTTTGGTTCATTTCGCCATGCGCCACACCATGCCATGCCTATTATAAACAACAAGGTCGTCCATCTTTCACCTGCGCTTCAACCACCACCAGTGCTCTTCCCTGAACCCCGACTATTTCTGGGTACGGCAAGTTTTATCTCTGGTATGCCCGGAGTGGGAGGGCGTGAGGTAGAACTACCTATGTTCCCCGCGGTTCTGGGGCGCTGATGATCACCTCCTTCAACCTGTCGAGTGCCATACTTCTCCTCCCACACCTTTCTCAATACCTCGTAGATAAATACGTACTGCTCATAGGACTGTACCATTGTCCGCCTCTGTGTGCGTAATTGGTTCACCGTGTCGAAGACGGGGTCTTTATCGCTGGAATCGGACTTGTCCCACCGCTCCCAAGCGCCACCCTGCAATTCTGCAATTAAGAACTCCAATGCCACGAATGTACCCGTTCGCCCAACTCCCGCACTGCAGTGGACTATCCGCGGGTTCTCCGCGTTGCTGTTCTTCTCCCGGGACATAGACATCAATGAAATGATACTATCCACGTTTTTCGCCTCCAAAGCACCGAAATCAGGCCACGATGGATACAAAAAATGCCAGATAGGCTTCTCCTTGTCTTCACCCTCAACATTCATAATGAGCTTTCGAATCTCAATATCGGTGCCTGGGGGTGTTGGTTCTCTAGAGTCAAAGCGAATTGTGCCTTTGAAATTATCTCCGAGTTGAGAAGCTTCGTTGATAACTATGGGAGAGGAGTCCTCATCGGCAGGAAAATAAGGGAAGCATTTCTCGGATACGGCTCCGAGAACATTAGGGTGTGGTCCATGGGTCGGGCTCAGCATGATAATCACGGCTGGCGTGGCAAGCTCATGCCATACCACTGTAATAGTTAGCAATTAAATCTATTGTTGTACGAGCAGGATACTTACTATGCCAGACATGGTCGACAGTCTCCCGTTTCGGCCCTTGCATGCAGATATATTTATGCTGGCTCCCAGTTCTGGCCTGACCTTGTACGCCAGAGGTGGGTACCAGAGTAATTGGAGAGGCGTTAATGTAGTCGTTATATCCTTTTGGGACTTTGAGGTGGACACGATTGTTAGCCCATGGATGGACGTTAACGTAACGATCGCGAGTTGGATCTGGATCAAGACGTGCCCATTGGGCATCCATGGATGGGTTCTTAAATTTCTCTGCTATGCGCTCGTTCTCAAGGCGAGCCAGCTCCATGAAGCTGTCGTGTATTTCTTGAATTCAAGGTCAGGACCAAATAGAAAAGCAAGGCCGAGAAGCTTACCTTTACTATTGAGCTGCAAGAAAGCAGGCATCAGAGGGATTTCAGGGGTAGGCTTGGGCTCCGGGGAGCCTGCCTGGCTAGGAGCCGCTCCATCCACCGGGGTGACAGGACTCTGTCCAGGGACTTTCGATGGTGAATCCGGGAGTGGAACTGGTGAAGACCAACGCTTCGAAATTGAGTTATTGCGACGCATTTTGCCTAGCCAGCCAGCCGGCTTTCCTCCCTCTTTTGAATCTTTTCGCGCGTCTTGAACCGGTTCAAGTACGCGCGAAGGAGACTTGTATCGCCTCCGGAGGGCGTTTCGTAAGTGATCCAGCTTGAAGGTGCCCGCCACGATTGAAGTGAGAGCAATTTTAGAAGAAGATTTCCAGCAATGAAGTGGTGTTGGCCGGGTTATAGAGATAAGCGCACTGGTTCCTGGTCAAGGCTGAGGGAAGGCTGAAGAAAGGCGAAAAGAACTGTGGACACAGAACGGTAGAATGGATTGAGAGACAGCGGCTGCTTGCTAGAAACACTCGTCTTCTTCTTCTTCTCCCTCTTCAACTCCCTTTTACTCTCCTTCTGCTTGCTCTTGCTGGTATATGAGGCTCTAGGACCGGCACGTGTCGCAAGGAAGAGATCAATGCTCAAGCCAAGCTCTGATGTCAAGGGCCCGGGGTTGGTATTACAGTGGAGTAAGAGTAGGAAGCAAAGAAAAAGTAGGTTATTAAAGGAATAATGGAGAAGTAAACAAGGGAGAAAGGAAGGAAAGCAAGATGAAGTACTTGGCCTGGTGGAATGGAGACCTTGGATTTGACTATCTCTAGAACAGGGGAGGTGGTGGCGTTTGGGCCGTTTGTTGAAGAGTCGGCCGAAGAGAGTCGGGTTTTTAGGTTGGGATTTGCCGCGTCTAGCTTCGCTTTAAAAATAAATATTTATTTCACTATATAGACAAAATCAACATCTATTAGTCAGTCACTTCTCTTCCACCGGCATATCATTCCGTGGGCTTGACTTTTCTATCCATAAAGAATGACCACGCAACTACAGACATGTGGTTGCGAGTATTCGAGGTACGTTGGCTTTCCTGAGAACTCGTAAGACTCTGTACGCTAATCAATACACACAGGTCTGGTTAACAGCAAGGGTACGGAAACCCCTCCAAATGAAATCTTCGCCATAGCCTGACTTGCTTCCAGCTCCTTAAGAGTCCCGCCTTCCATCGAGCCGTCGGTCGCGTACACAAAAAAGTTCACGAGCTGCGGTACGGGAAAGACCCGGCTGAGATGGGAGGAACGCAAATCGACAGTCAGTCCCTTCCGTCGATATACATAATGGGAATTGTTGGCTGACGAGATCGCAGAGCCGGGCGGCACTGATTTCAACAAGTTTCTCCGGTACTATGTGGAAGAGCTGAAGGAGCAATTCTACGGTAATAGAAAGAAATGACAAGGTTCAACTGAGATGTGGCGATGGCGGGACCTTGCACATTGTTGAGAACACGGAATTGCGTGGGCAGGTATCGTCTTGACGAATTATGCGTAGTCGGCGTTTGGGGAAGGACATCTCTGGCGTTTGGGAAATGAATCAGGAGATCGGCTTCCTCGAGCCATGACAGGGCTTTCCTTAGGGTACGAATCTTCAACTACTCTATTCCTCTCTTCTCTTCTGGCCCCTATGCTTTACTTCCATTTCGATAGGGTTTCAGCATGGGGTTGTGGGACTTGAAACGTGATCCAGTTCTCTGGGTACAGTATATCCATTTCTTACCACTTTCTTTCTACTATTATACCGGATATTAAATTGGGCTCTTTGACCACCTCTTTGTCATTTGGCTCTCATTCCATCCGGAGATTAGAAGCATATACGCTTGAACTAGACCAATGCTTCTTCTGGGTTGGATCTCTCAGGCAGTTCGCGTACATATGTTACCTCATGTTGAAACTCGAAGGCAATCTCCTTCACCTGAGACATGGCGAAGTCTGGTTTTGAGGCCTGTCTTTCGTTTATATCTCGTATAGGCTTGTAGAATTCTGGCCATGAAAATTTCAAATCTCTTTTAAACATCTATTGAGAATCACTTCCATACTATGCGTGCATGCACTCTTGACTCCAACGCTATGCGAATATCAACCCAACCTAAAAATATTCACCCAACATTTCCTCTGTTTCCAGTAGCGGCAGAGCTTTCTTCATATAAGACTCCTTACTTAGACACGCATCTATTCTAGTACCGCATTCTCATACTATCTATGACCTTTCGATATCACAGGCTGCTATCCATTGGCTGGTCTGTAGGTGCTCTTCTAGGGTTTTGTTTTACATGTCTTCCTCAGATATCTTCAACAATATATCAATTATTAAGAGAACTACATGTGATTTTGCAATGAGAAATTCCTATCGATTCATTGACGGTTCGTCTGGAGAAATGCCCATAGTGCATAGGTTTAACGAAAAGTTCGGGGAGCTTGGTGCGTGGAATATATGTGTGATAGTTGGAATAGGAAGACAGGTGGCGGCTGGTGACGTGTGGTGTTGCTTGGGTACTATGCAAGTGTAGACAAGTACGTTCTCTTTGTTTGTTTCTGCTTGGTTGTTTCATTGATTGGTGCTTCTACAAGATTTCTGTTGGTTTGTATCTGGACAGGAACGGGAGTTTAGGTTTTGAACAACTAAAAGAGGCACTTTTTGAATGTCCGGAGCAGATTTTCTATCCCATTCCAATCTTTCACGGACTATGAGTTATTGAGCCATTGAATTTAAGCCTTCTTTTATTTCAATGAGGCCTTTTCCTTTTTGCTGTTAAAATTGAAGGGATATATATTAACGTATGGCGTTTTTCAGTGAGTTTGATTTCATCTCACCAGACTCCAGAGTTTTCTCCAGCTTTTCACCCGGCCTGCCAGTACCCTCGACGCTCCATCTCCCTAATGTTCCATCGAAGTGTCCGAGCGCTGTCATCTCGCTGGGATGAGCAACATGCCAGAGCGGTGTGTGCTATATCCTCGCTGCCCTCATTTTCTCCTTCGTCTTCCTCGCCTTCCCTATCGCCGGGATCATATTCTTCTGCTTGTAAATTCCTGGTCTCGACGTAAATGATGGATTCGATCCGAAATGATTGATGATGATCTTTGCCTGAAAGACCTGCTTCGCTGCAGGGGTCAGAATTCAGAACAAGATGAGCCAGTAACATCCAAATCATCATCAGAACTAGCGGGGTAATACCCCGAGGGTTCTGGCAACGCTGAAGGTTCTAGTTGAGTAAACTCAGTAGAAATGATTTCGACGTTGACTGGAAATTTATTCGTGACATGAGATGATGACTGAAATGCATTAGGAAATGCCAGGCTAGGCGGGATACTTTCCAATGACTTGTTGCCTTCCGACTCTCTGATTGAATCCGGAAACACATTTGACATGACATGGAAAGGCTTTCCGGATGCCGGGCCTGATGCAGGAAACCCTGAGAGTTTGGTTTGGTTGTATTCGTCTAATATCGGTCGACGAGTTTCAACCTTCATAACAAAATGATCGGCAGGTTGAATTCCACCAAGGCCACTAGCATTGAAAGCCTGAAGTGGCATGTCAGGGCTAATTTTGTCTTCAGACCACTTCAATGAGAATTCCATGGTCATGGGATCTTCACTGAGTAGGTCTGGTGTTTTGGCACCTGATCCTCCAGCATCTGGGAAACCGGTCCCGCGTGAACAGTCTCTGGACGGTCTGAAAGGGAACGAAGAGCCCGACGAAGTCCGCGACAGAGGGAGTGTCTGATCTTTTGCATCATATCCCACAGCGTCCTGGGCATGATCACTATACCCATCCCTGCCAACGCCATGGACGCGAGGTGGAGCATCAATGCTTCCTCGATCACCAGACAAATCGGTGTAGAACCGGGCTCCTCTATAGAAAATAATAGGGCCATCATTACCCTGCCCTACTCTACGAGGCTCTGAACGTGATCCTCCATCGTCTCCGATACCACGCTCAAAGGGGGGTTCGCTCTCATCAAACAAAGTCCAATCTCCAGATGAAGAGCCTGGATGGTGGAACAATGGTTTGTAATGATGGAAAACGTTCGTGACTTCCAACAGAGATGTTAGATTAGGAATGTCAATGTGGGCAGATGTACATCTTCCAACATCTATTCTGCGCCTCTTCCTATATAACTCATCCGTGCTGTCACTGTCATCCTGTGGGGAGTGATTTCGCACACTGCTGGAATGACTACCAGTGCTGAGTCGGGTTCCCTCGTGTCCTCCCTTCCATCGGATTTTCTTGCCATCTGGGGATAACTCAAACTTGTCACTGATATCAGTGATTGCTGATCTGACATAATTAGGCGTGACGTTGATAAAGTGCAACTGAGCCATATTGATAAGAAGGTTGAGATAAATCCATCCACTGGAATTAGTGGTGCCGCCAGGAGCATCTTCTCGGGTATTTGAGAGACCCAAATGGCGGATATATCGCAAGTTATCAGAAGGAATCTGAGGACGATCCGGATCAAGATCCAAAAGTCTGGTCGGCCTCTGCTCTGGAAAAGAACCATCAGGATTCTTATCCACAGCAAGATCGAATGGCATTCCGGGTAACTGTGTCTCGTTGCTCGAATATTCTGCTTCTCTCCTACATCGTGGAACATCTTCTTTTATCTCATAAGGTAAGATGTGTGCTTCACGACGGCCCTCGAAAGTGAGCCCGCCCTTTGAGGTTTGATCCGCATATGCCGCAGATTTAGATAATTCTTGTTGCTGTATCGATCGATTGTGCTCATCGGCTGAGCCAACCTTATTGCCGATGAAAAGCTGTTCAAGACGTCGAACCACTGCCTCTTTCTTTTGTAACTCTGACATGACTGTGGGACACTTTGGGAACAGGCCATCCAGAATTTTGCGGGAAGATGGTTGCACTTTCTGCTCCTTCAAATCCATAGGTTGAGAGACAACCCTCTGATCAGGTTTCATATGATTGACTGCCGACGTAGGCGTTGGGCCAGAATTTGACATGAATACATACGCCGAATCAATAGGTCGTAAATTCGATGTAGAGGAAGTTGCGGGTTGAGAAGTATCTCCAAAGACGTGTTGCTGTACGTCCTGCGACGGGGATGGAACCTTCCCCTCCGGAGGTTTAGATGAGCAATCTATACTTGCAGTAAAGACCCGTAGCGTTTCTTCTAACTCCCGCTTTTTTCCGCATGGCAACCCATGAATCTTGACCTCGAATAGCATATCCTCCTCTAGGTAGGGGCTATAAGAAGCCTCATATTTTCGGAGCCTCTCCTTCAATTTCTGATTTTCTATAGTCAGATCGTCGATCACACTTCTGGACACATCTGAGATATCGTAAGTAGTAGCTGGATTTATGCCATCAGATACAATATGGTCCTTAGGGCGACCTGATTGCAGATTTTTGGTTGATTTATAAGTCCCCAAGCTGCTTTGTAGGCGAAGAAAATGTAGAGGTACGTCTTAGGAAAAAGTAGTTAGCCATTGAAGTTCTCACCAAGTACCTATCTACCCTATCAAATGATAGTGACTTACAATTCACCGAAGTTCGATCCAGCCTCGCTCGAGGGAGCTTATTTGAACAAGTAAACCAATCTTCAAAGCCTGAAGGTTCTCCAGAATTATTGCTCTTCTCCGAATCTAGCTGGGCCAGAGTCGCCCTGGGAGTATGGCGCTCCAAGTTTGATATTTTCGGATTTCCGACCGCTTGCATATACTCACCCGTCGATGCTGCTGCTGGATGTTCGTGATACCCCCGAGAAATATGGATGAAGGAGTTTTGAGGATTACTGTTCATTGTCGGCGTTATCATATAGAGATACGTAAGAACAGTCGGCGTCTAATAACGCAGTCCTGGAAAGTTCTCTGCGGTACGTTCTGCCTAGTTGCGTAGCTTTGAGTAATTATGTGTCTGCAGAGCTTGTCGAATAACCAACCGAAGCTTCTGCACTACCACATCGTCTCCGGAATCAGGTAATGCGGTTTCATAAGAGCTCAAGGAAGAACGACCACAAATCAAGACAAATATAGGGAACAAGTTGAAATGCTTGACATCTAATCCTCGATCGCAATCTCGTGTGGATGGTAAAAGATAGGAGAGCATGCCACTTCACATGCTATTCTGTGCTAATAGGTATGAGGACGGCACAGAAATGAAGAAAATGAGGAGGAAAAGGAAGATGCAGGAATGCAGAAAAAGAGGAAGAAAAGCAGAGCGAAGAGGAAAGGGACAAAGGGGATACTTATGAAATTGTGGAAAGTGGAAACACCAGGATCATACACGCCTTCTCCACACCGATTTTGGAAACTTATCTGTTCCCGCAGGTGTAAGACCTTCAGGGAGAACTCGAGCTGAAGGAGATGACCATTGGCGATCGAGGAACAGCTGCGCAATCTAGGATCCAAACGGGATAAGATAGCCATCTCTGGACCGAAAGAGCCTGGGCGGGTTATTGGGGCGTGAGTGCAGCATGGCTTTTGGGAGGAATCCTCGCTCTGGAGACCCTTTCACTCTTGTCGTGGGGAGAATAGCGGCCGGGTGAGGTTGGAAAAGGCTGATCGAAAGGGGAAGATCTCGATTCCCATCCCCCAATTCTCGCTTAAGCGGGCGCTGACGATCGGGCCAATCGGGCTCTCCCGGAAAATAAACCACGATCGTCGATCGTACAGTACAGTACGTATGTGCATGCCTGAGGCAGCATATCCGGGATCGATTGATGCCTCTCCCCAGACAGCTACTCGAGACTCTTTTGTTCTACGTGGTAGAGTCACTACTTGGTGATACAAGACACATCCGGTGAGTTCGTTGAAAACACGGTAGGAAGAGTCCTGGATTTTGAAGCTGTCTGTCCGCAGGAAGAGGCAGTCTGAACTTCAGGATGTCTATTGTTCAACGCTGTAGAACGCGGGGTATCAGACAGTCAAGTAACTTCAGGCGAAATAGAACTGTATCATTTTATTTTGCTTGGCTTTCCTCACAAACTACATCATATTCCCGCTCATTTAATTGTACAGAATCAATCCAATCCAATCATTTGAGAAACAGACCAAGCAACCTGATAAGGGTATGGACAACAAGGATGACCAGGGACTGTCATGGGATGTAGAGAGGAATCCGAAGCACGAATAGTTTGGTGGCTACCTATATTTACTTACCTATACGCTGCATATATCTTTGATTTTTGTTGCAGATCGTACCTAGATATCGAGAGTCTCCCAAGTCTCTCTTAAGCTGTTCTTGAGACACTCTCAAGTCAAGCGGTTGGCGAGGCGCTCCGGCCGACGTACGATGTGCAACGAAATTTACGGAGTGATTGGTTGCCTGAGGCGCTCAAGAGGCATTTAGTAAGAAAGCTTAGTGGGTTTTGTTGCACATCGCAGAAGCTCATTCGAGAAACCCCCCAGAAGCCCTCGAGAAGCACTCGAGAAACCCGGACGTCTCGTAGAACAAAAACTTACTTTTTGGGTAATACCTTCAAGTCTTTTGTTGCACATCGCAAAAGCCTCAAAAGTTCCTGACGTAAGCATTCTCAGTTACCTTAGGCTTGGATTTTGCTGTATAAACAGCCCGAGGACCCCCCGATAACCCTGAGAGAGCATCTCAATTAACCCTTTCTCAAGTTTTGTTGCACATCGTAAATACCACGCCATAAAGACCCCCCGAGAACGCCCCGAGGACGTCTCGAGCAACTTGAAAGCCTACTTGGTTCTGTCGCGTATCGTAAGAGTAGGAAGAGCACTTCGAGAATGTCTCAAACGACCTGACGCCCCGTAGGAACTAGATTCTCAAGCGTTGTTGCACGTCGCAAACACAAGGCGTAGCTCCTCGGCGGTTGAAGGCTTTAGCTGCAACCTTTTCTAGCCTATTGCTAACTTTAGATCTTATGAATTCTGCCTCTCAAAAATTCCCGTGGATAACAAGGAGCATTGCTATACTTCTTTTCCTGCATATAACAGACATGATACAGTTTTTAGTGAAACGCAGCTTCTTGAAAGCTTTCAAGGGGTTTCTCTTTTCTTCTTGTCTTTGAACTATGCTAAAAACCGGACCGCAAGACGGCCTCGCTCCGCGCCGTTTTGCAACCTGAGGCAGCAATACTCCTCGTCTACTGTACAAAGTGCGGAGGCACATGGCTCGTCCGTCAGAGCCGTACCCACGTCCGAAGTCCCTCCGCGTTTCGGGTTCCCCCAGAGAGGGGGAAGGGTAAGTGATTTTCCGCCTTGTCTCTGTTGACCGGCAGTAGCTCTTTTGACAGCTACTTGGTGTTTCTTGGTGTTCCTATTCCCATAAGCCTCCAACTTTTCCGGTGAGAGAACCTCAAGAACTGTTGATTTGATCGACGACCCTTCAGGTCGTCCGTGTATATTTACAAATGCCTTCAGCAGCACTCTGTTTCCGCGCGGCGCGAGCCTACACGAGGAATACCTCAAAGGTGCGTGTACGACTCTATTGCTTGCTACCAGTTCTAAACAACCTTCTATAGCAATCGATTTTAATAGCGCGCACTTTTGCTTCCACAGCTCGTCGCCATGAGATCAACAAAATCCTCCCCTCGGCCGCGGAGGCCATTAAAGACATGAAGCCGAATTCCACACTGCTCTGCGGAGGGTTTGGTCTATGCGGTGTTCCAGATACGCTCATCGATGAAGTCTTAAAACATAAGCATCTCACTGGCTTAACAGCGGTGTCAAACAATGCGGGCACAGACGAATCAGGCTTGGGCAAACTACTGAAGACGAAGCAGATCAAGAAGATGATTGCAAGTTATATTGGAGAGAACAAGACATTTGAGACAATGTACTTGACAGGAGAGGTAGAGTTGGAATTGACTCCACAAGGAACATTGGCAGAACGTTGCGCAGCCGGAGGAAAGGGAATACCCGCGTTCTATACGCCAGCGGCATTTGGCACAGTCGTACAGACCGGCGAGCTCCCATTACGGAACAACGCGGATGGATCACCAAAGGAATATTCATACCCCAAGGACGTAAAAGTCTTTGATGGCAAGCCATATCTTTTGGAAGAATCCATCAAGGGCGATGTTGCGTTTGTGAAAGCCTGGAGAGCTGACCGACTCGGAAACTGCCAGTTCCGTCTCGCGGCTAACAACTTCAATGGTGCCATGGGCCGAAATGCTAAGCTGACCATTGTTGAGGCTGAAGAGATCGTCGAACCTGGTGAAATCCCCCCTGAGGCTGTGCATCTCCCTGGTATCTACGTTAAGCGAGTTATCCAGTCCACTGCTGAGAAGAACATCGAGAAATACACCTTCGCGAAGGACGAGAGTGATCCAGATGCGAAGGCGGCACTTGGAACTGGCGCTACCGCGGCGAAGAGAGAGCGTATTGTCAGACGAGCAGCCAAAGAGTTCAAGAACGGCATGTACGCCAACTTGGGTATTGGAATGCCTATGCTGGCTCCCTCATTCGTTGGCCCAGAAATCGAGGTCCAATTGCAATCCGAGAACGGTATTCTTGGACTTGGACCCTACCCAGTCAAGGGACAAGAAGATGCCGATCTCATCAATGCTGGAAAGGAGACAGTCACTCTGAAGCCCGGAGCCGCTGTCTTCGGCAGTGAGGAGAGTTTCGGCATGATTAGAAGTGGCCGTGTTAACCTGACGATCCTTGGAGCTATGCAAGTGAGCGCTAATGGGGACCTTGCCAACTGGATGTTGCCAGGAAAGGTAAAGGGCTTCGGAGGTGCTATGGATCTTGTCAGCAACCCCTCAAAGACCAAGGTTGTGGTCACTATGGAGCACACAGACAAGAAGGGCAATGCCAAGATTGTCAAGCAGTGTGCCTTCCCATTGACGGGTAAGGCTTGTGTATCAATGATTATTACCGAATTGGTGGGTTACCTTGAGCGTATCTATTCTTCAATTGCTAACAGGTTTCAGGGTGTGTTCGAGGTGGACTTCGCCAATGGACTGACATTAACTGAGATTGCTGATGGTGTGACCGTCGATGAGATCAAGAGCAAAACCGAGGCACCATTCAAGGTTGCTGATGACCTGAAGCCTATGCTGTAGATATCCTGATATTATTTTTGTGATCAAAGCATTTAGGAGTTATGTAGTATACTGCGAGGAGGATATCAAAATCTGACATTGAAATTCCACATATTTTGAGCTCCTGGGGGGTTATACTCTTTCCCTCGCCTGACCTTAAACTTCTGGACCATTCAAGCCTCCCCTCACTTCCAATCCACACAGAAACGTAGAAGAGCCTATGATTGCCTATGTTAACATCACTCTTCAAAGACTACTTGCACCCGCCTAAACAGTATCAAATCAAGCCTGCTCACCGCCTCTTGTCAAGATCACACACCTAACTTTAACACCCTTCTCCGCATCTTCCTTCTCACTTGAATTCCCCCTTCCATCCGCTTTCCTCAGCAACCTCAATCTCCCCGTCTCCTCGACCAACCTCCTGCCCGCGCGCGCCGCCAACCACATCAAATCACGCCTCCACTCCGGGGTATCCAAAAAGCCCAACTCGCCGCCGAAATTTCTGCCAAACTCCACAACGACATTGACCTCCCTCAGCTCTCTCATCTTCGCCAACGTGCTCAGCAAGCCATTCTCGCACAACTCGTTCCAGACCCGGAGGTCGAGGCTTAGAGACTGCAGGAAGTGCCGCGACGGCGAGACCGCTAGGTTGTAGAGCAGATCTGCAAGGTGCGAGGATAGGATCGGTGCTAGGTTCGAGATGTATAGCGTATCGTTGGGGAAGGAGATCGGGATTGGGATAGGGGTCGGCCCGAGCTGGAGGTAGCTATAGTGGGATTGCGCTACGACGCGCGAGGAGTGGCAGATGGAGAGGGCGAGCGGTGGCGCGGTGTTGGAAATGTAGGTGCCGTGGTTAGCAGAGTAGGAAATTTTCAAGATTCGGGCTGGTGGCAGCGTCCAGAACCATATCTTGAGGCGCAGTTCGGCGGGAAGGAGAGGGAAGAGAGGGAAGGTTTGTGGTGGTGGGGTTGCGGGGAGAGGGGACTGCGTGGAGGAGACATTGGTTGACATCGGAGTCGACTTCTCCGGGGTAAAGGGGAAATATATGAATGAAAAGCGGATGCTTCTATGCTACTGATTGATTATTGGGTCATGAGAATCGAGATGGGGTGAAGACGTGTAGATATCTCGTTGAATGTGTGGAACAGCTTGACGATGGCCTGACTGTTGCGAGTAGCTTCCTTATCTCCACGTGATCTGGTCGAAGATTCAAGGATCCAAAAGGTTCTGGAGTGATTTCTGAACCCGACGTTCTGATCCTGTGCATAGTTACCCTGCCAGGACATCCGTGTAAAGCTTCTCCCAAGCTGAATTGATATTCAAACTTGAGTTTCTGAAAATGAGACAGTCGATCAAGACGTCAAAATAGCTAGCAAACTGAAATCATCTCGAAATCTTTATGTCATTAGATAGCCGTAAGTGCCTTGCCAAGCACCATGAAATAGGCTGATAATTGTACAATGGGGTTACAAAAGAGCGGAAATAGTATGAAGACAGTATGAGAAGGCAACACGACGCTCCTATCAACTACGCCTCAACGAAGCGCTTGACGTTCGAAAGCCAAGTCAAATACTCCCGCTGCTCCTTCATGTCGATGTAATCTGGCACAAAGATAGCCAAAGCGGTGTTGATCCCTCTCTCCTCCAGATATCTCTCCAAAAGCACCTGCAAGTCTTCATCCAAGTTGCTGAATGGTGGTCCAGCATACAGATCCTGTCTCTCGTGGATCTTCTCGGCCGTCTTGGCGTGTGCGTGTGCGGCATCGGCGAAGTAGTAAACGTTGTCGATGACAATCATGCCATCTTGGGCAACAGTCTCAATTGCGAGTGCGCCCTTGCCTGGCTTCTCGACGACGACGTTCACACGAGCTGGGAAAGATGGCTCTTCCTCCTCTTCAGCATCTTCACGATCCGCCCTGGACACTGAATCTTCAGGAGCGACCTTGAAGTTCTTCTCGTTCCCTTGATTGATGTTATCCATATCGTCTTCGTCGCTCAGGGCGCGGTCTTGGTAATCGGCTTCGGGGTCGACGGCATTGAGGTCGGCAATGGAGAAGGTGACTCGGATTCTGCAAGATTTATTTATTAGGCATCAGAAGAGGCATATATAGACAAGGGAACTTACGTCTCATCGCCGAATTTTCTGGTAAGAACGACGTCCTCTCTGCCAGGCACATCCTGGATCTCGAAAGGTCCGTTCTCAAGATAATCCTTGATACTAGTTGGAACACCCCCTTCCTCCTTCATTTCATTCTCCACTTCGAGTTCCGACTCGAGCTTTGCGATCAATTCCTCGTCCCCTTCACCGGCCTTTGCTCCTCTCATTGATGATGTTGAGAAAGCTGCGGCATATTGTGTCCTCGCTGGTCTCCATGCTGATTGTAATAAGGAGACCTGTCTTGCAGCTGGTCGTCTGATTGCTGAGCTTGTGAGTTTGGAGACAGCTCTAGGTGCTGAACGGGCAAAGGATCTGATGGAAAGCATGATGAAGGACCTAGAGAGGAATGCTGAGTAGAAGAATGTGTTGGATGTAATACGTTTTGTGATGATGGTATGATTTTTAGCTAGAGCTTTGGCGATGGAACTTTCTTATGTTTCCGCAAGGCTCAAAAAAAAACTTAGCGTGACACGGGGAGGCTGTCATAAATTCACAACTTTCCTTTCAACTTGTGCACTTGTGCACAAGTATTATTGGAGCAGAATACAGAGATCTACATGAGTAAGGTAGGCACACTCTGATGTACAGGACGTACTACTCCTAATGATGACGGAAGAAAGGCTTTTGGAATGAAAGAAGTGGTTTCGCCTCTAGCCACATTTAGCTGCCGCCTCTCCAAAAATCAGTATTCCGTCTATGAAGCTCTTTTGGTATCTCTGAACGCCTTATGATATCCTCTAAACGCCAGCAATAGACCTGCCCGTCATGATTTTCCTTTAGGGGGAAATCTGGAGGCTTGTATCTGTCCACCACTCGAGATCCGGACCCATTTTAACGTCGACAAATATGACCATGCACCATCCCATCTGTCCAAGAATACTACATTGGTTGCGTCTGTGAGGTCGGGCAGATCTGGAAAATATTAGCCGCCTTGTCCAGAACAGGGAAGTAATTGACTGACAGAATCCATTCTCATATTCCTTCTCGTCTGCTGCTATTTTGATCCTCAAAAGGTCCTCCCTTGTGCTTGCAGGCCTTCCTGGACGACGCTCCTTCTTCAGAGCATTGAATTCCTCGTCATGCTTGTGGACAAATCTGCTGGTAATGAGAACAAGGACAGCTTCTGCGATCATCGTAGTTCTTACGTCTTTATAAGTGTGTGAATAGCATCCAGATCCAGGGGAAGTCCACCATTCTTTCGGGCAGCCTCTTGAAAGTACGCTGCTCGCTCAACTACCGGAAATCAACTTTCTGCCATCGGGATTAGAATCGGATGAACATACTCAAAGGCTGATCAATCTTTCTTCGTGCTGCTGCGACTCGAACCAGTTTGTCGTCTCTCATCTGCGCTCTGCGCAGGCGCTGCGAGTCTCGTGAATTCTCATGCAGAGCTGTAATATCGCTTTTCTTCTTGGAGATCTGCTTGCGCGTCTTTTCCAGGCTTTTCGGCATGATGTAGTTAAACCCTGAATCGTAGACTGTCAACAGTCAATTACTGTAATCGAATTCTGAATTCTTTGCCCCTCAGTTTTTTGAATTCTCTTCCCCAGATCTTATCGATGGACCTCTCGCTTGGACTTGGACGCTTGAGGTTAGCACGGCACTAGACACTAGGTAGACGGTTGCCCCGGCGCACGACGCGCTTTTGGCAACAGGCGCGTCCCGCCTTGTATCCTCCGTACCTGTCTCGACCCATCAGTCAATCCGGATTCCAGCGACGACGAAACCCACAACGACAGCTTCTATGGCCTCTCTATCATCTTAACCCTGTGTCGAACTGGTCTCCTCCACCCCATCCATTTCCGGAGGACTGTCGTGGCGCGCGGGCTCCATAGTAGTGCAAATATATGTTCTTTCGTTGAGGTTTGCTAGTGCGCTGAGCGCTGCTTGCTCTTCACGATGGGGATTAACGGTATATCACCCCTTTCCAAACCTCCTACTTCAATGCTGACCCCACAGGCCTATTGCCATTACTGAAATCCATTCATAAGCCATGCAGTCTCAAAAAGTTCGAGGGCAAGACCATTGGGGTCGATGCGTACGGCTGGCTTCACCGGGGGACTGTGGCCTGTTCCATTGAGCTGGCAATGGGCAGACCTACTAGGAAGTATGTGTAGCGTTGTCTAACGTAACTTCTGGATGCTAACCTCTGAAAGATTTGTCGATTTTGCAATGCATCGAGTTCGAATGCTGCAGCATTTCGGCGTAATCCCGTTCTTGATCTTTGACGGAGACTACCTTCCCAGCAAGGCCGCGACTGAAGCGGACCGGGCGAAGCGTCGAGAGGAGAGCAGAAAACATGGACTGGAGCTTCTCAAGGCAGGAAAGACTTCACAAGCATATCTGGAGCTCCAGAAGGCTGTAGATGTGACCCCGGAGATGGCTCGCCAACTCATCGACGAATTGAAGAAGGCTGGGGTACAATATATTGTTGCCCCTTACGAAGCCGATGCCCAGATGGTGTACTTGGAGAGAAAGGGTATTATACATGGAATTCTTTCCGAGGACTCCGATCTCCTGGTCTTCGGGGCGAAGTGTCTTTTGACCAAATTAGACCAGTATGGAAACTGCATTGAGATCAACAAAGCGGACTTTTGCGCGTGCAGGGAGGTCAGCTTAACAGGATGGACAGAAACAGAGTTCCGACGCATGGCAATCTTAAGTGGTTGTGACTACCTTGCGAGTATCAACAACATGGGCCTCAAAACGGCGTATCGGATGATAAGAAAGCACAAGACTATCGAGAAAGTCCTTCGCATGTTATCCTTCGACGGAAAATTTCGTGTCCCAAAAGGATATCTCGAGGACTTTTACCGAGCCGAGCTCACTTTCCTTCACCAACGTGTCTTCTGCCCAAAGAAACTTTGTTTAGTTTTCCATACAGAACCCGACACTCCTATTGATGAGGAGAGTATGCCATTTATTGGCGCTTATGTTGAACCGGAGATCGCTCAAGGCGTTGCCAGAGGGGACCTGAACCCTATGACCAAATTGCCAATTGTCGTGGACCAGACCGATAAGATGGCTTCACCGAACACACCATGGGCCGCTTCTAAAGCACGATCCCAACGATCAAACTCTTCTAATGATTTGAAGAAAGGCAAGCCAATCGATACGTTCTTCAAGCCAAAGCGCGTGCCTCTTGCTGAACTCGATATAAACTGTTTCACGCCTTCTCCCGCTCAGCAAGAAGCTCTGCGCCGCAATTCCGGGCCTTGGCTGGCTACTCCGACTCCTCGACCATATCTCAACCGAGATATCACAGAAACTGGACAATTACCTCAATCTGTCCCTGCACCAGCCCGAAGTTCTGGGCGAGACCACATTCGGGTGCCAAGTATCTCGGAACCCCGCCCTCCCAAGCGAGCTCGGCTTTGCGAAGAGGCCAATATTGATTCACCCAGTTCAAGTCTCACTGCTGAACTCGGTCGAAGTCGATTCTTCAAACCGGCTGCTGCTGAGCCAAGTCCTACTTCGGGCAAAATTCTTGGCAGGCTTTCGAACAAGAAGAAGAAGGACGTTGAGATCTTCTCGGATAATTCGATCGAGGAGGCGCTGCTGAGCTTGCCGGATTTTGACGGCTTCACCAACAAAGGGTCAAAGGCTGGTAGTAAAATCTCCATTTTCAAGGAGGATGTCAAGGTTGGCGTCGGCTTGAACGAAGATGCCCCCTCAATCCCCGTCCCCACGGCTACCGATGAGCTTTCGAACTCTCGGGGTAGCACTTTCAAATCCACACCTCTGCCTACCATCCGCTCCCCACAGCCAACTCCCACGCCGGTTGAAGTCGCCCCCCTACCAATCGCTGCCAATAAACTCAGAGAGAGGTTCTCCTTTACCCCTACCAGTACACCTACCCCGAAGCCGAATGTTAATGTTAATACTCAAGGCTACTTGCCTTCACCAATGTCGTCAGCTATATCAAGAAAATCCAAAATTCCACTTGCCGTGAAATCCAACACTCCAGCCCCCAAAGGATTGGCGGTCTCTTCCAAGACCGGACTGACCCCACTGCAACGTCTCGGGGCCACTGCAACCAACCGATCGAAACTGCCCATGACCCCTCCTTTGACACCGACTCTTGCTTCCAAGACCGGTCCTGCTCGTCGTTCATTGCTTTCAAAGGGAGATGTACCATTTCCGGAAGTCAGGAGAGAGACAAAGAAAGACAACGCTGTTGAACCCGCTTCAATACCCTTGCCCATGGCGGATGAGACGGAAAACTTGATGCTTTCAACCCAGAACGGCAGCGAGGATATGATCATCCCTGACAGTGAGAGCGAGGGAGAAGAAGACTTAGCCCCTGATGCCGGAGAGGCGGTGCCTTGCATCGACTTTGGAAGGTTCGCGTACGCTGCTGCACAGAGATAAAGCAGCACTAATGATTATAATAACGGGATGGAGAATGGAGTTGAAAGGAAATGGGAATGGGAATGCTGTTGCTTTAGTCTCCTTTTATCTGTATGGATCAGGAGGCGTTTTAAATTGGTGTTTGGAGTAAGGAAGAAGGACGGAAGAGATTGACGATACCACTAATTAATTCCCGTATTGAAGTCGGTAGTTCTTAGTGTTCCGTTCCCACTCCTATTGTCCCTCGAGACAATAGGAATGCGGATAAAGGCAGCGCGGCGTCGACGCATGTCATATTCAAAAACCCCTATTGAATACAAATATTCATAAACTACTTAGGTTTTCACCCATATGAGGGATTTCACATGCACGTACAACGCGCCCGCTCTTCAGTAAACGTTCATATAAATTTATATATCTCGTCCGTCCCTATGTTTAGACGAGCCACGGTCTAATCCCAGCAGTACCCAGCAAATCATATCTTTAACAACAAAAAAAGGAAAAAGAAAAAACCATTCTAGGCCCACCATCATCCTAACAAAGGTCGTTGCTCGAAGGGTCTGGTCATCAAATCGCTATCATCGGATACGCCAAGTCATTAAGGGAAGATGCGCCTGTTCCGTGTGTCCATGCGAGAAGTGCCAGTGGTGACCGCTAATGAGAAAGGAAACATGGGGAGAGATAGCACCGGCAGAGAGGTAGCTGCCAGGTGATGCGACGACATGTGAGGGCGCTAAGGACTATGAAAACACCAAACATCGATGATGCAGGAAGATATATGTTATCGACAATAGCCCATATTTCTAAACCCAGTAACTTCAGCTAGAAGTTCGATGTGAAGGACGGCGGCCAATGATGGGTTCGTTGTTGTTGATGTTGAATTCCCATTCTCCTGTGCATTAAGACGGATCAGTCACATGTCTCAAAACAAGTACAGAGTGCTACGTGGTGAGGGTGTGAGGTAAGGAACATATCGTGTAAAGATCAGGGGAAGATCAAAAACTGATAGACCAGGACCACACACCATTTGCCAGATTGTCTGCTGTATCGGCCAGCAAGATGAGTCGACGCTTCGTGCAGTATGATGTCTTATCCATGATTTCTACCTTCAGCTTAGGGTCTGCTAGTTCTTGGACCGGCTTCTCGAACATTTCGGAGAGGGCTTCGACCGCCATTTCCAGGTCCTTTTGGTTATCTTCGAACATGGCTGTGAGGTTGTTGCGGGCGAGATAAAAGGCGAATGCGTACGTCCACTTCAAAGTTTGACGGCAGATCTGAAGAGCTTGCGAGGCCGAGTTCAGGTACTGCACTTCAATCCACGACATTCCGGATGCGGTCTGCAGCTGGATCATCTTCTTTTCGGTCTTCTGATAGATATCCTTATCGAGCTTAGCAGATTGCTCGTGGTTTGCATAACGGTTATAGTAATGGAGGTATCTCTCAAGGGAGACTCGAGATTTCGCCTGAGCATCGCGAGCTTCCGACCCGCTCTTCTCTTCGAACCTATTGCAATTGTACCAGCTCGTTCCGTGCTCTGACCACAAGCCCATGCACATCCAGCAGAACTCGTGCTTGCATTTCCTGCAAGTCATGTGGTTGCAGCCTCCATTCTTTTCGATGGTCGAGTTACATTTCGGGCACTCTTTTGTGTTAGCTGAAATCCAGTTGGCCGTTTCCGAATCGTCTGCACACTTCTTGAGCCACTTCTTGACCAGATCGCAGGGAGCTGGTTGGTGATCCGCTAGGATACAGCCAAAGCAGAAGCGATGCTTGCAGTCGCAGGTAACTGTCGGCACAACCTTATCGAGATCCTTCTTCTTGATCCCGCACTCTATGGCGTTCTGACAGTCTGGAGCGGGGCACCACTTCAAATATTCCTTATCTTCGACAAAGGTTCTCATGAGGAGTTCATGGTATCTTTGTTGAAGGTCAGATTCAACCAGGAGGTCTAATGATTTCGCGTCCATAATTCTTTTGCATCCATCTTGTGGACATTGGATGCGAGCAGCTTCTCCCTCTTCCTTTATCTTCTGGTTCAAGTATTGTCGATAGCAGTTGACACAATATCGATGTCCGCACTTCATGGCAAATGATTGTAAGCCGGGCTCATCTTCGCAGCAGATGTCGCACATGAAACCAGGTATGACCTCGAGCTTTGGTGGGCCTGCCACGTTTGGTCCCAACCCAGCGTCTTCGAGTACCTTCTTGGGACGATCCATATAATCTTCTATCAGCCGCTCCTTGTTCCAGCGGAAGTGTCGTAACAGGATCGCGGCATCCTCCTTCCGGATGTCAAGAATCATGTTGACTTCGTTGATCAGGTCATCTTGTTGGGCCTGGATGTCTTCGGGGTGGTAAACTTTGAAGTTGACGTCGAAGGATTTCTTTTTCTGCACGACATCTTTCTGCGAGAAGCCTAAGTCGGGTTCGGGTTCGTCGAAGCCGAAATCTGTTGATTCGGAGGCACTGTCAGTTACGAGTAAAGGATGTGGAAACAAGAACGAGACGCGGGATTAGCCATACCGTCTACAGAACCATCATCATTGTCGCTCTCATCTTGCAGAACATCATCCTCATCGCTGGACATGCCAGACATGAAGTCATCGTCGGAGTCCATACCTGGACTTGCGGAGGTGAGTGGCGTTGGCGGAGCGGCTGCTGCTGCTGCTGAGGCGATCCTCTTGCTGGATCTCTGGGGGTTCTTGACAGAGGAATCTACCGCCTCAGCCGCCTTCCTCTTCCTTGGTTGGGAAGAAATGGTGTCGAGTGTTGAGGGAGCGGAAGGGGGGGG